GGATCTAACCCCTCCCCCCCCCCTTCCCGTCCGTGATGAACCGGAGGCGGATCTCCCCGCCGAGACAAACGTCGCGTCGAACGGCGTGCAGTGCCGTTCGGTAAAGGCGACGCGCGACGGCGGCGCTTGGGTGAAAAACGGCCTTGGTCTCCATCGCGGGGGTTGGTGGGTCCGTTGCTCAGCCCGGCTGGCCACAAATACCCTCGCAGGCCTGCGCGTCGTCAGGGGTTTACGATGCAGATAAGTCCTCTGCCGGGCTGGCTGGAGGAGGCCCTGTAGTGCGATTCCGAACAGGGCTTCTCTCTCTCTCTCTCTCTCTCTCTCTCTCTCTCTCTCTCTCTCTCTCTCTCTCTCTCTCTCTCTCTCTCTCTCTCTCTCTCTCTCGCTCTCGCTATCGCTCTCTCTCTCTCTCGCTCTCACCCTCGGGCTTATCGATCAATCTCGCGCGACAACTAATAAACAGCTGTTCTGCCTGCGCACTGCCGGCGTGCTTGCCGGGGCCGCCGGTCATCCGGTCGCGATGGGCCCCATTGTTTGGGAGGGGGCACGTACCGCACTGTGCGTACACACACACACACACACACAGAAGCCGCATTTAGCCCAGGGAAAATAAAGCATGCCTGGAGATAGATCCCGATCGCGGGCGCAGCGAGGCAGCGAGAGAGCACGTCCTGCATGCGTTTGCCTCCATAAACTAATGGCGCCGTAAAAGCACGTCCGTTTTGCCGGCCGGGTGGCCACTCTAACCTGTCGCACGCTCAGCGAGGACGCGGCGGCAACGCGCTCATTCCTATGCAGCGCTTCCTCTCAATTCGTTCCTCTATTTTTATTTATTTACTTTTTTTGGGTCGTGAGTTAGTTGTAGGTAGAGTGTCCACGTGGCTCCATAGCGGGGCCATAGGCTGCCTGTACAGCTAGGCGCCACTTGATCAGTGTGTGTGTGTGTGCGTGTGTGTGTTTTACAGTGTGCGACGGAAGTCTGCCTTAGTTAGGTTGCGATGTGGGGGCGTGGTCCTCCGTGGTGTAGCACGCGTCGAGGGCGTAGTGAGTACACGTGATTGGCCTGTAATTAGCCCCCCTGTGTGTGTGTGTGTGTGTGTGTGTGTGTGTGTGTGTGTGTGTGTGTGTGTGTGTGTGTGTCAGAGGGGCTGGTGGTGGTGCCACCGCGGCCTGCCTGCCCTGTCATGTCTCCATACACACCAGAGCCCCCGCGCGCGCGTGCAGAGCATCCTGCTTGGTGCCGCACGCCGTCGCGGCGACGGAGCGACAGAGACAGAGGGTGGGTGCGTGGTCCTTGTCTCGCTCCTGCTAATCGTTTACCCCGCACGACGGCTGCGGTCGACCGTTTCGACCAAACGGCGGTGCGGGGTCTGCGGTCACTTTGATGTGATTACCTGCTTTGTCGACTCGCTCGTGAATGTGTTATTTTGTTTTTTTGGCGGGAAAAGTTTTGACCGGCGGGCGGCGAGGCGACGACGGTGCCGTAATTTGGAAGGCCTGGTGCTGACAGTGCGTTGGGCGGCCGGGCCGGGCCCCGCGGCGCCGCCGGGGGTGGTGGGGCGTTGCTGCTCGCGGGGCCCGGCCCGGCCCGGCCGTCTCGCTCGCACTCCTTCAGGACTCCCCGTGAGTGCGAGAGAGACGGAGCGACGCTGTCCCTGCATCGGCCTGCGGGCGGACAGCCTCCGAGACAAAGGGCTGGCTGCGTGGGGCTCCGGCGGCGCGAAGGATGTAATCATAACGCCTGCACTGCAAGGGCCCTGCCTGCGCCTTGCTCGCCCTGCTTCGCTCGTTACCCTGTCGACGCTAATCGGTCCGCGTCAGCGCCTTCCAGAAAACAACACACTGTAAATTCGGACGACGCAACGGGACGGCCCATAAGTCCCACGCGAATTCCTCGTAGTGGGAGATACGTTGCACTCCTCTGGGTGAGACTCCCCATGAATGTGAGTGAGACAGATATGGCGCGACGAATCATTCGTATTTGGCTTGGCGCGCGCTCGCGACGCCGGAAGTCGAATCGAAGAAGGGCCCAAGTCATTCTGCTCTTTCATGTTTTTCGCGGTCGCGCCGCCGGAAGTCTGCAGAGAACGGCGCTGCATTTATTGCGACTTTATTGTTTTTCCGCGCCAGTGGGGCTAGGAGGGCGTCCCACGGACAACAGCAAGAAAGTCGTCGAGAACGGAGATAAAATAAAAGGAGAGTGGCTGACTTTTGTGTTGTTTTGTTTGCCGGCCTGGCGGCGCAGCGGCCGGGCCCTCATATTCCGAACCCCCTGAAACCGGGGCAGCGGGGCAACAGCGCAGCGCCACTGTACTGAGTGCGTCGGTATTTTATTTCCCCCGCGAAAGGGGGAGGGGACGGGAAGGTGGTTTGGTTGGAATGGAACATCTGCTCCCGCGCTGCTCCGCGCTGTCGCACCGAGTGTCACGTGACCGCTCAGGGGTTGACATAAATCGAGGGCACGCTCCCCTACAATTTTTTCTTATTTCTATTTTTTGTGGTTTTTTTCGCTTTTTTTTTTGCTGTTGTGAGCTGCTGCCGGGCTGCCGTTTTCGGTGCTGCTGGCTGACTCTCCGATAATCTTCACCCTCGCTGCTGGGCGCTACCATTGGCGGTGTCCAGGCGATGCCCGGGACAGGACGAAGGTGCTGTGTCGGCCCGGCCCGGCGGCCGGATGGCCGTAGCAGTGCGTAGCAGGCCACGGCGGTCTTGGCCGCGAGCAGGCTGCACCGCTGCACCGCTGCCGGGCGCTCGGTGCGCGCGGTGCCGCTTGCAGCGTGGCGCATCCGGCGGCGCGTCGCGCCACGCCCAGCCAGCCGTCTCATTCCGAACGCTGCTTTGTCGCTCTGTCTCTCTCGCACCCCTACGGGCCGCCCCATGAGTGCGAGAGAGACAGAGCGACGAAAGTAGTGCTCGGAATCAGACGGCAGCGCCTGTCGGCCCCGCCCGGCCGGTGTCGCTGCAGGCAGGCAGCCAGCCAGCCAGGCATAGGTAAGGACCACGGGAAATAATTTCGGGGCTGGAAAACAGCGCAGTGTTATGGAAATCCAATTCCCGGGCATTGTAGGCCGTGAATAAGGAGGGCATTCGTTGCCTTCGCCTTGCCCCCGGCGGGAGGAAGCGCGACACATCCGTGCAAAGGCTTTCCGCGGCAGGCCGATTCCGAGCGGTGCGTCTCTGTCTCTCTCTCTCTCGCACTCACACGGGACTGCCGCCGGCCTGCACACCACGCCCTCGCCGGAGTGTTTTTCTGAATGGGATTTCGGCGGCTGTATTGCCGTATTCGCAGCTGCAGTGAGAGGTGCGTCACTGTGAAAGGGTAAAAAAGGAGAGGCTTGAAGCAGTGGCGTGGCGGCGGAGGGTGGAAAAACTTTTGTGTGGAGAAGTGTCGGCGCGGTCTGTAGCGCACTTGTCATAAACGGCGCGCGAGTGGGAAAAGGGGTTTTCGCTTTTCCGAGAACTGGGCTGGTGGTCCTTTTACTGCCCCTGTCGGCCGTCGCCCAGTCAGCCGCACAAAAGTGGTCCTTGGCGATGACTGTCAAAGCCGAGCAGCAGACTGAGTCGTTTCCGTCGCGCTGTCTCTCTCGCACTCACGGGGCGTACCGTATAGGTGCGAGAGAGACAGAGCGACGAAAACGACTCTCGGAATCAGCCTGCAGGTTTCTGACTTTCAGACACTCGCCGTTCCGAAGATTGGACACGCGACTCGGTCGTGGGTGGCGGTGCGGCCCCCCTGCCCTGCCCCGCCCTGCCGTGCCTCGGTCTGCCTGGAACGACGTGAAAATGAGAGTGTTTTTTGCTGCGCGGCGGCGGTGGGATTCGAACCCGGGCCCGGTGTGTCGTACCTACCTCCGGGCTCGTCGCAGTCAGCGCGGACAATGAGCCATTTTACGCGTGAGTGCCTGACGGGCCTGCCGGGGAGGGCGGGAGGGGAGGGGAGGGAGGGGAAAGGGATCTGGTGACGCCCCCTCCCCTCCCCTCCCCTCCCGCGCCGCTCGAGTTGACGGTGTGACCACTGTCGCCCCGAATGGAACCCCTCGGGAAGGGCTCGCCTTTCATCCCGAGACGCGCGCCCCCCTGGGCTGACTCTGTCTCTCTCGCACCTGCACGCGACGCCCCGTGAGTGCGAGAGAGACGGAGCGAGAGCGCTCTGCTCGGCTCCAGTCGGCTGATCCCGCCTCTGATCCCATCCGGGCTCGGCGACGCCACGGCCGCCACGGCCAAGCCACCATGGCGACGGCCCGAGGGGCCCGAGGACGCAGGGCTGACGCGGGGCCCCCCAAAGGTGACAAAAACAGAAGCGATTGTTCTCGGGCTGAGCTGAGCCTCCTCGGGCGGAAGCGCGCCCCGGCCGGAGCGGACAGCGCCTCCGTCGCTCTGTCTCTCTCGCACCCCTACGGCGCGCCCCGCGAGTGCGACAGAGACAGAGCGACGAAAGGTCGGGCGGGGCGGCGGCGGCGCTGGAGCCGTGAAGGTGTTGCTGGAATTAGAGCTAGCGGGCGGGGCGTCGAGTCGGACAGTCGGAGCGAGTTGGCGGTGGACAAGCCGACAGCCCGACGGGCTGATGGGGTCCCGGAGGAGAGTCGCTTTCGTCGCTCTGTCTCTCTCGCACCTCTACGGGACGCCCCGTGAGTGCGAGAGGGACAGCGCGACGGAAACGACTCTCGGAATCAGTGTGCTGGCGCCGACAGGTGCGCGGCGCCGCGGAGTCGTTTCACACCTCGAGGTGCGGGGACACACCTGGGCACAGGTCGGGGAAGGTGCTGATTGGAAATTCGTCAGTAACATCACGGCCCAGATTTTTTTTTGCGCTGGACTGTACTCTTCGAGGTACTTTCCTCGAAAATGTAAACAAATGGATTTTTCGCTGACCTTGGCTCGTGGCGACGCTGGCGACGTGACCCCGACGGCGTGGAGCGCCCCACGCGACCTGCTTGCTGCTCTTGATGTGCTTGCTGACGGCCCTGTTTGCTGACGCCGCCCTCTTCGTCGTGTTGCAGGTCGTGACGACGCCATGCGGCCCTCCACCAGGACCTCCGCCAGGACCCCGACGAGGGGCGCCCTGCCGTAAGTACACTGTCGACGACGCTTTTTGATGCGTCCTAATAATAATGATAAAAATTAGAAAGGGTTGACTGACGGCGTATTAATGCATGACACAGAGCGCAATATCCAAGATCCAGCCGCCGGTCCGATTTATGGTCGCGTTTCCGCGCTCCTCGAACAAGCAGCCTCGATTCTATTTTCGAATAAGGATATCGTGGGGACGCGTGCGTGTGTATGTGTTTTAGGACGTTGTGTGTGTAGTACGTAAGTGTGTGTGTGTGTGTGTGTGTGTGTGTGTGTGTGTGTGTGTGACTGCCAGACACGTTTTATAGTGGTTCAATTGTTTTCCACGCACTGCACGCACTGGGTCGGAATGGGCCGAACGCCCCGAAACAAGCAAACACGACGTAGTATGGCACGGCGCGGCGCGGCGCCGCGTCCAACCGACGGCGGCCCGTGGCGTGGCTCCGCGGGCCCGCGGGCCTTTGGTCCTCAAACATGTGCTCAGCCGGCCGAACGGGGGGGGGGGGGAGGGGGCTCTTTTGGGTCGCGGGGGACGCCATGGCAGCAGACTGACTGATTCCGAGAGGGCGAGTTCCCTCTCGCACTCGCGGGGCGCCCCGTGGGGGTGCGAGAGAGACAGGCCGACGAAAACGACTCTCGGAATCAGTCAGCCTGCTGCAGTCATGGCAGCCGTAGCAATGCGTAGCGAGCACGCCCCGGCGCCGGAATGACGCCGTCGCAGTGGGATAATTAATTTGGAAATCCCGAACGGAGAGGAGAGGGCCGCTGCAGTGTGCCGCGCGGACGGCGCGAGCAGCGCGAGCAGGGGCGTTAAGTTATGGCGTTTAATGTGTGTTTGTGTGTGTGTGTGTGTGAGAGAGAGAGAGAGAGAGAGAGAGAGAGAGAGAGAGAGAGAGAGAGAGAGAGAGAGAGAGAGTCATCAAACGCTTGAATGAGACTTCGTTTATTTTTGGGAGGGTAAGGGGATGACGTGGTCCCGCGTTTGAATTTTTCATATGGGCCTTGGCGGTGCCCGGGGCGCCCAGGGTCGGCGGTGGCGGTGCGCGTCGACGACACGGGAAGTGCATACATACAGTGTAGGTACACTCGGCGGTGACGGGACCACGTGGCGCGTCTCGCCTGGAAGGGAAGGGCGTGGGCCGGGAATGTAGCTCAAGTTATTCACATTGTGCACCGCCAGGGACCGCCGCACAGTGGGACAGAAGAGAGAGAGGGGAGGGACAGAGCGGCCGGCGGTCATTTGTCGGCGAAATTCAAACGCGACACGGCGGCGTGACGTGACCGCGGCGTGACTGTGCATGCGCGGTCCGAGTGACGCAGTGACGCGCCGCGCAATGGACCGTGTAATCACTCCGGCCGGGCCGCAGACTGATTCCGAGAGTCGTTTTCGTCGCTCTGTCTCCCTCGCACCCCTACGGGACGCCCCATGAGTGTGAGAGAGACAGAGCGACGAAAGCGACTCTCGGAATCAGTCGTCGGGCCGAGGTTGCGGGGTTCTTGTGCTCGTCCAGCGCCCCCGTACGGCCCGGACGCCCCGGACGGCCCCGGACGTCGGCCTGACATTTACATGTGCGGCGCGGCTCACCCACGACCGGTCTTCACACGCCCTGATTGGCCACGCTGCAGCGCTACAGCGGCTTCTGATTGGTCCGCAGGCTGGCGGCGGCACTGCTGCTCCTCTTGGTGGCGCCCAGCTTGGCCTGCCCCGAGAGCTGCGCGTGCGACCTGGACCGCAAGGGCCGGCACCGCGTCCTCTGCAACACCGGCGACGGCAAGGACCCCATGCCGCTGCCCGGCCCCGGCGACCGCGCCGAGGTGTTCGAGGTGGGCCCGCCCCCCGACAGGCCCAACTACTTCACCATCGGGCCCATCTTCGGCCGCCACCACCGACAGGTGAGTAAAGTCCTTGGTAAATGACGACTTCTGTTACTGATTCCGGTGCCTCTTCTTGTTGTTGTTCACTCTGCTACAATCTAAACCATTCATATTTCGAGCACCAACAAACACCTTTCACAATTTGCTCTGATGACTGACTGTCGTTCTGCAGCTGGAGGAGCTCCACATCGTGCATTCGAACCTGCCGGCCATCGGCCTGCACTCGTTCCACAACCTGCCCAACCTGCAGGTGCTCAACCTCACGCACAACAACATGTCGGCCGTGGTGGAGCACAACTTCAGCGGGCTGAAGGCGCTGCGCGACCTCTTCCTCAGCGACAACCGCATCGAGAGCGTGCCCAGCAGCGCGTTCCACCACCTCGAGGACGTGCGGAGGATCAGTCTGGCGAGGAACCGCATGCGCGAGCTGTCGTCCAGGATCTTCTTCAAGCTGGCGCACCTGCAGGACCTCGACCTCAGCTATAATCCGCTCCACGAGCTCAACACGGACGTGTTCCGCGACGTGCCGGTGAGTCAGCGGGTCGTCCCTTTGGCGCAGAGGATAGCGCGTTGGACTTCTAATCCAAAGGTCGTGGGTTCGATCCCCACAAGGGATGGGTGCAATTTTTTTTCTTTTTTTTTTAAAATTTTTTTAAATCTTGGCAGCAATAGCATTTGCGTATCCAGGGGGGTAAAACGCCTAGAGCGGAGGCATAGTTTGACGTACATTCCACGTTTATGAATGCAAAAGGTGCGAGGATGACCCCCTGCTTTTTACAAGGAGCAATAAAGGCGCGAGGTGCAGGTTCCGGGTTTGATTACCAACTTACATATATGTCGCGTTCGTGTGTTTTATCATTTACTTCCATTTTCAGGAGCTACGCGTGCTGCGGTGTCGGGGCTGCGGCGTGTCCGCGGTGAACAAGACCCTGTTCGAGGTGCTGCCCGACCTGGAGGTGCTGGACCTGGGCGACAACAAGCTGACCGCGTTCACGGCCGAGTACCTGGCGCCGCTGAAGCAGCTGCAGGAGCTGTGGCTGGACGGCAACCAGCTCGCCGTGCTGCCGTCCGGGGTGTTCCGCCACAACGGCCAGCTGCAGACGCTCGACGTGTCCCGGAACCAGATCTCCAAGGCAAGTCCAAGGCCGCCGCGGGGTCCAATTCACCGTTTCTGTGGCCTTTCATTATGGCGACAGAAACGCCGAGGTCTAGAGCGGCGCGGTCTCCAGGGCCTCTTCCAGCGCGGGGCCTTGCCGCCCCGTGGGCCCTGCCCTGGCCCCGCCGCCTTGCCTTTGTCGCGTGTAAACTCAGGATGACAGGGTGTCGACACGGACGCGGACATGGGGGCCCCGCCGCCGCGTCGCCGCGTCGCCGCCAAGCCGACCATGCGGGTGTCGGACAAAGTGCATGACACAATGCGTGGCGCGGTGCATGTATGACACGCTGCATGGGCGGCCCGGGCAGCTCGGCGGTGATTCCACGGTGATTCCACGCCGAGGTTTGGACGGCGTGCTGCAGCACGACGGGGAGGGCGGCGAGGCGGTTCCAGTCTTGTTTAGCGACTCTGGAGCTCAAAACGAGTCTAGAGTTTTGACCGCGTCCACCGGTCACTGTGAGTGTGAGAGAGACAGAGCGACGAATGGCTCGGCAGGGCTTCATCAGCGCGAAAGCCCGCGGCTCTTCCCTTCACCGCAAGCGCCGCAAGCGCCCTTCTCCCTCGCCCTTCGGCCCCCGGCCGCCCTCGGCCCTTCGGGGCATCGAAATGAGAGGGCGAGGGCAGTACAATGTCGTGGGCTTTTTGCAGCCCGTTCCGTTCCGGTCCGGGCGGGTCCCTATCGGCATCGCGCGTCCTCGTCGCACTCGTCGCCCTCCAAAGGGCGGCCGTGAGTGCGACGAGGACGGCGCCCTGCGGTCGCACGCCCTGATTGGTCGGTTCGGAGCGGCCCCCTCACCGTCAGGACGCCAGCCCTCCCCTCGCCCGAAGCTCTTCTAGGGATCGCACACAATTACGGAGGGTAATGAAAGTCCCGTGTGAAAAAATTTCATGAAACCTGTCGGAATTGGGCCTGAATGAGGCCTGAACGGTAAGACAGCGACAAGACCGTTTCCACACGGGATTCCGATGGGATTCAGATAGGATTCAGACAGCGGTCAGATGGATAAGGCACGCCAGAGGCAGCCTGAAAAGGCCCTGAAGAGTGTCTGACTTCCGTCTGAAAACGGCCGTGCAGGCGTCTGAAAAGTGGTCACTTTCCAGGCGCCATTCAGACGGGATTCAGACCGGATTCAGACCGATTCATGAGGCTGCATGAAAATAAGGTAAACAGAGAGGGCCCGCTCGGACCGGAGTCGAACCCCACGCACAGAGCGTAGAAGTCCGACACTCTCACCGCTGGGCCAGAGCGACGAGATATGGAACGGTCGGGCACGCGCAGCTCATAGCGCGCAGCCGAACAGCGCCAGATGCAGCACTGTTGTCTTCAGGTAAGTCGCACATGCGACACTTGCCCCTTTATTTTCCGACACGTTGACATCGTCATATTTGACGCGGCGTGCTTTAATGCGCTTGTTTATAAATGTCGATGAATTCCAGACTGCACGCATATGACTACCTCTCTAGGGCGTCAGACAACAGTGCTGCATCTGGCGCTGTTCGGCTGCGCGCTATGAGCTGCGCGTGCCCGACCGATCCATATCTCGTCGCTCTGGCCCAGCGGTGAGAGTGTCGGACTTCTACGCTCTGTGCGTGGGGTTCGACTCCGGTCCGAGCGGGCCCTCTCTGTTTACCTTATTTTCATGCAGCCTCATGAATCGGTCTGAATCCGGTCTGAATCCCGTCTGAATGGCGCCTGGAAAGTGACCACTTTTCAGACGCCTGCACGGCCGTTTTCAGACGGAAGTCAGACACTCTTCAGGGCCTTTTCAGGCTGCCTCTGGCGTGCCTTATCCATCTGACCGCTGTCTGAATCCTATCTGAATCCCATCGGAATCCCTTGTGGAAACGGTCTTGTCGCTGTCTTACCGTTCAGACCTCATTCAGGCCCAATTCCGACAGGTTTCATGAAATTTTTTCACACGGGGTACTACCCGGTCCCACAGAGTCCCCCCTCCCTTCCCCGCCCTCTCAGTCTCAGCCTTTTTGTGTCTCTTCGCCGCCACTCGTCGTCGTCGTCGTTGGCTTTATTCGGCGCAGTGTCCCAACGCTCCAACCCCGCAGCGGTGCGGCTTTTCTGGGAAAGACGAAAATACCGACGGCATTTTTGTTTTTCGCAGTGTACTCGGCGCGAGAGTGGTTTTAGCGCAGCAGCGCGGCGCTGTGGATTTTTCGGAGCCAGCGTCGTCGACGCGCTGCGCTCCGGGGAGGCTTTGACCTCTTGTTGCCGGAAGCGGTACTCCGTCACAGGTCGAGCTGGGCGGGGCGGGGCGGGGCGGGGCGACCCGCGTGACGTATTACCATATTGACGCGGTGGGAGCAGGGGAGCATCCCCCGCTATCAACAGGCCCGATGGGCCGTGGAGCGGCGCCAGCACATGAGCCAGCAGACTGTTTCCGAGAGTCGTTCTCGTCGCTCTGTCTCCCTCGCACTCATGGGGCGCCCCCCTGCAGGTGCAAGAGAGACGGAGCGACTCTCGGCATCAATCTAGCCAGTGTGCTGCTCGCGGGCCGCCCCTTTCACACAGCCCGTTAATAGCATGTAAATATGAAACACGACACGAGCAAACGCCGAGAAAAAAGGGGCAATTGCGTGTAAGGTCCTTTGCTTCTCATAGCGTTCACCCCCCGCGGCGGCGAGGGGCGCTAGATTAGTTCCCTAACGTTGTTCATCCTTTTGGTTCCGCTGGCTGCTTCAGGTGGAGGGCGAGGCGTTCCCGAATTTGCGCGCGCTGCGTGACGCTGGACGTTACATTAGTTCTCCGGAACGTTGTTCTTTACGTTTGGTTTTCCTGGCAGGTGGAGGACGAGGCGTTCCTAGACCTGGTCGCGCTGCGCACCCTGGACTTGGGCTACAACCGGCTGGAGAGGCTGCACGCCTCCGTGGTGGCGCCGCGCGGCGAGTCGCTGCGCGCCCTGGTGCTCGCCGGCAACGTCATGACCACCGAGGAGCTGGCCAGGTGAGCACGCGTCTTGTTTTTGTTTCAGTTGGCCGTCGCACAGTGGGCCCGAAGACCGGCGCAGGCGGTCAAAATAAAGACGCGTTTTGAGCTCCTGAGTCGCTAAATGGGGCTTGAACCGAACGTGTGACCCCAACAATGGATTGCTCTCCGAAAGAGGAATCCGTTGGTGGGGTCACACGTTTGGTTCGAGTCCCATTTAGCGACTCTGGAGCTCAAAACGCGTTTTGAGTTTTGGCCGCCTCCACCGGTCTTCTGGCGCACTGTGCGTCGACTTCAAAGGGTGGCGTGGTTCGCTAACTCGTTGCTGCTGCAGGCTGCTCCGCGGCGTGCCGCACCTGACGCGCCTCAGCCTGGCGGACATGCGGCTGCGCTCCGTGCCCATGGGGCTGCTGGCGCCGCTCCGCGAGCTGCGCCTCCTCAACGTGTCCGGCAACATGCTGACGGCGCTGCACCCCTCGGCGCTGCACTCGCTGCTCAAGCTGGACACGGTGGACGCCTCCAGGAACCACCTCGTGGGGCTGGACGAGCAGAGCCTGCTGCGCCTGGACGCCGTGGAGCTGGTGAGTGTGCACACTGTGAGGTGGACGCACTGACGACGGTGATGGTGATGATGGTGGGCGCGATGAGGATGCAACTGTCGCGGGTTCGAATCCCCGCCACGCGGATGAGTAACACGTTATTGGCGTCGTTTTTCTTGATTTTATTGTCCGGGCCGCCCGGCGATAGCGTTTACTGCCAGTAAAGCGCGCGCCAGTTCGTGCCGCCTGCGCATCACTCATCTCGTGTGTGTGTGTGTGTGAGAGTGAGTGTGAGGGAAAAGTAGGGGGCGTCGGTGTGTGTTACGCGACGTGACTGAGCGTGACGGGGTGGCCACCGCGCCCTGCTGCGGCCTCCCTCAGGTGGGCCTGGGCCGCTCCGCTGATCGTGTGAGCCGGCCAAGTGTGCGTGTCTGCCTGTCTGTCTGTCTGCCCCTGTCTTGACGACGTGCCGCGCTGCCCCAGGTGCTGCTGGACGGCAACCACTGGTCCTGCGACACGTGCCACTTGCCGCCGCTGCTGAGCCGCGTGGCGCGCAGTGCGCCCACGTCGCCGCTGCGCCGCCTGCGGTGCGACGCGCCGCGCTCGCTGGCCGGCAAGCCGCTGGCCAACCTGGAGCTGGAGAGCCTCAAGTGGTGCTCGGGCGGCATGGGCGTGGGGCCCGACTCGCCGCGGTCCCTGCTGTCCGCCGACTCGCAGCTGGGCGTCATCGCGGCCGCCGCCGCCGTCGCGCTGCTCATCCTGGCCGGCGCCGCCCTGCTCGCCGTCGTCGCCTACTCCAAGCACCACGCCGACTACTACTACACGCACGTGAGTACACTGGTTATGCCGGCGTCCGTCCTGAATCAATACGGGGTTAAATTGGACGGCGGGCTGCGTCCGCGGCGCTGCAGGCACTGCTTGTCGCTTTGTCTCTCTCGCACCCTTACGGGACGCCCCATGAGTGCGAGAGAGACAGGGCGACGGGAGCGGTGCTCGGAATCGGCCCGCTGTCGCCGTCCTCGTGGGAAGGCCGGCGGCGCGCGGCCGCGCGGAGGCAGCCCCGTCTGTTTTGATGGGATATTAATAAGGCTGTCAGTGATGAGGGCTGCCTGCTGCGTTCCCGGCGCCACTTTGCGTCGCACACCTCCGGGTCCTCGTCACGCCCCTCCCCCTCCCCCTCCCCTCCGTCGGCACCCTCGCTGCGCTCGCTGCACCCGCGCTGGGGTTGACGACTGTCCGATGAGGCAGGCGTATCGGATCCGAAAGCGACACGTTTTCAATCGTGTATCCGTCTCCCTGGCCCCGGCGCTCGCCCCTCCCCCCCGTGTCCCTCTCCATCCAAGAGTGGTGCATTAGCGACGAGGGCGCCGGCCTGCCAGGTATCGATGCCATTCCGGACAATATTGGGAGATTTTAATTAAAGAGGCCCGGGCGTTCTCGGCGCGGGGGCGGCGCGGCGCCGGGGGCTTTTATTAAGTTTCCCGTTTCATTATTATATCCGGGGGCTGTTTTCTGGTTTATGCTTTCCGAGGCGCGATGATACAGATTGCCCGATCTTTATTTTCACTTCCTTGTTTTTGCCCGCAGGAGGATAAGCTGGGCCCGGAGCGGGAGGCCATTTTCGAGAACATGGGCGCCGTCATCGACGACCGAGCGAGCAGCAAGAAGGCGCCGAAGCGGGTAAGTGCACTGAAAAATTAAGGGTGTACTCTGTGTGTACTCGCAGTACACACGTGCGTGCTGTGTGTGTGTACTCGGTACACACTTAAGTTTCCAGTGTCCTCTGGGTGAAGTTGGGGCGGCATCTTTTCTCTCTAATCTCTGTCCCCCCTCCTCTCTATCGCGCTCCGCTCCGCGGTGGAAGTCCGCGGGGCTGCGGGCGGGCGGCTCTGCCCGGCTCCGCCACTGCAAACTACTGGTGGCGGGGCGGGCCGCACCCGGTGCTGCAGCGGTAGGGGCTCAGACGGGACGACCCACAACTGCCATAGTCCGCCACGCGGCCGTGGTGCGGGTTCAAATCCCCGCCGCGCGCTCGGCTTTGCTTTCCGTTTGAGTCGCTGTTATCCGCTTGATCCGTTTCTGTCCGGGTTAAAACGCGTGCGAAGAGTGCGGTATACACGGGGGGTGCGGCGGCCCTCGCTGCGGCCGGCCGGGCGGTGGAGCGCGGAATATGGCCTGCAAGCCGGGGCTTCCCGCCCGCCGCCCCGCCGTCCTGTTCCGGTCGGTGCGTGGCCCGCGCGGCCCCTGTGGGGCGTAACTGTCGGCCGGCCGGTCGCCCTTACGTGCTTCTCCGCGTCCACGTAATCCGGCCCTGCTAATGGGATTGCCGTTCGTTGCAGGTCACCATCGCCACCATCGACGAGCTGACCAAGGACCCCGAGCTGCACGGCCTGACCAACGGCGCCTAAACCGCCAAACCGCGAGGCCGCGACGCCGCGGTACGCCCCGCCACTGTCGCGCCCCGACGCCAGCGGCAGGGCGCACCGGACGGCGCGGACGTTGGCCTGACATTCAGGAAGGCTGTGACCGGAGCCGAAGGGCAGACGGACCCAGACGGACCCGGACGGACCCGGAGAGCGAACCCCGGTGAAAGGTTAGCTCCCCGAAGACAAGAAGTCCGGGCCGTCCGGGCGGGCCTGACCTTACGGCAGGGCAGCACTGTGCCATGAGTTACCACGTGAGAGGTGTAGGTAGAGCGGATGTAAGACTAAGTTATTCTCGACGTTTCTTGCGCGCTGGTTTTGTGTTATTGTTTTGTTTCTCGTCCCACCCCTTGTGGGGTCAAGAGAGTGAAATTTTATTTATTGCTGGCATAAATGTTTATAGATTTAGAAAAATATTATTTCATGTTCTTTTTTTTTGTGGCCATTTTTTTTTTCTTTTGTAAAATTTGTACGTGTTTGTATAAATGTGCTTCGTATTGGAGCAGTAGGTTAAGAGTGTAGATTTTTTAATGAAAAGAATTCGTTTTGTCGTTGTACATAAGTTCCTAAAATGTTTAATACCCGTACATTTTGCAGTGCGGAGCTACGCGGGATTTTACAATTTTTGCAATGGTGCTAAAATCATTTATTATAAGACTTCATGGCCGGAGCAGTTTGTATTTCCTGGTAATTTATTTACTACCTTTTAATGTGATGCAGGCGATGTAGGAATCAAATGAATGTTTAAAATCATGTGCAGTCAGTTGACTTGTCAACATATCTATCTCGTCCCCTCGAGCATTCAGAAAGAAATTTCTGTATCAAGTGTTTTGTATGTTCTGTAATTTTGTTATTTATAGCAAAGCTATATGTTGTACATAGCTTTTTTTGTACAAGACTCTCATCTCAGTTCTAAAGGACTTTTAGTTTACTTTTAATTGTATTTTATGCCTGAATGCGTACAGTGAATGTGACCAAAGAATATAAGTGGTTTCTGATTGAATGATTGTGGGTCATGTGTCAAGAGACCAGCTGATAACTGAGGAACTGTCGGTTTGTTTGTTCAAACAAACTTGAAATAACCAAAAACTTCAGCATGATCCTGAGTTTTGCTTTATTTTATGTTCATTCCTTCGGGGACCAAATTATTGTACATAATCAGTGTTGTAGGAAATCATACACAAATCTCATAGTAGATTAATCATTGCTGTCATGTGCTCTATTCATACTGTTAAGTTATTGTCAACTTATAAAACTCAGCAAAAGATTAAACTTTTATCTCCTAGCGTTTTTCCTAGTCTAATTCATCCCTAGGAAGTCCACTGGAGACACATAAGGGTGCAAACAAATTAACATCAGGGAAAACACGAACGTTAAAACAACGATCAACTTGTCAAAACTAAAACTGAGCCTCGACGGGCCGGGGAAAATAACACAAACAAACTAGTTCGAACATTGTCGAAGCGTCAAACGATAAAAACACGAAACTAGACGGGACGGCGGCTGCGCCTTACTCTTCCTCGCCTTCGCCCTCCACCGAGTCCATGGCCACCTCCTCGTAGTCCTTCTCCAGGGCGGCCAGGTCCTCGCGCGCCTCGCTGAACTCGCCCTCCTCCATGCCCTCGCCGACGTACCAGTGCACGAAGGCGCGCTTGGCGAACATGAGGTCGAACTTGTGGTTGAGGCGCGCCCACGCCTCCGAGATGGCCGTCGTGTTGGACAGCATGCACACGGCGCGCTGCACCTTGGCCAGGTCGCCGCCGGGGACCACCGTCGGCGGCTGGTAGTTGATGCCCACCTGGTCGATGCAGAGTCAAACGCCGGGTCAAATTTTTCCCCGCGCCATTTCTTAAAGATGTCTTTTTATGTATGCAGACTTAGTCCTACGGTACCTTGAATCCGGTGGGACACCAGTCGACGAACTGGATGGCCCTCTTGGTCTTGATGGTGGCGATGGCGGCGTTGACGTCCTTGGGCACCACGTCGCCGCGGAACAGCATGCAGCACGCCATGTACTTGCCGTGCCGCGGGTCGCACTTGACCATTTGGTTGGCGGGCTCGAAGCACGCGTTGGAGATCTCGGCCACGGTGAGCTGCTCGTGGTACGCCTTCTCCGCGGAGATGACCTGCCACAAGGAAGGGAACGGCGTGAGCGAATTCGCGCGAGGGAAGTCCCAAGCAGCCTAGTGCATCCAGGCGGGGATCCAGGATCCTTACCGGGGCGTAGGTGACGAGCGGGAAGTGGATGCGCGGGTACGGCACCAGGTTGGTCTGGAACTCGGTGAGGTCCACGTTGAGCGCGCCGTCGAAGCGCAGCGAGGCCGTGATGGAGGACACGATCTGGCCGATGAGGCGGTTCAGGTTGGTGTAGGTGGGCCGCTCGATGTCCAGGTTGCGACGGCACACGTCGTAGATGGCCTCGTTGTCCACCATGAAGCAGCAGTCCGAGTGCTCCAGCGTGGTGTGCGTCGTCAGGATCGAGTTGTAGGGGTCCACCTGGTGAACAGGACGGAAAACGACATCAAGTGTATTCTCCAATGAAAAGATATTTTTAATTTTGTTTGGGGGTTTATGTTTATAGCCAACCACTGCGGTGGAGATCTGCGGTGCAGGGTACACCGCGAACTCGAGCTTGCTCTTCTTGCCGTAGTCCACGGACAGCCGCTCCATGAGCAGCGACGTGAAGCCGGAGCCGGTGCCGCCGCCGAACGAGTGGAAGAGCAAGAAGCCCTGCAGCCCCGTGCACATGTCCGCCAGCTTCCGCACGCGGTCCAGCACCAGGTCCACGATCTCCTTGCCCACGGTGTAGTGGCCGCGCGCGTAGTTGTTGGCGGCGTCCTCCTTGCCCGTGATGAGCTGCTCCGGGTGGAACAGCTGGCGGTACGTCCCGGTGCGAACCTCGTCTGCCAGAAAAGTAACACGCTGTTGATTGTGCCCCGGGTCACAGTGGGCCAGATGATTGGTGCAGGGAGTCAAAATGCTGGACGCGTTTTGAGCTCCAGAGTCGCTACATGGGACTCGAACCGAACGTGTGACCCCATCAATGGATTGCCAACCCCGCGGTGACCCGACTCACCGACGACCGTGGGCTCCAGGTCCATGAACACGGCCCTGGGCACGTGCTTGCCGGCGCCCGTCTCGCTGAAGAAGGTGTTGAAGGAGTCGTCGCCGCCGCCCACCGTCTTGTCGGAGGGCATCTGGCCGTCGGGCTGGATGCCGTGCTCCAGGCAGTACAGCTCCCAGCAGGCGTTGCCGGTCTGGCACCCCGCCTGGCCGACGTGGATGGAGATGCACTCGCGCATCTTGAGCTTCTTCGGGTTCTGCTTCTAGGCGAGGACGACGGAGTGCGGGGGCGGGGCGATGTGTCTCGGTGCGCGGACGGCAGTCGAGTGAGGATCAGGGAGAGTTGACTCAGTTTCCCCAGCGACGACAACAAGGATTAGCCAAGCCGCCCCCGACAATCGCCATCAGCCCTCTCTCCATCCTTATCCCCGTCGCCGCTCTCTCTGTCTGCCACCTTCAAGGTGTTACAGTTGAGGCTGCTCCTCGAGGAAGTGAACGGGGCTTACTCCTTTGCGGAACAGGGGCTTTCTTGCCTCCACCTCTCACGCTTGACCATGCCTCCGTTAGGTTGGGTCGGACCCAAAGAACACGAGACACACACGAGGTGTTAAAAGAAATCAAAATCACGTCAACGACCGTCAAGGCCACATATTTTTTTCCTCGAAGTTTTCACTACAAGCACCCATGTTGACATCAAATGACGTCACATTGAGTGTTCTGTGGGGGGAGAAGTCCGTTTGCCGGCCGGCTCTGTTCATGACAAGGCGCCCGCCAGTCATTCCCTCGCCGCTCCCGGCGATACCCCGCGCCTACCGAGCCGCGCGCCCCGCGGCGCTACTCCACGCCGCAGCGGCGGCCGCGCCCAGTGGCGCGCTCTAGCGGCGCGCGCCGCACACGGAGCCGTCACTTCCCCCTCCGCGAGCTTCCGCGCCGCGCCGCGCCGTCGGCAGCGACAGCCAGCCGGTCCAAACACTGCAGAGGCGCAGCGGCCGCGGATCTAGACAAGACTTACGGCTAAAATTAAATAGTGGCAATCCGGCAGGGGCGGGCAAGGCAGGGCAAGGCAGGGCGCATCGGCGCCGCAGTGGACCGTACCCGAGACACCGCGCCGGGGGCCTATGTGAGCGGCAGCGCCTGGCAGTGCCACGGCAAGGCGAGCCGTCCTCCCCGTCGACGGAGAGGTTAGGTTCCCCGCAAGCAGAAGGATGACATCACCGGGTGAGTCTGTTGGTGCAGGGATTTGGGGCTGGTGGCCATCCGTGCCGCGGCGGGGGTGACGCGGGGTGACGCGTGCCGCCGGCCGCGGAGGCGACACGCCCCGCCGCATTCCTGCCGCGAAATGCAACAAGTCCGCGGCCGGCGTATTCTCGTCACTCTGAGTCATTAGTTCTGCGCGTTGATAAAGCCCTTTCCGGAGCTTGTCTTGATCCGCAGGCGCGGCCGCGGTGTTCCGCTATCACTTCCTGTGCAGGGACACTGTTTCTGGGTGTTGGCTCCGCTTGTTTACCTTGGGGCGCAAGGCTGGCCGCCGCTGGCATGATCAGCTGTTTTTGGCAGCGGTAGTGCTGTCGACGCGTCGCAGAGTTTTCTGTTTGTGGCGGCGGAGCCGTGTCAGTGAGCGACGCAGCACTAGCGGTGGAGCGGATCGGGCTTTACTGTACTGGCTGTACTCCAAAGGAAACGGGTGTGTGCTGAAAAGCCCCAGTGTGGGCAGCCCTAGTGCGGCTGTCTCCATAAGCACGGGGTATCGCCCTCTCCAGCGGGGCTACTCCGTGCCGCGAAATTCGCTCGCGAGCTGATACCTCGACGCTCTCGCTCGTCTAGACGGCAAAGTACTGCGGTGCTTACCTCTTCAATCCTTATTCAGTGCTTCCGCGGAAATAATGACGGAAAAATAAAAGACGCATTGGCGTTCCTCGCAGACACTCCCACCGTGGACGATGTCTTCGACTTCACGGACTCGGAGGACAACGACGCGCCGTTCCCGCCCTCCTACATGGTGGTCCGCTTCGCGGCGGACGTCAAGCCGCGCGCCATCGCCTGGCTCGTGGACAAGGTGCGCGGGCCGCGGTCGCACGGCGGCGCCGAGCTGCTCGTCCGGAGGCAGCACACCGAGCCGGGGGAGGTGAGTCGCCGCGCTCAGTCTTTCATCGGCAAAAATTAAAGGGATGACACACACACACACACACCCACACACACGGCACTGCACCGGAAGGACTCTAACTCGCTCCTGGTGCTGCAGGGCATCATCCTGCACGTGTCGGCGTCGTGCCGCAAGCTGCTGGAGCTGGCCGAGGAGATGGAGCTGAAGAAGCGCGACCAGGCGGGCCTGATGCGCGAGTTCCTCTTCGCCCACCTGCGGGACTTCGTGGGCGAGAAGGGCGACCGCGAGGACCTGCTGACGACGGCGGAGCGGCAGCTCATCGTGCGCCACGAGCTGGACAACATCCGCGCCCTCAGCGAGGACCCCAGCATCCCCGGCTACGTCAACTTCCGCATGTACGAGGGGCAGTCCATCGGTAAGCACCCCAGCCGCCTCCACCGGTCTTCTTACCTTTTGCGCACTCCCCCAAATTTTTTGGTAAAATTTATGTTTTACATAGTTTTTTTTTTAAATCTATCATCTAGTTTTTAAAAGGAGCAAGAGAAAAATAAAATTTAATTTTTTAATTTTTTTTTATTTTTTTTTGCTTTAGTGCAGGTAATGATGCACAAGCTCCTCATAACGGCCATGTACCCTCTGCACGACGCGGAGGCGCTGAAGCTGCTGTCCAGCAAGTGGTACTTCTCCAAGGAGCAGCCCGTTGGTGAGTGACTCAAGCAGGTCTTCCCTGTTAAACTGATGCTTCGTTGTCGGGCGCTTCATTCAAGCAAATAACTAAGTCGAGCGCGGAGAAGAAAATTTCCCCCGCATTTAGATGGGCGCAAGTGAGAACAGCGCTTGAAGAAAGGCTTAAAAGTTCGCTTCGGTCCTACCTCCCGGTGGTGTTGGCCTTGCCGCCGTGTCTGCAGTGCGCCGCCGTGTCTGCGAGCCAAGGCGATCGGTCTGGCATCGTTAGCGCGCTGACGTTCGTAATGAAAGCTTGGCCGGCCATTAGGCGGGCCTGGGCCCAGCCCTGCCTGTTTCGGCGCCAAGTTTGATTCCTTGGCTGCTTGCAGAGGCCATCCGGCTGTACTTCGGCGAGGCGGTGGCGCTGTACTTCAAGTTCCTGGACTTCTACACCGTCAAGCTGCTGATCCCGCTGACGCTGGTGGGCGTCCTGCAGATGGCGCTGTCCACCCTGGAGACGCTGCCCTTCTTCTGCGTGTGCAACGTGATCGCCGTGACGGTGTTCCTGGAGGTGTGGCGGCGTCGCAGCAACGAGGCGGCCTTCCAGTGGGGCACCATCGGCATGACCAGCCTGGACGAGCCGCGGCCCAACTTCCACGGCACCATGATGGTGGACACCATCACCGGCAGGCTGCTGCCGCAGTTCCCGAGGAGGACCACCTACATCCGGGTAAGGGGTCTAGATCAAGTTAGGGGTTCCAACTCACAGCCTTGGGTTGGCTTGGGACCTCCCAAGGTTCAACTTGGTGCCAACTTATATTTTGAAGATCAAAAAGTAGCAGCATCAAAAAGCAGAAATTCGGTGTCGGTAAATGGCGAATCTTGTCCTGCAGATGTACTGCGTGTCGCTGCCCATCGTGGTGCTGTGCCTGTTCCTCGCCTTCCTGGTCATGCTGGCCTCGTTCCACGCCGAGGAGCGGCTCACGCAGCTCGCCAAGGACCCCGAGTCCGGCGTCACCTCCCTCACCGTCATGGCGCCCTCCGTCATCTACTCCATCCTGGTCTACATCGTGAACCTGTACTACCGGCAGCTGGCCACGTACCTCACAGAGTGGGGTAAGTTTCTTTCAACTTTTAGGACGATTGCAAAGTGGCTTCATGAGACGAGGACTCATGTTGGGTTCCGATGTAAAATTTGTTGTAAATGTGGATGATTACGTAATACATCAAAACAGGAAATTTTGAGTCGTGCTCAAAATCTAGTCGAACCAAAAGTGCAACCACGGCTGTTTGAACCTAAGACTGACTTGTCTCCGCTTGTTTTCAGAGAACCACCGCACGCAGTCTCAGTTCGAGCGGCACCGGGTCATCAAGCTGGTGGCGTTCGAGTTCGTCAACACGTTCATGGCGCTGTTCTACATCGCCTTCGTCTACCAGGACATGGACATGCTGCGCTCGCAGCTCGCCACCATGCTCATCATCCTGCAGCTCGTCAACAACGTCCAGGAGGCCGTCCTGCCGCTCCTGATGCGATGCATGAGCAAGGTAACGCAAGCGGAGAGGATCTGCCATTGTGTGGGCAGAGCCGAGCGCCCGGCACTGTAGGCCGCCGTCTTGACAGGGGCGTCGCGGGGTGGCCTATGCGCCAGGCGCTCAGCCTAACGGTCTCAGGGTAGGCCACCGTCTGGACAGGGGTGTCGCGTGGTTGCCTACGCGCCAGGCGCTCTCCACCCAGCCATTGCCGTTGCCTGTCCAATGCTTGCTCTTGCTTTGAGAGGCACGCTGCGCGTTGTGTCTGCAGGTGCCTTCCCCTCCGCGAGTCCCGGACTCCAGCACCGTGAGGGCGCCGTCCGCCTCCGGGGACGCGAAGGACTCCGCGGACACGCGAGGGCTGCGGTACCGCGGGCCGGCGCGCAGCCTGGAGCTGTACCCGGGAGTCCCTGAGGTGCTGCAGGGCATCCCCGAGCTGGACCCCGACGACCCCCGGCAGCAGCAGGCCCTCGCCGAGGGCGCCATGGACGTGTACGAGGGCACGTACGACGACTACCTGGAGGTGTTCATCCAGTTCGGGTACGTGTTCCTGTTCTCGGCCGTGTACCCCCAGGCCGCGCTCTGGGCGCTCTTCAACAACCTCATCGAGAGCCGCGTCGACGCCTTCAAGCTGTGCCGGCTGTACCAGCGGCCGCTCGCCAGGAGGGTCAAGGACACGGGTGCCTGGCAGGTGAGGATCGCAGGGACGCGGGTCACAGCCCAGTCTTCTGGCCCACTGTGCGGGTTCAAACACTGGCAGCTTCAGGTTCCGAAATTGTTTAACGGCATGTACTCTCCACAGCGCGCGTTCGAGGCCATCGGGGCCATGTCCATCGTGACGAACTGCGGGCTGCTCTGCGTGTCCCCGCCGCTGCGACGACTCGCCCCGGAGCTGTCGCAGACCGAGTGGGTGCTGCGGTGGATGGTGGTGGAGCACTTGCTGATGGCCGTGCGCTACGTGCTGCACCAGGCCATCCCGGACAAGCCCGAGTGGGTGCGCGTCGCCCTGGCCAAGCTCAACTACCAGAGCAAGCAGGCCCTGCGCAAGGAGGTAGGCGTGGTGCACCCTTTTTGGCTTTGCCTGTGCATGCCGCAGAGAGCTGAAAAACCGGGATTCCAGAAATTTTGGGTCTATATTCTTTTGTGGAGTTCATTGGGAAAAATGGACCTAAATTTGTGGAATTTCAGTATGATCCGGACTTGCTTGGCATGCCGAAGGCTGCTGCGGATTTCATCTTGTCTCGGAAACTGACTCGAAACTCATTTTCTCGATTCCAGCGCGCGCTCAAGCGTCGCCTGTCGTCGCGACGGTCGCCGTGGAAGCCGGGCCAGCCCTCGGGCCAGACCCACCTCGAGCCCCGCCGAGACGCGGAGCTGCACTGATTGGCTGCAAAGCCTGCTCTGCAAACTGAAATGTGTGCATGGCACACTCTATTTGGAGCATGCCAAGAAGCACGCTTTAAATTGGAGCGTGCTTGGCAGGCACGCTTTAAATAAGAGTGTGCTTACCAGGCACGCTCCAAATTAAAGCGTGCCTGCCAGGCACACTCTATTTTAAAGCGTGCTTAGCAAGCTCACTCTAAACTACAGCATGGACGGGACGGCAACCACACTCCTGAATGCTCGTAATGGCTTTTATTTTTTAATTATTTAATACATATGTACTAATGCAAGGTTTCCATTTTATACTTTAGGGAAGCAACATTTTAAGTTTTCATTTTATACATCAATAGTAGTGAAAACAGCGGAGAAGCTTTGTTGACGTAAAACACATCTCAGCACTAACAAGACTTAAAATGTTGCTTCCCTAAAGTATAAAATGGAAACTTTGCATTAGTACATATTAAGTGGTTGCCGTCCCGTCCATGCTGTAGTTTAGAGTGAGCTTGCTAAGCACGCTTTAAAATAGAGTGTGCCTGGCAGGCACGCTTTAATTTGGAGCGTGCCTGGTAAGCACACTCTAATTTAAAGCGTGCCTGCCAAGCACGCTCCAATTTAAAGCGTGCTTCTTGGCATGCTCCAAATAGAGTGTGCCATGCACACATTTCAGTTTGCAGAGTGCTCAATCAACTTCGACTGAAAGAAATTGAAATTCCCTCCAAATCGCCGTCACGTGACGCGCCGCGTTTTCCCGTTGTGTTGTGACTGTTTCTTTTTTACGTTTTTCTCTTAGATGTTTATTACTTAAAAGTCTTTTTAATATTTAATAAAATACTGTTGCCTTTTCGAGGTGATTGCTCTCTGGGCTGGCGGCCTGCAGCACCCTGGCTTTCTACACTCAGTCAACGTCAGCGTCGACCACCGACCAAGTGCACGTTTCTTTTTGGCGTGCGTTTTTCTGCGTGCGGTTGCGCGCCCCGCGCCGCGTGCCAGTTGCATTTCGATTGAGAAAGCGTCGTCGCGATTTCAGCCCGCGGCCGGCCAGCCCGGGCCAGCCCCGCCACGCCGCGGAGTGCACGGAGCACGCGGACACCGGAAGTTCACGGCCAGGGAAGTGCGCTGGGCCGCTGGCGCTAGCCGGCCGGTGCCTGCGCGGGGCTCCCCTCCCCAAGGGCGGCTGGGCGGCGGGCCGAGGGTGAGGGTGGCGTGGCGCGGCCCCCCGAGGGGCAACATGTGACTTGACCTAGCCAGAGGGCCCATCCCTTGCGCTCGCATCGATCGCCGAGGGGTGGGCCCCCGTGCCCCACCCGCGGCCCCACCCCGCGCCCGCTCCAGGGTGGGCCCTTCCCCTCCCCCGTCCCGGGCGGCTGGGGCGGCGCGGTGGGAGCGTGAAGACTGCGCTGCGAGTCTTGTGGCCTGTGGCCCCTGCGCGGTGCGGCGGTGCGGCGGGGCTAGAGGCCCGGGCCAGGCGGGGCCGAGGCGGGGCGCGGCGTAGTGGCCAGTCGGGTCGAGCGGGACGGGGACCAGCTTGCCCGGCTCGGCCTGCCTGGCAGCGCAGCGCCTGCCGTCCGCGCCCCGCGTCCCGCGTCGTCCCGTCAGTCGACTCGTAATGCTCGTGAGACGAGGGCCGCCCCGGGAGTGGTGCTGCGGTGTGGGGCCTTCCAGGGCCTCCTCGCCGCGCGGCCCGTCGCCGTGTCCGCGACCGCGGGCTGGCCGCGCTGGCCCTGCTGCCGGGTGGCGGTCCGCCACCACCGTCCTCGCCGCCGTCCTCGTGGTCGTGCTGCACGTCGTGAACCTGGCGTCGGCCGCCTGGCTGCTGCCGGACACTTCCGGCATCGACGGCCACCTCACCGAGAGCCTCAACGTGGACAAGTTCTTCGGGCTGTGGCTCGTGTTCAACGACGAGGCGCTCAGCCTGTCAGGTGCGTCGGGTTGCACGGCACCTGGCCGTCGACGCGGGTTACCCAAGGTGCAGCGACACTTACCCCACGTGCCTCGACTTCCCCTGCACTCGTCTCGACTTACCCTCACCTCGACTTACCCTCCGCTCGACTATCGTTGTTTATTCTCACGCCCCTCCGTCGCTTTCCTGAATGACGAAGAACGCGACGCCCTAACCGGGACTCTGCCCAAGCCAGCACTTACCCTCACCTCGACTCACTCACTGAGCCATGACTTACCCTTTCCAGCGAGATCTGATTGCCTTTCACTGTGACTTTGATGACTGTGGTTTTGACGCTCCGTATTCATGACTCGCCCGCTGCCCACCCCCACCCCCGCGCCGCCCCCGCGCCGCCCCCACGCCGGCCGGGCGATGCCCCTTAAGGCCGCGGGGTGCCTGCCGGCCCAGCCACCCCCGGCGTGCCAGGCGTGGCCGGATCAGGGTGGAACCGGTTCAAGTGTGTGTTCACTGTACAGTCGGGACGAGCGCCGCGGCGTGGCGGCGATCTGTCTGGAGTGTACGAACTGCATGCGGCGTGGTACAGTCGTCCGGCGGCCCCACGCTGCCCCGGGCCGCCCCGGCCACGCGGACGGAGCGCGTCTTTGCAGAACGGCTTCCTTTTAAAATTGACCTTAAGTGGCCTAATTGGCTTGGCCAGATTTTCTGCGAATATCCAATGACGGCGTTGCCGGCAGTGGGGGCTCTGCCCGCGGATTTTCGGCTTCCGAGCAGTGTCCTTCATCTGCTGCCGACGAGGCGCAAAATTGCGCGGCACACTGCGATTGCGATTACGGCCGTGTTTCCCCGCGTCAATGGGTGCCCCTCTGTCCCGCTGCTCGCCGCGCGTCTCCGACAAGCTACGTCGCCGCGGGCCACGGCGGGGCCACGGACCGGCTCGCGATTGGCTGGAGAATGTTTGCACGCCTCCCAAGTCGGGCTCTGCATGACGGGGCCCAGGAAGACCGCGACACCGCGACGTACGTGCCCGCCAGTGTACACACGCGACGGCGCGAGTGTTTGAACCGCTAACAGGTTTGTGCTGGGTTGTGCGCTGCATGGCGTCCTCCGTGTCCCGCCGGCCACGCTGTGCTGGCGGTGCTGGCGGTGCTGGCTCTCCAACCCCCTCGGCCACTGCTCTCTCGGAATGAACTGCCCAAACGGCCGGTTGCGAGGGGGCAAAAACTCGGTATTTTCGTGTACACATGATTCGGAAAACGCAATGATTGCGCATGGTTTTAATTGATTTCATGGCTGATTTTGCCTTATTTCGCGACGCACCAGGGTGATGTTGAGCGTGATTGCGTGTGATTGTGTTCGGAAAGAAATGATTTCGGACTGATTTGGCCTGGTTTCGTGTGATTCTGCCTAATTTCGGTCGATTTTAGTGATTTTGGCTGATTTTGGCTGATTTCGGATTGCTTGATTTCGCGTGATTCTCAATAATTCGCGTGTGATTTCGGTGGCCGTGTACACATGATTGCGCGAGTTTTTGCCCCCTCGGCCGGTTGGCTCGGCCGGTCGGGGGGCCTCGCATCGAGCCTCGCATTCACCACATTCACATTGCAATTGAAGGAGCGCCTGATTGCGGTTCGGGTCGGCTTATTCGCCTTCCTCTTCCGGCACCGAGCGGGAAGGCTCGTGATGTGTCGGCTTGCCATCGATCCAAGACGCTCTCTCTGTCTCTCACTCCGAGAGGCTTCCCTCCCTTTCTCTCGCCCCCTCCCACCCCCTCCCACCCCCTCCACGCGCCGCCGGCCATGGCCGGGCACTGCCACAAAATGGACCAGTGTCGTTCGGGGTTGTGTTTTGTTTTTGTTTTTTGTTGCCGCTGTCCAGCTGGCCGGCCCCCCTCGATCTCTCGAAGCAACCCGATCTTTGAAATACGGGAATACGAGAGCGCGGCCGTGCTCGTGCCAGCTTGCGATAAATCGCGTTGGGCCGAAGCGTGCTCTTTTTGGGCCGAGGCTCGCACGCCTGGACGCGGTCGGGTCGACAAAACAGCAGCAGCAACGCGATAAGTGGTGGCTTGCCTCGCCGTGCAAGTGTCCTGCAGTTGTCCTGCCCATCCGGGCTGGAACGCGCTGGAGCGCACAGTGGGCCAGCGCGGCGCGCTTTGGACTAGGACAGCCTGGAGTGTGGCGTCCTAGACAGAGCGGGCGGATGAAAATTGGTACTTCCCCATGCGGTCCGTGACGTCAACCTTTGCTTCTAAGGACCTCTTTGCTCAGCTTTTGACCGCCGCTTTTCACGAGTCCCGTGTTCTCGTGTTTACAAACGCCCCACCCGCCCCGCCCCGCCGGCGCGCCTCGCCAACCAGCGGTTCCCAGAATGGGCGTGGGTCCGCTTCGTGCACGTACGCATGCCTTGGCGTGGACTCAACGGGCAGGTTACGTCTCCCAGGGCGGGCTGTGCGAGTGTGTGTGCATTGTGTGTGTTTGTGTGACTTGTGACATGCAAAAATAACTGTCCTGTCAGCAAGCCGCAGCGGACAGTGGGCCAGAAGATGGGCGTCCTGGTGGTGGCTGCCCTATTCCTGTTCATTGATGCGTCGTCGGCCGAGCGAAAAGGGGGAGGGGGAGGGGGAGGGCCCCGCCACTGCACGTCCGGGGCCCGGAGGAGCCCGTCCCATCGCGTAAGGCCGGAATGGTTGGCCGTAGCGGAATGGAGATGGGGCCGGCAGGCCGGCAGCGCGGCTGGAGTCCAGGCTGGAGTCCAGGCTGGAGTCCAGGCTGGAGTCCAGCGGCCACGGCCGGCAGAGTAGAGGCACTCTGGCCACTACGCCGTGCCGGCCGTGCCGGCCGTGCCCCCCGTCCCCGTCCCCCGGCCGAGCCGATCCCGGCCCGTCTCTGCCCGCGGCCCCGCGGCGTCCCCACCCGTCCACGCCACCACGCTCAAGGCGCAGGTCATCGACTCGAGACGACAGGGCGGGGCCGGGCGGGGCGCGGGGCCGCGGGGCACGCCGCGCGGGGAGGCTCGGACAGGTGCCGGCATAACCCACGCCGTGCCGTGCCGCCCCGCGCTGCGTACTTCCAAGTGGACCCGTTGCCTCTCTCCCCGTCTCCGTCCCTCCCCCGGTCCTTCCCTCGCCTTCCCCCGTCGGCCTCTCTCGCTCACCTATGCGATAACGCGCACACCCACGTCTCGAACCTGCCCTTCATGTTGACGTTCGCGTTGCTTCGCGTTGCTTCGCGTTGCAGATAAGCCCTTCACCATCCTGGCCCCCGTCAACTCGGCCGTCAGCCCCCAGGCCGAGCCCGGCGCCATGCGCCGCTTGCTGCTGGACCACGTGGTGCTCGGCAAGCAGCTGGACCTGGACATCGGCGCCGACCTCCGCTTCGCCACCCTGGGCGGTCACACCGTTAAAGTGCAGAACCACAGTGGTAAGGAAACGCCCCGCGATTCGCTCGGACTTGCCTCTCGACCATTTTCCGGACCGCCGCCCTTTTCCGCGCAGGCACTCTGACGGCCAACGGCGCCCGCGTGCTCCAGGCGCGCGTCGAGGTGCCCAGGGGCATCCTCGTCATCCTGGACAACTACCTGTTCACGCCGCCCTCCGAGGAGGCCCTGACGAGCAGCTCGACGACGCCGGGGCCGCCCAGTCTGGAGGCCGCCGCCACGGCCACCGCGTCCAAGGCCAACGCCTCTACCACCACCACGACGGCGGCGTCCTCGGAGGCAGGCACGGTAAGCCACCGCGCCGCTTGGACCAAAGGGGATTTATTTCGAGTTTGAATCGACATTGCCTTCTCTTTGCAGACCGTCCCCGCATTGCCTACCGCCGCCGCGCACGTGGCGCCGTCAGGCTTCCTGCACGACGTGAAGCAGGTCCTGTCCTTCCTCAAGAGCGGCACGCGCGTCTTCCAGCACCTCATGTCCCGCTCGAACGTGAGCCGGCTGCTGGGCAAGGACCCCGGGGCGCAGTACACCCTCCTGGTGCCCACCGACCTGGCGTTCCAGCGCTGGCACCCCATCGACTGGGGCTTCTACCCCTTCTCCGTGGCCGAGTTCAGCGAGAGCGTGGTCGTCAACCACTTCCTGCAGGGCGACCTGCGCGTCGACGACCTCAAGGACGGCCAGGTGGCTAGCTCTTTGGAAGGCCGGGAGGTGGTTTTCGCTCGCAAACGTGAGTCAAGTGAAAAGTGAACTTAAGTCCTGCCCGGAGCCATGAGCCATAGTTCGACTTGTCTTTCCAGCCAACTTGACGGTGAACGGCGTGCAGGTGGTGGGGGGCGACACGCCGGTGGCGCACGGCAACATCCTGCTCATCAGCGAGGTGCTGTTCGTCAACGAGGACGTGGTGGCGCGCCTGCACGAGAACAACCGCGACAAGGAGACGCCGCCGCTGCTGGCCTTCCCCTGGATCGGCGCGCAGTTCCTGAGCCACGCGTTCCTGGCGCTGGAGGACGCGGGGAAGGGCTTCAAGCACGCCACGCGCTTCCTGGGCAAGGCCGACCTGGCGCCGCACGTGCCCGGCGCCGGCTACACCTTCTTCGTGCCCACGGACGAGGCCTTCGAGAAGTTGGGGCTGGACGCGGCCAGGGACGGCTACCTGGCGACCGGCCCCGGGTTGCAGCTGCTCCTGAACCACTTCGTGGACAAGAGGCTGTACGCCAGGGACCTGCAGAACGGCTCCACGTTCGACACGCTGGGCAACAGGACGGTGACCGTCAGCAGGAAGCAAGGTAGGCCCACGACGCGACCTGGCTGGGTCTGGAGAATGTCAGGCACCTCAATCACCTGTTACATTGGGGGCTATTACGAGGCGAGGCCAGTCCTCCTCGTTTCCACGACCTACTGTTTCCTTTAGACTTAGTCAACTTTGATGCAACTTTGTTGGTTAACAGAGAAATTGTCTGATTGTAGGTGCCATCTACATCAACAAAGCCAAAGTGGTGAAGAGTGAGGTGTTTGTCTACAATCTAGGCACTATGTTCTACATAGACAGCATCTTGTTCAGTGAGGAAGGGCTCCCTTCATTAGACCACGAAGAATCTAGTTCAACTGGATCATCTCATGGTGAGTTAATATGAATATAATAATAAATTTAAAAGTTTAACTCTCGCTAAAAGCTGTTAATTTTTCTTTTTTTTCTAAATAAATTTTTTTTACATGTGTTTTAATTGTTTGCAGTTACAACACATCTTCCAGATGAAGTTGAAACTATACCAGTTGAACTAGGGCAAGATACAGACAACGAAAGTCTTGAGGATAATGATCCAGATCGGGAACCAACAACAACGGCACCTGCAGGTGCAGAGGCCAAGATAATTGAACTTGATCCTTGAAATCAACAAAATGTAAGCAACCACTCAAATAGAGACCCGCAATTGCTCATTTAACTCAACTTTTGTCTTCCCACCTTGTGACTAATAGTCGCTTTGGTTAAGGATCCAGTGGATAAGACAATCTGAATAGAGAGCCAAAAAATTGATAAATTGTTCAAACTTACTTGTGAATTCAGTGAAACGTTCTTTATTTCATATTCATATAAAAAGTTTATCATATTTTTAGGAAACCCAGACTTGATATATACTTCCTTAACTACTGATAAAAAAAATTAGTAATGGAGGTAGAGATTGTTTTTAGCTTTAGAACTGTTCTAGAACTGCATTTGAGTTAGTCTGACAATGCATGTTAGTTTGACACCACTTTGGTCACTTTGTAAAGAGTGTGCCAGGTACACCTTTTTTCACACTACTTAGTGGGATGTAAGTATCTCTACACTTTTTTTAATTAGTTTTACTCATTCTTATTTAATTAGTGTGTTGCTGTGTGGGTTAATCGAATCTGGAGGTATACCATTCACGAATCTTGAAACATTATCCTGTGCCAGACATTTTAAAATCTTTCCCAAGTGAAATTCAACACAAAGATCTCACTGATAGAAGTGCATGGTTTAAGAAATAGCATTTCAAGAGGTAAAAAATCCACTTATGTAACATTTTTATGTCATTTATGTTGTGGTTTAGAATACTGTACCCATGTGATCCTCGTTTATAAGTCTCATATTCAATTAGATACCTAGCCTTGATGTCTTTGTTCACTGTCATCTCACTAAATCTGTACTTCAAAATTAAGTCTGTAAAAATATGGATGACAGCCAGATGTGCCAAACTGAAGTAGTTAGACTGTGGCAAGGAAAGCTGCAACCTAGAAAGTTAATTATCGGAAAAGAATTAATACGATAAAGAGTGCTTCTGTACATACATATCTGGCCTTTCTTTTCTGATGAAACTCAGAGTACTGTTTGAAACATTAGGGCCACTGAGGTGGGTAAATTGCATATCAGTTTGTGATCATACTTGAAGCTTTCTTGCTTGCTATTTTAATTATCTTTTTGGAAAATAAAATAAAATTGTGCACAAGTTAAAGAAACATATCTTAAAATATTTAGTTGGATGGATTCTGAAGTACTTTTTATGCCATTTATGTACTGTATTTACAAGAGTGCAAGACGCTCGCTAGAGACACAGTTTAAATTAATATACAATATTGCACGCAAAACTCCAACTTTTGGGTCTTTCTCACGAATAGAAAATTTGAGACCCAATAATTATGTAAATACGGTAGTTAATTCATTGTGATATGAAGGTGGTCTTGTTTGGACTCCACAAAACTGATTCCCCTTATTTATAAAGGCGACATTTTGTCAAAATAAAACTACCTAAAACGAAACGATGTTGTCATTACCTTACACACTTGAAAACAACTTCAATATTTTTGGAACTTTCAGACAGAATGTAAGTGTTGTTTATAGAACTTGGGTTTAGTTAGAAATAAGATCCAAATTGTCTTAAAGACAAACCAGTTCATTGAACCAATGAGCCAGTCAGTCTCCTGCTAACAAAGCGAACAGAAAATGTTAATGTATTCTACTACGAGAGCAAATAGTGGAAGCCGTTAGATCTCTCAAACTTATGTGAAAACAATTAGGGGGCAAATAAAGTGGAACAAAATAAAGATAACAAATTTAATCATTGAAACACGATTAAAAAATAGAACACGGTGATCACTACACCATATAAAAAGCGGCTAATAGGTACAATTAAAAACATCAGGTGAGAAGAAACACTTAAGAGATAGGACTAGTACATGGGCAAAGATTAACATTACATAATGAACTGGACTAGTACTCGTCTTCCTCATCGTAATCGTCACCGGCTGTGTCGGCGCCCACCTCCTCGTAGTCCTTCTCGAGGGCTGCCAGGTCCTCGCGAGCCTCAGTGAACTCGCCCTCCTCCATGCCCTCGCCAACGTACCAGTGGATAAAAGCGCGCTTGGCGTACATCAGGTCGAACTTGTAGTTGACCCGAGACCACGCCTCGGCGATGGCGGTCGTGTTGGAGAGCAAGCAGGCCGCGCGGGACACCTTGGCCAGGTCGGCGTCGGGGATCACGGTCGGGGGCTGGTAGTTGATGCCCACCTGCAGGAACGAACACCACACAGCGTCAGCACTCGCACTAACAAGCACGCCACAAACCAGTCACTGCACTGCACTCCAAACAGAAGCTGAAGCACGCACCTTGAAGCCAGTCGGGCACCAGTCCACAAACTGGATGTGCTTCTTGGCCTTCATGGCTGCAATGGCGTTGTTGACATCCTTCGGAACTACGTCGCCGCGGTACAGCAGACAGCAAGCCATGTACTTGCCCAGGCGCGGGTCGCACTTGACCATCTGGTTGGCAGCCTCGAAGCACGACGACGTGATCTCGCCGATGGTGAACTGCTCGTGAATGGCTTTGGCCGCGCTCACGACGGGCGCGTAGCTCACCTGCTCAACCCATTCCGATTAGAATCAAAGCAAAAATCAAAGACCATCCCACACCACTTTCAGGGACACTCACCAGAGGGAAATGCACGCGCGGGTACGGCACCAGGTTGGTCTGGAACTCGTTGAGGTCCACGTTGAGCGCGCCGTCGAAGCGCAGCGAGGCCGTGATGGAGGACACGACCTGGCAGATGAGACGGTTCAAGTTGTTGTAGTTGGGACGCTCGATGTCCAGGTTGCGGCGGCACAAGTCGTAGCAGGCCTCGTTGTCCACCATGAACGTGCAGTCCGAGTGCTCGAGCGTGGTGTGCGTCGCCAGCACCGTGTTGTACGGCTCCACCACGGCGGTCGCGATCTACAACAAGTCCGTCGGTCACTTCAGCCACTGACGCGGCCGCACAAAACAAACAACCGGCACGAGGGCTCACCTGAGGCGCGGGGTAGATGGAGAACTGCAGCTTGCTCTTCTTGCCGTAGTCCACGGACAGCCGCTCCATGAGCAGCGACGAGAAGCCGGAGCCGGTGCCGCCGCCGAACGAGTGGAAGATGAGGAAGCCCTGCAGGCCGGAGCACTGGTCGGACACCTTCCGGATGCGGTCCAGCACTGTGTCCACGATCTCCTTGCCCACAGTGTAGTGGCCGCGCGCGTAGTTGTTGGCGGCGTCCTCCTTGCCCGTGATGAGCTGCTCCGGATGGTACAGCTGGCGGTACGCCCCGGTGCGCACCGAGCCTGCCCCAAGCACGCCGTCAACAACAACCACAACAACAACAACAAACACACGGGGGCAGTCAAAAGCGTCAACACTCACCGATCACCGTGGGCTCCAAGTCCACGAAGATGGCCCTGGGCACGTGCTTGCCGGTGCCCGTCTCGTGGAAGAAGGTCGAGAAGGAGGTGTCCGTGCTCGAGGCGGGCATGGTGCCATCAGGGTTGATGCCGTGCTCCAGGCAGTACAGCTCCCACGCCGCGTTGCCCATCTGCACTCCGGCCTGGCCGACGTGGACGGAGATGACTTCGCGCTGCAAGGCAAACAAAGTCGCGTTGTACTTCCATGACCAGAACGCCAAGTCCACCAAGCTTCGTCAACAGGGTAAACACCACATTCACTCACCATTTTCGTGGATAATCCTAGGCAAATGACGAAGTTGAGCGCGGTCGAGCGGCAGCGGCAAGTGAAGTCCGGTGTCCGGTCGAATGCAATATATAGACACGCCTGTGGGGGGGAAGGGAGGGGGCGGAGGAGGAGGGGCAGGAACAGGAAATTTCTTCCGTTTTTTGGCCTGTGATAGCTCTGGACCGGCCAGAGGTTCAACCACCGTGAAGGTGGGGGATGTGCCTTGCGGAGGGATGCTGGTTGTCAGTGGCCGTTGGTCTGTGTCCGAATGTGGACTCACTCTCGCTCTCACTCGCCGGCTGCTCGCAGCTGCCTGACAGAGAACGAAGTCGTTTTCGAACGCAGTCAATGTAGTTCTTGATCCGCTGTACGAAAAGTAGTTCGAGACGGTCGAGAGGCTGTGAGTGGCTCCCTCTGAGCGGTCAACTTGCGCATCGTTTCGTCAAACCCAACCCGGCCGGTCCAGACCTTGTCGGTCAGAGTGTCACAGTCCTCGGTCAGTGTCGCATCCAGCCACCACACTTCAAGGATTTCGCTGCTGGCAGCTCGTCGCCTTTGTCCTCATCAGTCTATGAAAGGAACTTCAAAACGAAAATGGTAAGTGCGTGCGTTGTCGACTTAGTCGACGAAGCTTGGTGGACTTGGCGTTCTGGCCATGGAAGTACAACGCGACTTTGCCTGCCTTGCAGCGCGAAGTCATCTCCGTCCACGTCGGCCAGGCCGGAGTGCAGATGGGCAACGCGGCGTGGGAGCTGTACTGCCTGGAGCACGGCATCAACCCTGATGGCACCATGCCCGCCTCGAGCACGGACACCTCCTTCTCGACCTTCTTCCACGAGACGGGCACCGGCAAGCACGTGCCCAGGGCCATCTTCGTGGACTTGGAGCCCACGGTGATCGGTGAGTGTTGACGCTTTTGACTGCCCCCGTGTGTTTGTTGTTGTTGTGGTTGTTGTTGACGGCGTGCTTGGGGCAGGCTCGGTGCGCACCGGGGCGTACCGCCAGCTGTACCATCCGGAGCAGCTCATCACGGGCAAGGAGGACGCCGCCAACAACTACGCGCGCGGCCACTACACTGTGGGCAAGGAGATCGTGGACACAGTGCTGGACCGCATCCGGAAGGTGTCCGACCAGTGCTCCGGCCTGCAGGGCTTCCTCATCTTCCACTCGTTCGGCGGCGGCACCGGCTCCGGCTTCTCGTCGCTGCTCATGGAGCGGCTGTCCGTGGACTACGGCAAGAAGAGCAAGCTGCAGTTCTCCATCTACCCCGCGCCTCAGGTGAGCCCTCGTGCCGGTTGTTTGTTTTGTGCGGCCGCGTCAGTGGCTGAAGTGACCGACGGACTTGTTGTAGATCGCGACCGCCGTGGTGGAGCCGTACAACACGGTGCTGGCGACGCACACCACGCTCGAGCACTCGGACTGCACGTTCATGGTGGACAACGAGGCCTGCTACGACTTGTGCCGCCGCAACCTGGACATCGAGCGTCCCAACTACAACAACTTGAACCGTCTCATCTGCCAGGTCGTGTCCTCCATCACGGCCTCGCTGCGCTTCGACGGCGCGCTCAACGTGGACCTCAACGAGTTCCAGACCAACCTGGTGCCGTACCCGCGCGTGCATTTCCCTCTGGTGAGTGTCTCTGAAAGTGGTGTGAGATGGTCTTTGATTTTTGCTTTGTTTCTAATCGGAATGGCTTGAGCAGGTGAGCTACGCGCCCGTCGTGAGCGCGGCCAAAGCCATTCACGAGCAGTTCACCATCGGCGAGATCACGTCGTCGTGCTTCGAGGCTGCCAACCAGATGGTCAAGTGCGACCCGCGCCTGGGCAAGTACATGGCTTGCTGTCTGCTGTACCGCGGCGACGTAGTTCCGAAGGATGTCAACAACGCCATTGCAGCCATGAAGGCCAAGAAGCACATCCAGTTTGTGGACTGGTGCCCGACTGGCTTCAAGGTGCGTGCTTCAGCTTCTGTTTGGAGTGCAGTGCAGTGACTGGTTTGTGGCGTGCTTGTTAGTGCGAGTGCTGACGCTGTGTGGTGTTCGTTCCTGCAGGTGGGCATCAACTACCAGCCCCCGACCGTGATCCCCGACGCCGACCTGGCCAAGGTGTCCCGCGCGGCCTGCTTGCTCTCCAACACGACCGCCATCGCCGAGGCGTGGTCTCGGGTCAACTACAAGTTCGACCTGATGTACGCCAAGCGCGCTTTTATCCACTGGTACGTTGGCGAGGGCATGGAGGAGGGCGAGTTCTCAGAGGCTCGCGAGGACCTGGCAGCCCTCGAGAAGGACTACGAGGAGGTGGGCGCCGACACGGCCGGTGACGAGTACGATGAGGAAGACGAGTATTAGTCCAGTCAATTATGTAATGTTAATCTTTGCACGAGTTCTAGTCCAATGTATTGTGTTTTCTGCACAACTTGTATTTAAATGTATGTATGAATGTTGTCTTTTTGATATCGTGTTGTGATCACCATGTTGCATTTTTATAAATTTTTAATTGTGTTTCAATGAATATATTTGGTATCTTCATTTGGTTCCGCTTTATTTTCCCTGATGTCACTTTTTAGTTTGAGGCAGCTCTAATGGCCTGCGCAAGTTGAAGCAGGCGAGCGCCTGGAGAGCAGGCAACCCAACCGACACCGCCGCAAGGTGGGTGTCGCAGACAGCTTTAAGAGGTTCACGAACTACCCGTCCGTATCAGGGAGGGGTCTAGAATCGTTTTTTCCGAGAGGTCCATGCCACGCCTTTTGCTCACATTTCTGGGCGGTACCAAATCTGCTCCCCCTGGTTGAGTGTTAGGGGGTCCCCGTACCGGCCCGCATGATCGGGGTCTCGTAAGAATTCGTCGGGAACCAAGATTGCGGTAGGGCCCCTGAAGACGCCGTGTCTGTGTCAATGGGCTGGGAGGCGAAGATTCCGCACCAGGAGGCACGCCGGCAGTGCCCGGCACACCTTCCACCTCTGCCACGCCGCGGCCACAGCTGCGCCGGCGACCACCAGCAAGGCAGGGCAGGGCGAGGCTGGGCCGCCAGGTTGTCCTGCGTGGCCGCGCCGGCCGCGGCGTGCTGCATGCTGCGCGGTGCCGGGCGGCGCGGCGGCTTGGACGTGGAAGGGGCCCGGGAGGGGGGCGTACCGCCGGCCGTGCCGCTTCGCTTCGTGCCTCCGCCGCCGCGGTGCTGCGGTGCCGGCCGACTCGCGGTGTGGCTACGCGGCCGCGGCGAGGTCCGCGTTGTTCGAGTTGTGTTCGGTTCGGTTCGGTCGGATGGATCAGTGTGTTGGCGAGCGCCCTGAGAGCTGCGCCGCGCCAGGCCCCCGCCGCACCGCGCGGCCTCCTGCTTCGGAGTGCCGGACTTCGCGTCGCCTCGCCGCCGTCAAGTGCTTGATTGTCAAGTCCGCCGCGTAGTGCCGCGTGGCCGCCGCCAGCAGCATGGCGTCCTCCGCGGAGGAGGAGGAGATCGTGAAGAAGCAGGCCGCCGCCGTCGTCGAGGACAGCCCCGAGTTCCGCGGTAGGGAGCGAAGACAGTGTAGGGACGCTGCCGTTGCCATGGCGACGGGCTGAAGGGGCCCCGGCCGGCAGGGCAGGCCCAGGCCGCGGCGGGTCGCGTCTTGTGTTAACGGGACGACGGGAACAGGAGGCTGCGCGCGGCGCGGCGCGGGGTCTTCTTGGCTGCGGCACGCTGACGCCAGCCCTGGCCATGCCTCGGCCCTCTGCAGACTGATTCCCAGAGTCGTTTTCATCGCTCTGTCTCTCTCGCACTCATGGGGCGTCCCCTGCAGGTGCGAGAGGGGCAGAGCGACGAAAGCGACTCTCGGAGTCAGTCTGCTGGTCGGTTCCGCTCGCGGCCAGGGCTCGCGCCTGTTGCGCTAGTCCGTCCCTTGGTTGCACTCCGGCGCAGGTTCGTCGCCCCGCGCCATGCCAGCAGTGCCACCGCGGTGGCGCGCGGTGCGCGGCTCCGAAGGTTATTTCCAATCGGCCCGGATGTCATCTCACTTTCCGTGCCGCGGCGCCGCGGTGCCGACAAGGCAACTGCACCCTCCGCCACCGTAAAAGCCAGCTGTCGGCGTTAGGGGCGTAAGTGGGCCGGCGCTGGTTTTTGCGGTTGTTTATTTTCGGTTAGGGGAGTTTCAGTGGCGGGATTTTACGGCTGCCGCCTCGCTCGCGCGTGCCACGCCACTGGTTACACCGGCACACCGGTACGGCAGCATGTGGCGATGGACTCATAATTATTTTCAGTGGCGTCGCGTCGGCGTCTCAGTGTGCCTGTGACGACACTACTGTTGCCATTCTTCGCGAGCCAGCTCGCGAGTGTTAGCGGCCACTCCACTCCTCCACTGCCAGGCCAATTTGTTCATTGGTTTCCCCCCCCCCCCTCTTCCCGTCGTCCCCACTTAACACTATTATCCGTAAGCCAGAGCGTCTTTGCCCAGTCAAACAGACGGAGAGAATGCTTCGCAGAGCTGCTAATAATCCGAGTGCCAACTTCCTCCGTGCTTGAACGCATGACGGTGAACTCCCATTCTCAAAAATAAACTACCGGGGATGACATACTGAGTGACTCACAACACAGACGCTCGCCGGCACTCAATCTGACACTCTCACTCTCTTTCTTCCTCTCTCTCACTCTCTCTCTCTCTCTCTCTCACGCGCGGGGGGACACGCCGCCGCCATCCGCTGCCTTGGCGTGGCCGGCGGGGCAGCGCGAACGCTTGCCGAAAGGTGGCGACTCCAGCTGCGAATCGATGGGGCTGTCTGCCGGCCGAGGACTCGCTGCCGCGCCGCCATGCCGGCCGTGCCGTGGGGCAGCACGGCACTGGGGGTTGGGGCCGTTGGGGCTGGCGCAAGGGCTGGCGCGGGTCGGCCTGAAGGTCGGCGCCAGTCCCGCCAGCCGCAAGGGAGCGGCAGCGCCGGGGGTAGCGCCGGGGGCAGGGCTGGGGGGAAGGGCCGGGGGAAGGGCCGGGGGTGTTTTCCAGTGGGTTCCGGCCGCAGTTCCCTCTTCCCTCCAGCCTCAGTCCTGCCGTCGCGGCCGTCGCGGCCGTCGCCATGGGCTCCAGCGCGTCCGTGCCGGCCGTGCCGTGCTACTGCCTCGACGCGGAGCCCATCCCAGGTGCAGTGGTGCAGTGTCGCGGTCCACAGTGGGCCAGAGGACCGGTGGAGGCGGCTTCTTCTGGCCCACTGTGCGCTGCGACCTTACGGTGCCCTGACCCTGACCTCGCGCAACGCCGGCCGCACAATGGTTCGAACGGCCAACTCCCCCTCCACACGCCACGCCCCCGAGACCACGTCCTCCCGTATGGCGCCACACGGACCACGCCCGCGCCGCGTCGTGGGTTCGACTCCCGTCACCGGCACACGCGTTTTGATTTTTGATCATTTTTCTTACAGAGGCGGTGGCGAGGAGCCAGGACGTGGAGGATGACCTGGCCGTGGTGCAGGTCGGCTCGAAGCTCTGGAAGGTGCGCTCCTTCTCCAAGTGGTACCACCGAAAGTACTACCTGGACCGCGACAACGGCGTCCTCAAGTACGAGCCGAGCCACAAGCACCACTGTGTCTCCGAGCCTCGATACAGTGAGTCTTCTCGACGGAAATGACGCGCTTGTTTGGGAGTAGTTTGCGTTGTTTGTCGGTCCCGACTTTGGTGGACTAGCTGGCGGTGTGAAGAGGGAAGTGATCTGAGAGATTGTTCCGTGGAAAAAGGGCTCACGGCTCACGCAATCATGACGATCGTTCTTCTAATCTAATCGCGAGGGGCGCCGCTCACGTGCCTTTTCCACTTTTTTGCCGAGGGGGTAACCACACTGTAAAACGAAACGTGGACAACTCCACGGCCCACTGTGACGTCCCTTCCTCCTTCCAGTCCCAGTGAGCCAGATCGTGGACGTGCGGCGTGGGTGGAAGACGGACACTTTCAACAAGTTCGGGACCAAGGTGGTGGGCGAGCAGCGCAAGATGAAGAACAGCCTCAAGCTGAGGCACCGCGACAACGACGCCGGGGTGAAGCCTCTCGTGGACGAGGCCTGCTGCTTCTCCGTCGTCTACGGCGACAACCGCAGCAGCCTGGACCTCGTGGCCAACAGCCCGCAAGTACGGCAAGCACGTACGAGTGCATAAGTACACACTAATTACACACTGCATGCTTGGCCCCGTAACTGCATGCCACGCATGTATCCAAGTGTGTGCGTACTTGCGAGTTATGCATTTTTAGTTCGCAGTGTAGGAACATGGAGTGAGGTGGTCTCACCTGCGAGCAGGAAATGCCTCATCCCTGGGGTAATCTGAACAACTGAGGCGGCTAAGTCCGGGCGAGTCCCGGTCGGTGCGTTTCGCGTAAGTGTTATCTGGTCCTAACGCCTCGGCCTTGGTCCTCGGCCTTGCATTGCAGGTGGCCGCGGTGTGGGTGCGCGCGCTGCGACACGTGGTGACCGTCATGCGAGGCCTCAACCAGGACAACCGGTTCATCATGTGGGTAACGGACCGCCTCTACACTGTAAATCCACGTGCGGGACGGTCCCACACCTGGAGGCGTGGGACACACTGCAAAATCCGATAGCAAGTTTGCTCGTCACAACATTCGCAAGCCGTTTTGAATGCCAAAAATTGGCAAGCGTGGCAGTGAAAACTTCATCAGCTTTGTCGGCTTGCAGCCATGCCAAATTTTGGCAAACTGGGGAGTGTTTCAGGGCCAGTCTTTACCAATTTTTGGCATTTTAAACGGGTTGTCAATTTGCCACCGGATTTGCAGTGTACACGTGTGAAGCAGGCGTGTCCCTCGCTTGCATTTGCAGAGTAGTCAAAATGAAATGCACAGAAAAGGAGAGGACATTACAGAACTAATGGCTATGTTTGACTATGGCACAGGTGGCTGCAAGCCAAGTTCCAGGACGCAGACGTAGACAAAAGCGGCACCCTGCACTTTGACGAAGTCCTTCGCCTTCTGATGCAGCTCAACGTGAAAATGTCCAAGAAAAAGGCGCTCCAGATATTCAACGTAAGCAATACCTTCGCGGACTTCACCTAGGGTCAGGGCGGGGATGAACTGGACAGGGGAAGAACTGAACACCCCATATTTTACTTCAAATGCCGTACAGGCACAACAATCAACAAGAGTTGTTCCGTGGCATCAGCGGTCCATTACCTGATAGTTGTTAAGCCTGTGAATACGGCATTTGAAGTAAAATATGGGGTGTTTAGTTCTTCCCCTGTCGAGTTTTTCCCCGCCCTGACCCTAAAACGTGATTGAGTTCCGGTTCGCTGTAAGCTTACGCCCCGGGTAGCTTGCAGACACCAACAAGCCCGAGAATCCGGCGCAGGAGGAGCCCTCACTGGACGCCAAGGAGTTCGTGCAGTTCTACACGCTGCTCATGAGCAGGCCGGAGCTGGAGGCCCTGTACCACAAGTAAGCAACCGAGCGGTTCGTCGCTCTGTCTCTGTCGCACTCATGGGGCTCTTCATAAGGGTGCGAGAGAGCGACAACCCGCTCTTCCGAATCACTCGGCGGCCTGAGCATGGCAAAAGTGTGGATGCCCTCCGCCATGGCCGAGATTCGAACCCGCGCCTCTGCTTTCGCCCACAGGTACGCGCGCAGCGCCCACGAGATGACCACCGCGGAGCTGCAGAAGTTCTTGAAAAAGGAGCAGAGCATGCCGGACGTGACGCTGGACGAGTGCAAGAGCCTCATCGACGCCTTCGAGCAGTCCGACGAGCTGAGGAGCAGCGGCCGCATCTCCACCATCGGTGAGCCAGCCCGGTCATTTTAGGCTTCCACACAGGCCGACGGGCACAGTGGGCCAGAAGACCGGTGGAGGCGGCCAAAACTGTGGACGGGTTTTGAAGCTCCAGAATCGCTAAACAGGACTCGAACCGAACGTGTGACCCCCACCAATTGATTGCTCTCCGAACGGGCGTTGGTGAGGTCACACATTCGATTCGAGTTCCATTTAGCGACTCTGGAACTCAAAACCCGTGCGGGATTTTGACCGCCACCACCTGTCTTCTGGCCCACTGCGATGCGGGTGAGTCGCGCTGCAGACAGTCGGACAGGCAGACAGGTAGGCAGGCAGACGGACAGACATGTGGGCGGGCGGGCTTGCAGGGATGCCGTCAGGGCAGGGGGCACTGTGGAAAACAGCGAGGCTCTGTCAGAATGTTGAACAGAGTATTAGAATTCCAGCGGAGCGAGTCCAGGCTGAGGTGAGAAGGGCGGCGTGATGGCACCGTACCTACTTGGATCCTCGCATGATGTCATGCCGGCACTCCCGTCAGCCGAGCGACTCAGAGGATCGCTCTGTCTCCCACGCACCCTTACGGAGAGCCCCACGAGTGCGAGAGAGACAGAGCGACGAAACGACTCTCCTGAATCACACGGCACGGCAGGCCTGCGGCAGGCCGGCACACTGGCGGGGCCGCGTCCGAGGCGGCTCTGTTTGCGTGCCGTTCGGAGGCGGCCCGGCCCGCGCGCCGCGAGTGGACGCCACGCGTGGGAGCATGTAGCCAATTGAGGTTCTTCTCCGCCGGTATAACGTGTCACCCTAGTAAGGACGACCTTGTCTCGTTTTGCAGTGCAGGCGAGCATGTGTCGGGCCCGAAATGGCATACGATCATGTGTGGTCTAGCCCTTAATGGTAATGGTAATGGACGCCACGCGACGCGTGCGGCACGAAGGATTGTCCACCTCCACGGCGCAACGGCCTCGCGGTGGAGGTGCGCGTTGGGGCGTCTACCTCGGAGGCGCGTACCGGCCGCTGCCGCACGATGGGTTGCCTACCCGTCCGGAGAGCGAGTGACACTCCACTCTATCCGGAGTGACACTTCCACCTCTCTCAAGCTCCCACTCACGTCGGTGTTTCCCGGCCGCAGGATTCACGCACATGATGAGCTCCGAGAACTTCCAAGTCACCAAGCCAGCGCACAAGACCGTGTACCAGGACATGACCCAGCCGCTGAGCAGCTACTACATCGCCACTAGTCACAACACGTGAGTCCCAGCAACCCTGCGCCAAAGCGCGTCGTCGCTCTGTCTCTCTCGCCGCGCTCGTGGAGCGTTCCGTGGAGGTGCGAGAGAGACAGAGCGCCGGCATGGTTCTTCCTTGGGATTCGCTTGGCGCGGCAGGGTTGAGAAGGACAGCTCCCCACGATGTCTGTGCTGCTGCAGGTACTTGCTGGGGCGGCAGGTGGTGGCGGAGAGCACCATCGAGGGCTACGTGGAGGCGCTGCGGTGCGGCTGCAGGTGTCTGGAGCGTGAGTAGTCATCGACGGCATGCCTCCACCGGTCTTCTGGTCCACTGTGCGCTGTGCGATGGGGCGCTCACTTTTGGCTCCCTCTGTCCAGTGGACTGCTGGGACGGCCCGGACGGCGAGCCCGTCGTGACCCACGGCTACGCGCTCACGACCAAGCTCATCTTCCGCGAGGTGCTGAAGGACGCCATCCTTCCGCACGCCTTCACCTTCTCCGAGTACCCCGTCATCCTGTCCCTGGAGAATCACTGCACTCCCGAGCAGCAGAAGCGCCTCGCCTTCCACATGACCGACGTCTTCGGCGGTGAGCACTGTCAAAACTTTGGCTCTCACTTCATGACACTTTCAAAGCTAATTTTGCGGCCTCACCTTGGCTCCGGTTCATCGTGAGAATTTTGGCCTAACACTCCAGCTGACAATGCCGATGTTTTCCGCAGACCTGCTGTACCTGGACCCGGTGTCGCCGGACATGGAGACGCTGCCGTCGCCGGAGCAGCTCAAGCGGCGCATCATCATCAAGGGGCGCAAGGCCGCGCCGGTGCAGGCGGCGGAGAGCGAGTCGGACGAGGACGACGAGATGGACTCGCTGTCGCCGCACCACGCCCACGGCCTCAACGGCCGCAAGAAGGCCTCGGACTCCAGCAGCGAGAGCGACGTGTCGCGGCCGTCCTCGCCGAACCTGTCCGTCGCCGCCAACCACAAGACGGTGCACAAGACGAGCTCCAACGGCAGGAGGAGGTCGCACCAGCCGCCGCAGCTGGAGAAGGTGACCGACCAGAACCTCTCGGACCTGGTGAACGTGTGCCAGGGCGTGCACTTCCACGGCTTCAAGGAGGAGGGCAAGTGCTACGAGATGGTGTCGCTGTCTGAGAGCAAGGCAACCAAGCTCATCGACAAGTGCGGCGAGGAGTTGGTGGACTTCAACTCCAGGCGGCTCAGCAAGATCTACCCCGCCGGCACGCGGACGGGATCCACCAACTTCCAGCCCTGGCCGTACTGGAACGCCGGCTGCCAGATAGGTGCGTATCAGGCAGAGCGACGGAAATGACTCTCGGAATCAATCCAATGATTAATGACGCATTGCATGCACTGCGCAGTCGCCCTCAACTACCAGGGCCTCGACAAGCCCATGTTCATCAACGAGGCCAAGTTCAGAGACAACGGCGCTTGCGGCTACGTCCTCAAGCCGGACTTCCTAAGACTGCCCGACTTCAAAGACTTCGCCTTCAACCCGACGGCGGCCAACATCGGCCAGATACCGAGGCTCAAGGATAGGTATGCGGCACAATTTTCCAAGGGCGGATCCAGAGACGGGTTCAGGGGAGGCCATGCCACAAAAGTTGCCTACCTACAGGGGCAATGTACGACTTGATGCCTACTTTTCAGGCGGCTTGATCGCCTTGAGGGGGAGCGGCACCCCCATAGCCCATCGCCTCCAATTTTCTCACAAATAAAATGCAAGAAAATTTTGTTTCTGAAATGTTTATTATTGAATCTTTTTTTGCAGGAGAAGACTGCTTAGAATCCAAGTCATCAGTGGCCAGCATTTGCCCAAGCCTGAGGGCGAGGGCCTGAGCGACATCCTGGACCCGTACGTCAAAGTCATGATCATCGGCCACCCCATGGACATGAGGAAAAAGCAGACGCCCGTCATCCACGACAACGGTAAATGCCTTGTGAAAAATACGCCGTGCTTCACACTCTGTAAACTCAACAGTGTCCTGCTTAACAGTGTACTCACAAGTTCGGCTATCTTTTTTGGCGCAGGCCTCAACCCCCGGTGGAACAGCACATTCCAGTTCGTAGTGAACGTCCCCGAGCTCGCCTTCATCTACTTCATCGTCAAGGACGAGACTCCGCGTCGCCACGACCCCATCGTCGGCGCCTTCGCCCTGCCGCTCACCTCCCTGGCGCCCGGTGAGTAACCACACTGTCAAGAGTTTTCTAGAGACCGGAACCCCGAACTGATCAGGCGTGACATGTTGCTGTTCGGCGTGCCTGCAGGCTACCGCCACGTGCCGCTGATGGACATGAGGAGGCGGATTCTGGATCCCGCCTCGCTCTTCATCCACACCGAGATTACCGAGCTGGTGTCCTGAGGGGGGTCGGCGGCTGGAGCGGCTGGACGATCGGCGTCCCTCACGCGACCTCTGCAGCTCCGCCCTCCAGCCGCCACCGCCGCGGCGCCGACGTCGCCGACGTCGCCGTCCCCGGGACCGGGACGCGTCCGCTGAGGACGGCCGTCGCCGTGCTCCGTGCGCGCCAAGCCCACCGCACAGATCGGTGGAGGCAGACGCATGTTGAGCTCTAGAGTCGCCGAACAGGACTCGAACCGAACGTGTGACCGCACCAATGGATTCCTCGTTCGGAGAGCAATCTATTGGTGGGGTCACACGTTCGGTTGGAGTCCCATTTAGCGACTTTGGTGTTCTAAACCCGTCCGAGGTTTTGACCGCCTCCACCGGTCTTCTGGCCCACTGTGCGTCCCACCGTCCCGCCGCAGACTGTGATTCACCGCCCAGCTTCCCTGCTCCTTCATTCACTTCCACGCGCGGAAGCCTTGTACGGGCCACATGCTTCACGTGACTGTTAGTTGTTATTGTTTTGTTACCGTTGATTTTTATCATTATGGATAGTAATAAAAAGACTTTTAATTTTTCAGTGTGTTGTGTACCTGTGTCTTTCCCCCTTACTCCCGTGAGGTCGCATATGGTTTGAGGATGTGGTTTTTGGAACTGAACTGATGAATGCGCCTTCCTAGCCTTAAGGGCCATTGGCCTGACACTGCTTATCTATACTCTTCGCGTGCGGCCGGCACCAGCGGGACCAGCAGGTGGACTTGACCGCGCGATTTCTCATCCTCGCGGGGTAGGTGAGCCTCGCGCGGCAAGCGACCTGCGCGGCGTGGCGGGGCGTGGCGGGGCTGTCGCGCCGTGTCGCCGAGGAGGAGACCAATCCACTTGCGCGAGGCCATCCAGTGTAGCGTTTTTGTTGTTGATTTTTCTCTCTATATCTCTCCGCTGTTGTTGTTGCTGCCTCTGCTTCCGTCTGTCACCGAGCAGCCGCCGCGCCACGCCGCCTCTCGGCACGCCGCCAGTGGCGGTGGCGGCGCGCGGCGGCCCCAAAGTACGGCCGCGGCCCCCGGCTGGGCTGCCCCCGGCCGGCTGCCGCGGGCCCCAGTGCACACACGCCGCCGCCCCGCCACACTCGCGGAGCGCAGCGCAGCGCGCAGACGGTTCGCAGCAGCACCAATCGAGTAAGTCCAGCCTGCACATCGTCGCTACAAATCCAAAGGTTAGACTGCTCCCCACTCCAGAGGCGAGAAACAAAGTCTCGTCAAAATGTGATCTGACCACAGTTTTGGAGAGACTTTTAGATCGTACCAAAACTTGGCAAGCCTTTGTGCCTCGCCACACACCATTTTGGCGCGAAGTCTTTCCATTCAAGTCGCAGTGGCTGTTGCTCTGTCTCTGTCGCACTTATGGGGCGCTCCGTAGGGGTGCGAGAGAGACAGAGCGACGAGGCACTGGCCGAAATCAACCTGCAGCCTGGCTGCCTCAAACGCCCAGCGGGGGCAGCGCTCCTCGCTCCTGCTGCCCCTTTGGTGTTTCTCGTACTGAATAGATCTTTAAGGGTTTTCAACGCTTTGGCTCTTGTTTGTCTCGTCCCATGGCTACACGGCAAGGCGTCGTGAGCAAGTAGTGTACCACTGGAGGTACACTGGAGCCGCCAGTCCGCCCGTTCGTCTCATTCCATTCGGCTGTGACGTCATCGCGATCCGACTGCTCCTGTTGGCAGACAAGTTTACGGCCGTAGCTTATCCGTTTACTGCGCCAATGCGGCGAATGCCAGTTGCATAAACCGCCAATGCGGTATTCCAGTCGTACGTCAGTATGAGAAATTTGCAAGTGCGCTCGCACCCGAAGCCGTTTCGCCGGGCTGCCTACCCGCTGGATGGCGGGCGCTGCACAGTGGGCCAGAAGACCGGTAGAGGCGGCCAAAACTCCAGACGCGTTTTGCGCTCCGGAGTCGCTGAGCGGGACTCGAACCTTCTCGTTCCTGGTAGAGCCTATCATGAGCCTACCATGTTCATGTTGTGTTCATGTTGGCAGTCATGGTCGTGAAGAGGGTGGCGGTGATCGGCGCGGGGGCGGCGGGCCTGTCCGCGGCACGCCACCTGGTGGCGGACCCGGACCACTTCGCGTGCACCGTGTTCGAGCAGACTGGCAACGTGGGTGGCACCTGGGTGTACACGGACCGCGTCGGCAAGGACGAGTTCGGGCTGCCGGTGCACTCCAGCATGTACAAGAGCCTCCGGTAGGTAGCCTGTCGCACGACCGGATCCGATTCGAGTACCAGACCCCGGATCGGATACCGGGTACAGATTCGCCGTCAGCAGACAGATTCCGAGAGTCGTTTTCCCGTTCAATCCGTCCCATGCTCGCCGTCCCCCAGGACCAACCTGCCGAAGGAGATCATGGGCTTCCCGGACTACCCGATTCCCGAGCAGGAGCGCTCCTACCTGCCCGCCAAGGACATCCTGCAGTTCCTCAACGACTACGCCGACCACTTCCGCGTCCGCGAGCGCGTCCGCTTCTACCACCACGTCCTGAGCGTGGCGCCCAAGGCGGGCGGCGGCTGGGCCGTGCGCACCAGGGACCTGCGCACCGAGCAGGACCAGGAGGAGGAGTTCGACGCCGTCATGGTCTGCAACGGGTAAGGGGCGTACAGTGGGCCAGAAGGCCAGCGCAGGCGGACGAAACACTAGACGCGATTTGAGCTCCCGAGTCGCTAACTGGGACCCGAACCGAACGTGTGACCCCACCAATGGATTCCTCGTTCGGAGAGCAATCCATTGGTGGGGTCACACTCTCTGTACGAGTTCCATTTAGCGACTCTGGAGCGCCTGCGATGGAGGGAATAGCCTACGCCGCGCGACCGGTGCGAGTGGCGGGACTGCCTACCCAGCCGGGCGTTCGGCCTCCGTCGGTGTAACCGCGCTGCTCCGCTGTCTGCTCCAGGCACTACTCCAAGCCCTTCACGCCCGCCCTGCCTGGCGTGGACTCGTTCCTCGGCGCGACCCTGCACAGCCACGACTACCGCACGCCGGACTCCTTCAAGGGCAAGAACGTGGTGGTCATCGGGGCGGGCCCCTCGGGCATGGACCTCTGTCTCGAGGTGAGGTGACAGTTGGCTGCCAGCGCCGGTCTTCTGGCCCACTGTGCGTCCACACTGGCAGTGACCTTCCCTCGGACCTTCCCGTCGAAGAGAAGCGTTCAGAGTCCTTGTCCTTGCCGCAGGTGGCGTTGGGCGGCGCCGCCAGCGTCGTGCTGAGCCACCACTGGCCGGAGCCCATCAACACCCGCTTCCCGGACAACGTCCGCCAGGCCGCCGACGTGGCCAGGGTCATGGAGCGCAGCGTCGAGTTCGCGGACGGCACCACGGCGCCCGCCGACGTGCTGTTCTACTGCACGGGCTACCTGTACAGCTTCCCGTTCCTGAGCGACGAGTGCCGCGTGCGCGTCGTGGACAACCACGTGCAGCCCCTGTACAAGCACCTCGTGCACGTGGACCACCCCACCCTGGCGCTCGTCGGCCTCCCCTTCTACGTGTGCGCCAACTCGCTTTTCGACTTGCAGGTACGGCAGACTGATGCCGAGAGTCGTTCCAATCGCTTCGTCCCTGTCGCACCTACACCGTACGCCCCGTGGGTGCGGGAGAGACAGAGCGACGAAAACCGAATCAGTCCGCAGATTATGTTGAAAAGAAAAAGAAAAGAAAGAAAAGAAACAACGTACTTGCTGTGGGTGGGATTTGAACCTCGGCCCGTTGGCTTTGCAGGCCCGCGTGTTCGTGCGCACCCTCAAGGGGGAGGTGGTGCTCCCCAGCCGGGAGGAGATGCTAGCCGACACGGAGCGGGAGATGGAGAGGCGGCGCGCCATGGGCATGAAGAACCGCCAGGCCCACATGATGGGGCCATTGCAGGTGAGCCGCCGTTTCCAACTCAATCTCTCAAGTTCACCAAAATGTGTAACATTCCAAGCAAATTTGTTTATTTTAAAATATTCCACCTCTTGTCAGGGTGATTACTACTCGGAGCTCGCTGCATTGGGAAATTTGGACAGTCTGCCAGCAGTCCTGACGAAACTTCACAACGAAAGCAGCCAGCGCTTCCTCGAAGACTTGGTCAATTATCGAGAAGATATATACAAAATTATTGATCAGGATAATTATATTAAGGCCAATTAATTTAGGAGTAATGAGAGGAAATGTGATTTAAGATAAGCCCCATAAAAAGGTGTTTTTAGTTTATTTGGAAAAAACATTAACAAAGAAATTTCAGGCACCTATGTACAATAGAGTTCTGCCTATCTACAGAGAACATTGTACATTCTAGCATTGACTATCATGATGGTTAAAACAAAGCCTCATGAGTTTTGCTTAGAACAATGGAGCTGGCTTCATCGTAAAAACAAAAGCCAAGACGTAAAGATAAAATTGAGCTAAGATCTAATTTCATCTTTCTTCCCCTGCACATTTTAGAAATGACAATTGAAAAAAGAAAACCAAAAACTGATTAGCTTTGAAACTGTTAAGACATCTTCTTCAGTAAGGTAGTAGCTAACTTTGGTAATTAAAAGAGGAGCAAAAAGATAAGAAGAAATGTACATACTTCTTACATTGGAATGGAATGTATAATACTGACAGTCTTGAATAATAAATACTATACAAGTGGCTACAATATTGACAGTCTTTGCAAGAGCAAAACATTCACGCAATACGTCTGTCACCAAATGTAATTGATTCCTTGCAACTGACAAAATCCAAAGTGACATTTGTACAAACAACATCGACCGCAATGTTCAATTGAAGCCATAACTTATTATATAGGAAACTAAGAGTTCATAAATGCGAGGGAAATGCTGTTCTTTAGCGGGGTGTGTAGGATCAGGGTAATTCCTCAGAAGGGTGCTCGGAGTTCTTGCCTGTAACAAAAAAGGGCAGTCAAAAAGGTTTGCAGTTTGCAGTTTGCAGATAAAGCCCACTGTTAAGCACATGTTAAACAAACACACACAAGTGACAAATCTTTTACACAGTAAGTCAATTATTACAATTTCTACCAAGATCAAAACTAAATTGTAATGTTACTAGCACTTGTTACCATAAAATATTGCAAAAAAATCTGGACTAAAAGTTGAAAATTCACCACAAGTGGCATAACAAATAATTTTCACACAAGTTGCACACCCTCTTAAGTTAGTAATGGAAGCAAAAGTTACAGAATCAAATACAGCAAAAACAAATTCTTTGGATTAATGTAAGGCATTCAGCGTTGCCATATTTAATTCCAAGCTTCTGTATATACCTAACCCTGAAAGATTAGTCCACAAATAAACATGCTACCACATCAATCATCTTGTCAGTAATAGAGTCCAAATTAATAAAACATCCACCATAATCGAATTTGCTGCTGACACCTTCATGCACAATGAGTCTTTGTCATACAAACTAGCAAAAGCATATTGGGTGTTATATCAGCAAGAAAAAGCTTCTGAAAAGGAACGAAGATTAGAAATAAACCCCCGTTACAGCAGACCACATATTTCCGTGGAAGAAAACCATGCACTATCACCAGTGGCCTTACCTTCAAACTTCATAAAGAAATAATAATAGTTGTGTAGTGGAGTAAATAACAATAAATAGTGATAAAAGCAAAATTAATCGCATATTAACCCGTTAATTACCCCTTCCAATAACATTTCAGAATCCAATAACGCTACTTTAATTAGGGGAAGACCATATTAAAATTTATTGAACTATTTATTAGACAAATCTAAGTCGATCACAACTTTTAAAAGAGATTATGAAAAATGTTAAGAGGCTTATATAACATGTCTTGTAGAATTTTAAGCCAAGAACCCCTTACACCACAAAAGTGCATCTAATACTGAATGATACTGACTAGCTCAATAAGTAAACGACTGACAAAGATATAACAAGCAGTGTTCAACCAGACAAGGGTGTATGCCATGAACAACTTCATGGAGAGATGATACAAGTGGGGCAGCTAATTAAAGCAAGAAGTGACAAATCTGTAAACAAAGAACATACATGTATTTGTACGCTCGATTAATGTGGAAAACATAAGCAATTTATTTGAGGAAAACTATATTGATTCCACACAATAGTTCATTGACCTGTGTAGACCAAGAAATTTTATCATCAATCAAATATACCAATCAGGGAAATTTTGGTTAAATCAATCTCAAAATTGAAAAATGGTCAAAACAAACTATTGCAAAATTAACATAAGTCAAGAGCAAAATCAACAATTTTCCACATTAATAAAAAGAATCACGAAATACTCTGAGCTAAGCTAGACGAAAAACAAAAGAACCCTGCCATTCACCAATAAGTCTATAATCTGCATGACTATCAGAAAACAGCAAAAACTATGAAAGGAACCTGCTAAAACATTTTGGAAAAATTCCGAAAATTGGTAAACTTCTGGTAAATGGTTAATTACCCTGACATCAAAATGTCAACTTTTTGGTGAACAGACCCAAATAGGTGTGATGCAACATTACTCTTGTTACCTTTTAAACCACATGCAAGTGTTTGGTTTACATAAATTGAAATTTTAAAAAGATGGTGCAAAAGAAGATAAAGAGGACAAATCACATCCAGAAAGGGAAAGGAAATAAAACCCAAACCAAAGAGAGAGTGAACCAAACTAGATAGATAGTTCTTAAATAAATCTGAAAGTAAACCTTTGAAATCATCCCATTCTCTACAGAAGTTACATCATCATTCCCTTTAAAAAGAAGAGAAAGTAGGAACTTTCTAAAATAAAAATAGAGCATGCATAGATGCACAGGGGGACATTACCAGTTAGCTTTCCTGGTGGATTGTTGCAGGTATTTCACAATGTTCTGAACCACATCAATACTAGTGGCTTGGCCTCCAAGATCTGCAAAATAAGGCATTTTAAATATTTGAGCAATTCACATACCTGCCTAAGATAAAAAAGTTTAAATTATGCTGACCATGAGAGTTTTGGCGATCAGAATAATTTTAATATTTAGTGTCAATTGAGTTTTTTTTTTTTAAAATATTAACTACTTACCAGGTGTGTGAATGCGGTCCTCATTGATTGTTTTGTAAATAGCATCTTCAATCAATTTAGCATGGCTAGTATGGCCAAGGTGGTGGAGCATATCAACGCCTGCTTGAAGCATGGCAATGGGGTTGGCAATGTTCTTTCCAGCAATGGCAGTGCCAGTATTACGAGTACCAGGCTCAAACACAGCATACTAATAAAGAAATAAGAGACTAGTCATCAGCAAGATATAAGCACCAGACTCGCAAAAAATATTAGAACAATACTTCAAGCTTACATGGTCACCGTAGTTTCTGCCAGAGAAGAGACCAGCTCCTCCAATGAGACCACAGATAACATTAGAAACAATAGAGCCATACAAGTTGGTCGTGTTGATTACATCAAACTGGTGAGGATTTGACACAAGTTGCATGCAAGTGTTGTCAATAATCATATCACCATGCTGAATTTCGGGGTATTCCTTTGACATCTGTCTAGATACTTCAAGGAAGAGGCCATCAGAAAGCTTCCTAAAAGTCAAATGAAAATTTATACAGTCAACACTTTACCCACAAAACTGATAAATTTTACTTTCATGAATAAAATTATGCATACATGATGTTAGCCTTGTGCACGGTGGTAACCTTCTTGCGGCCATTCTTGCGGGCGAATTCAAATGCATAACGAGCCACACGCTCGGAGTTCTCTTCAGTAACAACTTTCATGCTTTCCACCACACCAGGAACACTCTGAAAATAAAGAGATGTAATTCAAATAACAATGAAATGAAAGTCTAATATGAAATTCAAATGCATATTACACACAGTTATACCTCATGCTCCAACATAGCGTATTCACCCTCAGTATTCTGACGCACAATGAAAACATCAATGTCCCGATGTCTAGAGTTGACTCCAGCATGTGATTTGGCATGAAGAACATTAACAAATAAATCCAGCTCATTGCGAAGACCTACATTTCGAGACAATACACCCGGTCTCGCACTGCCAGTTTCAATGTTTCCTGTTAAAAAATAAATAGATATTTAATCATACATGGTAAAAGTAAAAATCTTAGTTCCAAGAAGAAGAAGTGAGAGAAGGATACCCTTGATTCCAACACCATTACGGCGAATAGAAGTAATAGCATACTCCAGATCTTCGTCACTTTCACTTTTCTGATCAATCTGAACAACTTCAAAGTCAACAGGAACTCCAGCATACCTAAAACACACATGATATGGTCCAGCATAAGGCATTGGATGTCCAACTTTCAAATCACTATTAGTTGATCATGGAAGTTGTCAGACATCTTAGTTTTACCATGATATGGGTTCATAAAGGACCCACACATAAGAACTAACCTGAAGACTTCACGGACATAGGTCATCATCTCGGGACCAATACCTCCACCAGGTAGCATCGTGACTGTGTGGCGCCCACCATATTTGGCAACAGGAATGGCATCCTAGGGCATAGGCGAATAAGTAGATAAAATTCAATATCGTTGCCTTGATGAACGGAAATGAGACATTACAAGAAAACCTACCACTTTCTTTGCGAATGGGTTTGAGTGCTGCAGATCAAATGGTGCTGGAGCTGCCTGCGACAGCTAAAATCAAATGCAAGAAAAATCAGCATGACAAAGAAAGGCGTGCTGTGCAACAAATGCGTGATAAAAATATCACAATTTACAGCAAAGAATATGTTTTTTGTAAATGAAGGATACAGCAAAGTTACTGTCTTTCCTAACCTCGACATGGGAAGAAATAAACGCTCCTACAATAAATCAATGTCATGGCAGTTCAAGATACTAGACCAGGACGTTAACAGAAGTGATATAAATGAGAAAAAATCGGGAAATGAACTGGGTGTGAGATTGGAATATAAAATAATTCAGTAAAATATTTGGCAAACCTGGACCACAACTGCAGACGAAAGAAAATGAGGTCCATAATGCTTACCATTCGGGTGACATTGTGTGGTGAAGAGTACTTCAACAGGGTGGAAACTTTCGTTCCTAATTTAGTAGCCATGATCGTAGTTTTCTTAAAACCCTAATCAGCAAAACCCCCTAAAATGAATGAAACTTGTGTTGGAGACAAAGTGAAAAACAATTGAAGACCGTCCCGAAGTAGAACCTGAGAGAGGAACAAGGGAAGAACAAGCAGCGCGCGTGATTCAAACAGACCAAATCGGAAGTTGGTTTCAACTTTCCTGGTAAAAGCTCTCTAAGAAACGCTAGCATAGACAACCGACGCCAGAATCACCTTTCCGAATGAAGAGTATATTTTTAAACAAGATATTCACCTAGGAAACTAGTCATATTGAAATAAAACACATTCTATCGATTTGGCTATGAGAACGGAAACAGGTTTTGTGGACAGGCTCGTTGATTTTAGGTTTAGGTTTCTGGGTGCCCCTTCCTTCAAGATTTTAAAGGCGGCCCAGATTCTCGAAGGAAACAAAAATCGGCGTTTTAGAAAACTATTTGGGCGCTGTCATTTGTGTAGCTCCCACCCAGCCCCACGTCATCAAAAAATCTAGAGCTAGAGTAAACGCACTGGCTGGCAGCACTACGGGCACGGGCACCAGTGCGCAGTGCGTTGGGTTGGGAGTGCGTTGTTTTGTTTGCCAGCTGATCGGGAGGCAAAAGCTTCAGTCTTGTTTGGTTCGTGTCACTTAGCACGTTTGGAAAGTTTTTTGAGCGATTTAGCCGTTTTTAGCAGCTCCTTACTTTGTTATTTCTGCAAGGTAAGCTGTATATGGTCTTGTGCGCTTGTCGTGAGAATGAAAATGATGTGCTACTTATGATGAGATGTGAGCCCAAGCCAAGTGTCAAAGGCGAGTCCTACAGATTTTGCTAAAAAAAACATCCTATTTGAACCTTGGTTTCACGGGCCATGGAAAAGCCCATGCTTTGTTATTCTCATGTTTGAATCTGTTTTACATACGACTAATCAATAAAATTACGCGGTCAATGTCCGGCTGTCAATAGGCCTAAATATGTCTATTTCCCTTTTCTATGACAACAACAGAAAAAAAAGTCGCCAGATTTGGGCGTTTAAATTTTACAAATTGTAACTTTTTGTTCATTTTTTAAATTAAGGAACCAAACTAAAAAGATATAAAATTGTTTGAAGAAAAGCAGCTTACAGTGAAATTGCGTTTTGGTTGTACTTATTCCCTTACAATCACAAAGAGCAAAGATGTTTGCCAAGTGTCTTTCCAATATCAATTGGATAGAAATTTAATTTCCACTTTCACAGTGCCCCATCAGTTTCAAAAGTGGTGGCATCTTACTGTACAGTTTATCTAACTTCCTGGTTGCATTTCAACTACTTTTGTTTTCATTTGTATACTAGTGAAAGTACATTGCCCTCCTTCATTCCCTGTTGAACTGGGAAGTGCATTTGAATTGCAGATTGCATCCTCTCACAGTTGCATTTGGTTTCTTACTTGCGGTGGACAGCAGCACTTTACTCCGCTGCAACACTGCTGTGGCGTTAGATGTCTAATTTTGTAAGGGTCCTCTTCCAGTAGCCTTTGCCATGATCTAGTCCTCATAGTTGAAGCAACCCCTTGTCTGATATGCTTGATTCGCACAAGCCTCTTGCATTGATTATCATAGCAGATAACCCAGATCCTTTCAATTATTGTGTTCATCCTTGCTACCTTCTCATGTTTCGTTCTTTTTTGTTCACACCAAAAAATATAACGTTTACAAATACTTCTTATGGTTTTGTTCCAGGTACACTGTGTTTGGCTCTCTATGGAGTTTTAACTCTGCCATTTTTATAAAAGCAAACAAAGATGGGAGGTTCAGTCAGTGCTGGTGTCAATAATGATGATTTGGTTGACAACTTAGTGTCAGCTGAATTCATCAAGACATCCAGTGTTGAGCGAGCTTTTCGTGCTGTGGACCGGGGAATGTATTTCACTGCCCAAGGCCGTGAAAGTGCCTACACAGACTTACCTTGGAAGTCAGGAAATATTCATTTGTCAGCACCATGTATCTATTGTGATGTTATGGAAAGTCTGAATCTGAGACCAGGCATGAGCTTTTTAAATCTAGGCTCAGGCACTGGTTACATGAGCACTATGGCTGGACTGATTTTAGGTATGTACACATGGTCTCACAAATACAGAAGGATGGTTTTAACTACAGTTAGCTCATGGGAATTGGTTGATTTTTTTTAGGGCCTTATGGTATAAACCATGGGGTAGAAATTCATCATGATGTAGTGCTGTATGCTCAGGAAAAATTAGAGGAATTCAAAAAAACTGCTGCAGCCATTGATAAATATGGCTTTTGTGAGCCAAAATTCATTCAAGGTATGAAGTTACAAGAAAAAGAAATTGTAATGAAATGACATGAGCTGTGACATTTTTGACTGCACTTTCAAAACTTGTTGGTTTTGCAGGTAATTGTTTACAGTTAGATGCCTGTTCCTTCAAGTATGATCGAGTTTATTGTGGTGCAGCATGTCCTCCATCTTATGAAAATTACATCAAAAACTTTGTGAAGGTAATTAGAAAAAAAAGTTCTGATTGTTGCATTTTGTAAAGAGTTTTAATATTTGTCAGAATTATTTCTATTATTATCATTATTTGTCAGGTGGGAGGCATTCTGGTTTACATTTTAAAAGATCGCCTCTTGAAAGTCACTCGTCTATCAGAAACAACATGGGAGAAAAAGTCAGTACAACCTGTGGCATTTGCTGGCTTAATAGAACCCCAATCATCAACAACTGTATTATTGCGTAAGTATATTGTCTTTGAATCACTGAAGAGCCCTAGTGTTATCAGTGGAAAAAAGAAATTTACTATGATTTAACATTTTTACAGCCATTGCTGAACCTATTTCATTGATGGATGCTTGTCGCACCACCATCAGAGCTCTTCTGCAAAATGCTGTTGACCATGAACATCCAGAACTTAAAATTCCTCTGGCACCAAAAGTCAAGTCTAAGAAACAGCGAACTTTGCAGCGTCTTTTTATGCCAATGTTTGAATCTGACAATCTTCTGAACAGTCTCAACAGTCTTGCTTACTTGGATAGAGTTGACAGAAGAGATGTTGATAGTGACTGGGATGATAACACATCTACTTCATCAAGAGCTGAAGGCAGTACCTCCAGCCCACTCTGTTCAGATAGACCTGTTGCAGATGATGCTAGTGGTTCATCGTGTTCAACTAGCACTGAACACCAACCTCGTGGCTTCATGATCAGGCTTGAAGAATCATCTTCTGATGACAGTGATGATCCATCTGATTCCAGTAGCAGCATTAGTAGCTTAACAAGAGTTTACAAAGCTGAGGACACACTGTTACATACAACGGAATCTCATTCGGTTGCACAAGACCAAGTAGCTCGTAGTTCGGACTCAAGTAGGCCTCAAGATGATTCGTCTGACACATCAATGGATGTAGATCGGCCTATCTCTGACAAATTTCCGTCAGGGTCTAACAAACCTAAAAACAAACATTCAGAAGGTACTGTTACTATAAGGGAAAGAAACAAACGTAAAGAAGCTGAGATGGAAGAAAGTGATGATCCAAATCAGTCAACCAGTTTTGTGCATGTGTCTCCCTCAGTTAGTAGCAGTCCAAGTGAAAGTAATCCCACTCATGTTGGTGACGGTAAAGTAACTCATTCTGGTCAGAAAACGAGTGGAGCAAAGAAGGAGAAAGTGGACAGTGGGATTGGAGATGTCCTTAATTCATGGGGCATTTCTTCTGATTTAGAATCAGAATTGGATCTTGCCTCAGATACTGATTCTGAGGACGACCCCAACTTAGCTTACAAAATTGGCACGGAAAGATTCCGGCGTCGGCGGAGAAATGGTAAGACCTTTGCCGAAATGGCAAAGAAAGACCGAAAAAAAAATTTGCCAGTCCAAGAGCAGAGGAAGCAGATGACCAATGCATATGTACTACATATGCGATCAAAGATACAGCAACTTCCTTTGCCACCAAGTATAAAGTCATACATTAATTATTATAGAGAACTGTGATTTTGTCGTGTATTTAGTTTTGATATTTTTGTCTCCTCACTTTGGATATTGCAAAGACCTTGCTTAGCATTATGTGTGTGACTAACAAATATTATTCATCCCCTTTATCAGTGTGAATGAGCAATTCTATTCTATTGTTTTTATTAAGTTATGTATTTTTTAAAACAAATTTATGCTTTTGTTCGCGTTTTCCTAACCATATATTAGAGTGTATGTGATACGTGTATCTTAAAGGATACTCATTCTAGAGTCTCAATGATTGTATGAAGGTAGTGTTTTTTGTAACAGATTATCGGTAGTTTTTTTTTGTTCTTTTTTGGCTGAGTAAATGATGTTAAAATCTATGTGAATTTGGGCTTTCAACTTGATTTTTTCAGTTCTATTATTATGGACAGTCAGTATTATGCATGAGCAATAGTTGTATGATTTTGAAGTGGTTCACTGATTGTCAGGTTGTGAAAACTTTTACTCGCTCTGTATGTGATTTGTTTTTTCGCTAGCTTATATTCACATTTGGACATCAAATGCACGGAACTTTGCTAGTGCCAACAAACTTGAATTCTGTCTTTGTTTACAAGTTAAAATATGACACGTTTTCACTCAGATTAAATTGCAGAGTACTTAATATACCATAACATGGCTAAATTTTCTGTCATGGGTGTCAAGGAAATGTGGAAATAATAAATTAAAAATAATGCATTGAGTTTTTTTTAAATCGAGTTCTTATTCAGATGGTAAAGGATACATACCACACTATACATTTTTAATGTAAGCAGGAGCTACAGGGGTAACAGGACATTTGACAAATTACATTTTCAATGCAAGGGAATCCAGCCAAGTTCCTAATAAGTTTCTGCAAGGCCAGCAATGATATCCAGAAGCAGCCAATAACTACAATTGACTGCTTTCTGGAATCATCAACCCCCTTGCAGGAAACAAGACAGCCAGTCCAGCAGCTGTGCTGCGATTTCTATGCGAGGCTCAATCACCTGACTTACAGGGGACCAATTCACCACCGATCCAGCAGCATAAGGCTGCGATTGGCCTCAGATAATCACCTGTCTACCATAAGACAGGGAACTGGCAAGTCAATCAGTGAACAAGATGACAATTCAAGAGACGAATGGAAAGATGACAATCACCTGTTCAAAACAGGGAACCATACGGCCCAACAGCAAAGGTCAGCTGCCATTGCTGTGATTGTTACTACTACCTTGATATGCGGGGAGGTTCCACAGTGGAGCTTTAGGTCACTAACCGTCATCCCAAGCATGGTAGCAAAACACCAGATAAAAATTAAATCAGGGAATCTGACAAACTTATCTCTGGGTCATGATGTATTAGAAATTTACCTCAGCATTCTTGACTTGAAATGATACAACCATAAACATGCATTAAAGAAACAGCACCCTTTGCAATTTTTTGCTAACTTCACAATATGGTTTTTAAAAGTTTATACAGAAAAAAAGTAGGCTTGTACTCACAGAACACAAAATGGATGGTGTAAGTTACCGCTGTGAAGAGAAATGGAAGCAAATGTTGTGCCAAACCCACCTTTCAATGGTGGATGAAAAAGAAAGAACAGCCCTACAATGCAAAACAATTTTCTTCCTCCCTTCAAAAAACAAAAACGGAAACAGCAAGTCTGTTTGAGCACTCCACAGCACTGAGCGTGCAGTATGACTGGTATGTGATGCCCATATTATCTTTTTTGTTAACCAATAGAGCACAGGCGTTTAAAGGTACAAAATTCTGAAAACATTTTAAATGTTCAAGTGGTTTAAAGCAGATACAACATTGGCAGTAGTGAGTGCATTAGATAGCAGATAATTTCATTAAAATAATTTAAATTTTTTAGATAAGTTAGCGATTGGCAACACATGACAGTCTCCAAAAAATTGCAAATAATAAAATAAAATACAGTACTTAATTTTGACCTTAAAATACATACATTTACCCTGCTCGATGTGAGCTAGCACTGCTGCAGTGATTAAGTGAAAACACCTTACCTGGGTGTATTAAGTGTGACAATGCAGTAAATGCAAGGGGAACAGATAACATGGGCCAGTGTCTATAAAATGTAACTTCATAATCAATTAAGAAAAGTATCTTCTTCACCAGAGGATGAGGAAGAAAAACGAGATTATCACATCTTTATGCAAGTCCCTCCACTTCAACAAACGATTTAAGCTTCAGGAAGCTAATTTAATGAAAAGTAGCCTCCTCCAAGTGCCCTCAACATGTTAAGTTTTTTTTTTTTCAAAAATCAAATTGTTTTCCTGCCAAACCTGGACACTACCATATTATTAATCAATAACAAAACACAAATAAGAGCCTTTGAGCAAAAGCATTGACAAACCGAGCTTTGAAGAGAGCAATGTTGGAATAAGAGGAGAATTAGACCAAAAACATTCCCTCCACCAAAATAAAAACAAGCGCCACTTTCATGCAACTATGCTCCTCTGGTAAATGGCTGGAATATGGTCTTGGAGGGAAATAGATGCAATTGCTTTGTTGCAAGTTAAAATTTCACAACTATCTTCTCCACTAGCCATCCAAAAGTTGAGAGAAAAGTGTAGATAAAGAATCAAAGGGAATATTGTAGTTAATTGAATGAGACGCAAATTCATAGAATATAAAGGTAACACTCAGTAATAGTCCAAAATTTTAACAGTTTAGATCTAGACATAAATTCTTTTAATAATGCATCACAAGATGGTACAGAAAGAGAATGTGACTAGGACAGTCCAGAAACAAATAATCTAAAGGAGCGAATTGGCTCTTACCTGTTGAAGGGCAAACTTCATAGAAAGTGTTTCAGAGAGTGGCCTTCAGAAAAAAAAAGTTTGCCTTACCTTTAATATTGCAGAAAGAGCAATTGAAACTCTTGCTTAATTGGAAATGACAATTTTACTATATTAGCCACACAGTTAACAACCAAGCTGCCTTCTGCATAGGGCTGCGCAAACGTTCTTTCAAACAAATTAATAATAATACTTCATGTTCTTGACCAAATAAAAAAAATTAAGCCAAATCCTCATTGCATTAAATTGATTTTGAACTGAAACCGTTGAAACTTTATTGGAAGTCATCCACACAGCCCTACTCAAGATCTACTGAACATGAATAGCAGGAAGAATAATTACAATCTGCACAGCACACAAGCAGAAAGAGCTGTGCGACATTCCCAGCTACTTGAGGCCAACACCAGGATCCAATTACATTTTTATCATGTGATGTTATGTCTGAACTAGACATTCCCTGTTACTGGCCCGTGTACTATTGAACGTTAGGAGACTTGCCTGAGCTCTGTTAACTGAAGAAGAGATGCTCTACTAGTTGTAAACAGACGTTTTCAGAAACACCTCCCCTGAATTCAAGGCATTTCAAACAAAGACAATTTTACCAGGGGTTTATCAGTTAACGATACAAACGATACAACACCACCACTAGTTACCAAATATTTAAAATGAAATTCAACTAACATATAACTAGCTGAATGCCAGGTACATCACTCAGTTGGGGAAAGCGGTGCAGGAGTGCCACAGAGCCAGAATATTCGGCATGCACTCATACTAAATTGCTATAATAAACCCCAACCAAAAGCAGGTTGAGCAATGTTGTAATGACCTTAGGTTCATTCACAATTAGTGTAAAAGGGGAAAACTTACACAAGAAGACAAAATGAATACTTTACATTTAAATTGCCTTAAATTAAAAAAGGTTAAAATAATCATGCCAACCTGAGATGATTGGAGGTTTATCACAGAGCAAAGTCAAAACACCCCTTTAACAGCTGTGCATATCTTAGGACCAGCAGGAAAGATATTCTCTCAAACCTGGGTTGATGAGAGCTGCACGCAGATATACTTGGTGAAGGTTATCCAGGGCATGTAAGTAACACACCTTCCTTTTGTAACTAAGAAGAGTCAGTATTAAGAACCAAATATATTCGTTCCTGCTTCACCTTCAATGCCTTAATGCAACCCGTATATGTCTTTAAATCCCATAGGTCCTCAAAAAAAAACGAAAAAAAAAAAAAACTTTAGTTTATACACACTTTTGACAACATTGGTGCACTTTGGGCTGACATCTGCCAGGTATTGTGGGGCAAATAAAGATCATCTTTTTGTGTCAGATTTATTCTTTTATAAAGAAGAATTGTGAAATTATAAAATTAACCTTAGAGGTTTACCTGACAAGTTATAAATTACCAGCCAGCAAATGTCATTGACAGGCAGCCACACTAATTAACTTTTAGCAGTCAGGGGTTGAATCCTAGAAACAGAATTGCCCCTGGGATACCTGATCATCTGAAGCGTGGGTGCATGATCATGGGCGGGAAAGCCATTGGAGGGCCCCCACCATACGGGTTCATATGGGGAGGCATATGCTGTTGCATTGCCATCTGCTGCATGTGGGGTTGCATCGGCTGCTGCATGTGCTGTTGCATTTGTTGCATCTGTTGCATATGCTGCATGTGCTGCATCTGCTGCATACTTGGACCCTGAGGCACAGCTGGTCCAATCAACCCTGCAGAAAATTAGGAGGGTATTGAAAACTTCTAGTAGTGTACGGAAAAGACAAGACATAACTTTTATCAGCCCTTACAGAAACCTAGATAGGAAAAAGCTGTTGGGACCCACACAATTTAAAAAAAAAACAATGAGACTAGCTCAAGGTGGAAAAAAAGCAAGCTGCTGAATTAGACTCTGCAGAAAAATAGGCACAAGTCGAGAAAATCCAAAGCACTGATTTAAGACAGATTTAACAGCTCTCACATGCAAACATAGCAGCAAAATCACACTATGTCGCAAATCAAAGAAGGATGGTCGTATGCTCTTGAGTTATGAGGTACTGCAGTTTTAAATTAATTTCATAAGCACAGCCACTTCATTTACAAAACAGAACAATTGTATGAATGTTTGCAAAGAAAACTAAGCTATCATGCTAATAACGTGCCCCAAAATCGCTAATAGTGGCTCATACAACCATTCAAGGTAAATTATCCGTGCGCCTCTGCTCAGTTCTGAAACCAACCAACCAATCCCTAGTGTAGAAAAGAAACAGAACATGGAACATTTGACTTGTTGAATGAGAAAATAAACAATGTAGGAGATCAACGCTTATCTGTGTATGTTGCCTGAGGAGCAAAGTTCTCATACGAACGCTTAAAAACAAGTACTTAGGTTAAAGAAAAAGAAAGTAAAGATGACGTCCTATTGAGGGCAGAGCTCTGATGAAAGGACAAAGGGCAAGGGGACTGGTGCTGAGAAACAACTCATGCAAAACACTTGTGTTTAATAATATGAGCATATCATAATTTAAGCTTCACACCAAGACTGTCCAAAAATGACTTACTCGGAACATTTGGGCCAAAGTATGCAAAACTTTACTTACTGACAAGTCAAGTGACAAGTAACATTGCTTACCTGGGTGAATCCCCATGGGGGGACCGGGTCGCATCATGTTCATGTTACCTCCATGCAGCATTTGGGCATGAGAGATGGGCGGTCCGAGAGTTACAGCGTGCCTCATGATGCCAGGACCCACCAGGCCCATGCTCGCAGTGCTCACAGGGGCCATTGGAACTGGGCCTGCTGCGGACACAGCCATCTGTGGCCTAGCCTGGAACCGAGCCATGGCCGCCACTGCAGCTCCTCGTTGATCATTCTGTGCGCCAGAAAGAGGAAATTAATTTACAGAATTCACGCCGCAGGGACTCCTTTGCATAAAATTACAGCTAGACTTGAAAAAAATAGTGTTAATAGTAATAGAAATTAGAAGTACAGTATTATCTACATGCACTGTGACAGCATGTTACTTTAGTTTGGTAAGCAAATGCACCACTGACTTACATGAAGACAGTTCAAGAGTTCAAATGGATTGAATAATTGAGCTACTGGAATAAAACAGCCTTACCTCGTTTGCTTGGCTTTGCACAGGGGACTGAGCAGGTACTGATATTGAGGGTTCAGACTTAACTGGTGATGTTTTTGAGTACTTGGGAAGTTTGGCTCGGAATTCCTCCTAAAATTTGAAACAAGCGACAAGGTCAGTTATTATTTCTTCAAAGAAAGAAATGATGTGATATTTCTATACCTAATCTATTCCCTACAGCTAAACTGCAATAGAGCACAGTACATGTATATCACATAGTAAGTTTGCAATGAAAGACCAAGGGTTCACATAGGATGCTCATGCAAGCGCACAGAAAGAGAAAATTGCTTGAAGAATAAAATAACCACACAAAAGAATATAATTTCTTACTACAGATTGTGTTCAAATACACTCTCAAGGTGCAATTTTCTGCAGCTTCCAAGTGGCTAAAAATAATCTCACAAAATACCAAGGCGGGAACCACAAAGGAATTTTCTTGGTGATTTTGAGCTCAGTGACAAAGGCAAACATCCAAATTTCCTTGAAGAGAACAATACGTACATTACAAAAGCAAACCCAACCTCGAAGAAGCACTTGTTCAACATTTGCACTTGTGTGAATTATTTCGGCCAGAGTGTTGATGGAAACCAAACAGAAGCTACACAGGAGGCAGAAATTGTAACACATGGGTCTGCAGAGGTCACCAGTTCAGAATGCCAAAGCTTAGACCACAGGCAAATACACATGGACACAATAATGCAAAATATGCTCATGTAGTTGTTGAAATTGAAATTCAATTTTATTACTGTATTAATATTATTTAAAAGAAAAATGACTGATTCTACATCTATTCTTATCAGTGAATTAAAACAAAAAAGCAGTTTTGTGGCCATCCAATAAAATATATTTACGGCCAACCTGAAGTTGCGGCTACATCCGTATTGTCCAGGAGATGTGCCGGGCAGATTGCCTTTGAGAACTCTACATACATGTGTAATGCACCACATGAAGTTAGTGGAGCTCAGTCTGACATAAATTGCAAACACTTCCATTTCAAAGAAAATGGCAGTATATAGTAACTCACCAATGAAATATCTTCTGATGGGTGCATTATTTTACTTGTTGACGTAGCTGTGTTGATCAAAGCAACTTTCGGAGTTTCCTTTGCATCACCTTTGTTTTCCTTGGAATCACTGTAACAGGAGTTAAAAAATTCAATATGAAATAAATGAAATTGCAAATGAAATTTATCCACAGTCAGGATTGAACTCGCTCACCCATAAGCAGGGAAGGTCGGTTTTACTGGTCCAATTGAACCTGTTGTACTCTGGGCTGTTGTCACAATAGGTTTAAAATCTGCCCCAACAGGAGCTGATGAGCTAGTGGTAGCCTGACCAAGATTCAATGGTTAGTTAGAGAAAATAGAAACATAAATCATATTACAAAATAATGATGCAGAGAAAACTCACAATGTTGGCTGCACTTGGGAACAGAGGTTTTCCAGGTCCACCCGGTTGTGCATTGGGCTGACCTGCCTGCTGCCCAGGCATCCCAGGCATATGCCCAGCTGGTCCCATCATTCTGGAAGAAAAACTGTCCTTCAGATGTGAGACTTTGCTAGCTAAGCCCTCCCTACAAGCAGAGCAGTACATGCAAATAATGCTCTCTAAATAAACAAATGCATCACTTACCCCGGAGCCATAAATGGTGGACCCATCATCGGAGCCATTGGGTTCATGTGTCCCATAGGGCCAAACTGCCCAGGTGCAAACTGTCCCTGATATTGCATTCCTGGTGGACCTTGCCCCGGCATCATCTGCCCAGGCATCATCTGACCAGGAGCAGGTCCATTACCCAGTAAGCCTTCAGACTTCGGTTTCTTTTGAATAGGCTCATCTTCACCACTACTTGGAGACTGGGCCCTTCCTGTAACGAATTATCAAGAATTCAGGTAGACGAGAAAAAGGCAAGGTTGATTTTAAAATGACTTGTAAAACTGACCTTGTTTTCCTTGCTTTTGTTTTTCATGTTCTTTTATGTCTTCAGGGGGAATACCTTCCATTCCATAAATTTCAATTTCTATATTACATCTATTGGATAATGAATTTGGTACTTTGTCAATTGCTTCCTTGTGAACCTGAAATAGATAGGAACAAGAAAAATGTAAAAATCACGTCACTTAATGCAAGGAAGAGAATGAAAATCACAAATAGCTACACCATGGAGAATATTCTCCAAGGCTGCACTTACCTGAAGACAGTGTATTGAGAGTCCTGGGCCTGTGTACAAACGTTTATGACAAATGTGACACTTGAAGTGTTTGGCCTTCTGGTGTTGAATGAGGATTTTTTCATCATCAAATTCTCTGTTGCAGTACCTTTAGAAATAATTAGTTAAGGAAAACGAAAAATCCATTAATTGCATACCATAAAAATTCCATAACTCTATAAATAAAGATGGTGATTTAGATAAAAAACAATAAATGGAATTCGAAGCAGGCTAATATAATTGTGAAAGAGTAAAGGACTGACTACTTCTGAAAATTTCAGGTTAGAGTTCGTGAGGAGCGAAAATATGTGACCGGTGGAACATTCTGCAAAACTATTCAACATGGTCAGTAATATGAAGGTCTTTCCTCTCGAAGGAACAAATGTAACTCTGTGCCTAAAAGAGGACACCAAACTTACTGGATCAATAATTTAATCATGAATGTCATCTACACACAACAATTTTTAAATGAAAAAAATAGATGAACCATCGAAGCTACTTGGATAAATAACACAACAAATAGGCTCGAAAAATGTTAAGCAATTTCGAGAAACTAATATAGAAATCCCAAAACCCCAAAAATATCTGGAGACACAGATGACAAGGATACCAGCACCATGGCTTAGATTGCTTCTTCTTCTTGCGACCCATTTTGCGAACGAAAGTGAATGCGACAAACGCTAGGCCAAACTAAATGAAACAATCCTAAAAATCTTTAAAAATCACAACAGAAATCAGAAACAAAGCTGGCCTAAACACTTCGCAAGCTCTTCACAAACGTTACGTTTACAACTTCCGGCCAGGCCAGAAAAGACGGGCACGTTCCTTCGTGCAGTCGCACCCGCGGTCGCTTGGGTCGCTTTGTAGTTTGGTGCCGTCGCGGCAGGGGGCGCTGCTGCCGTCGGCAGGCCGGAAGTCACCCCGACCGCCGGCGGCGCGCGTTTCAAGCATGCGCGCTACTTTTGCATGACGCCGCATGACAACACACTAAAAGTGCAGATCCCCGTCTCCAACCACGATTGAACAGGGCCGCCCACTGCGCCGAAATGAGTTCAAACGCGGTCTGCGCACGGTTTCAGCTTCTCGGACTCATCAGCTCAGATTGTGTGAGCGCTTTGGGAAGCTTTGGGAAGAAAATGGAACGGTTCGGGGGCTTTGGGGCTTTGGCAACGAGCCAGACACCTGTCAACGGACGGCTTAATCGCTTGCCTCGGGGAGCAGCGAGGCGGGCATTGCTCGCATCGAGGGGCGGGGTGTTCGTAATTGAACCTGAGACAGGCAAGAGGGGGTTGCCTCCCCCCCCCCTCTTCTCTCTTTCTCTCACACACTCGCACACATACATACACGAGCGCGAGTGATGTGCGATCGAGCGTGCGAGGTGGGTGCGCACACGTTAGCGTGCGTGCGGGGATCGAAGACGCGGCTTGACACTTGAATGTGTGTGTGTGTGTGTGTGTGTGTGTGTGTGCGCGCGCGCGCATGTGTTTGTGTTTGTGAGAGAGATTTCGGCAGTAAACCGTCGCAAGTGAGGGGGACGCTCGCAGCAGTTACACAGGGACGTCGGGACGATTTACGAGCAAGAGAGGGGGAAATAACACGAGACACGTCGCTCTATGCTTCCATTTTGTCCGTCAATATATCGAGAAGTGTGTGTTGGTGTGCGACAGTGTGTGTGTGAGAGAGAGAACACGAGCGTAAGGGGTGTGTTTGTGGGGGCAGGGGAGGGGAAAGGGACCCAGGGGAAAGAGGGGAGGGGGTGCGTGTATGTGAGTGTGTGTTAAAGACGAGAAAACAAAAACGGCACAGATACCTACACGGTTGATTTGCTTCTGACTTACCCACCCCAGGAACAAAGACAGAGCCAGGGAGAAAGCAAAAGGCCACCCTGCCGCCTTTTGTGGGACCTGGGACAAAATATCGACTTTGAGTGTGGCAGCAAGACCGAGTGTGTCACGAGACGTCGCCGAGTGTGTGGGACTTAAGCGCTCCCTCCCACACCACCCTCCCCGTCCGTCCCCGTCCCTGCAGCGCAGCGCCGAAGGCCACGAAGCTGGCGTAGCTGGCGGACGGCCCCTGTCTCGGGGCGGGGCGGGGCGGGGCGGGGCGGGGCGGGGCGCGCCAATCCCGACTCCAAGGACGCGAGTATCTAGGTTATCGCTCCGGCACGGCGCCGAGCTGCAAGTTTGCGAACCTGTCGACACTGATAATGACTCTGTGCCGAACTCGCCTGCAGCTGTGGGTCCCAGGGGCGGGGCGGGGCGGGGCGGACTCGGCGCCAATGGCAAACGGCGCTCCCCCCCCCTCGCGATGAGACCGTGAATGAGCTATTTTAGTCGGGCCCCACAAAAGGAACGCCAATCCATCCACGCCACGAACTGCAATGGGGCTGCACGGGGCTGCACGGGGCTGCACGGGGCGCGTGGCGTTCACATTCACCTTGGCCGTTTTGGCCGCGGAGGCACGGCGCTTCAATCGCTGCTAATGGTTGGAGCGGGGGAAGGGGGAAGGGTGAGAAGGGAGGCGTTTTGGAAAAGATCAAAAGGCCTTGCAGTGGAAGGGTCTGGCCTGAGTGAGCGCGACGGCGCGACAGCCAAGGAGGCATCAGATTAGGGGAAGTGCATCGCGCTGCTCCGGGTGGGGGTGGTGCTGGGGTCGCCGCGCCGCCCCCGCCGCCCCCGCCGCACCGCCCTCGCCGCGCCGTGCCCCCGCCAGTCGGTGTGTGTGCGTCCCGGAGGCCGGATAGGGGGTGCGGAGAGGACGGCGCGGCCCGCGCACGCCGCCTGACGCACCCCGGAGGACGCCGAGCACCGCCTCAACATGAAGGTGAGTCACCGAGTTCAAGTCCATCACGGCCCCTGCCGGGTAGGCAGGCCGAGCGGGGCTTCGACGCAGCCGCGTGCAACGGGTTGCCTACCCCAACCATCGCAGGCTGAGACGTAGTCGCGTGCTCAGGGTTGCCTGCAGGGTTGCCTGCAGGCTGAGACGCACCCATAGCGTGGGTGGGATGTTCTCATTGCATCGTCCTCGAATGCCCACGCGTTGAGTTTCTTCAGTTTTTCGCGGTGCCGTGACACGTGCACGCCACGAGCTGTTTGCTTGAGCAAAGAGTCTCGTCATGCAGCGCTGTGCTCATGCAGCGGGAGTTCAAGGTGAACAATTAATTGCGAGTGACCCAGATCGACATGAGCGTGCATGAGCGCGGCGAGTGCAGCCGAGGAGCATGACAAGATGCATGCACGATGCACCGTCATGGTGGTGGTGCATAATGATGCATTAGAATGATGGCAACCAACGTAGCGTGAGCAGGCCCCTTTTTTTGGGTCACTGGGGCCTTCCGTCGGCCGAGTCATTCTGGAGACGAGAATGGGGCAGGGCAGGAGAGGGATGGGGCCACGACTACGCTGCGAAACCGCGCACACCGTAAAAACATCCTTCACTGCTTTTTTTCTAACACCTTCCGTATCGAATGTTGATCTCCGTGGAGAGGGGCCTCTTGCTGGCTGGCGCGGCGTAGCGGCGTCGGGGCGCGCGTGCCAGCAACACATTACTCGGAGCCCGCCTCGCGTCTCGCGATCGGAACCGGAAGGACGCCAAGCCCTCCAGGCCCTCCCGGATTGTTCCCGCGCCTCAACGTGACCAGCGTTTAAATCCCGGTGGTGGGTCACCGTCAACCCGCAGCTTCCAACGACGACCGCCACTAGGTGGTGCCTGCCCCCCCCCCTCTCTCCCCGATGAACACCGCCCCCTAACGGCCTCCCTAACGGCCCGGCCAACCGCGCGGCTAACGGCCCGCACACTGGGCCGTTGCGTGCCCGGAGCGCGCAGCGCGCAGCCAGCAGACTGCAGGGCTAAGAATAGAGCCAGCGGGAACGGCGCGGTGCGGCCCCGCGGCCCGGAGCGACCGGAATCGCCAACTTGTTCGTTTGCGTTTCGTTTCCGCCTCCAGCAGCGAGCGCCAAACTTTAAAGTGATTCTGCGGCACGAACAGGGAGCAGGCCTGGAACGGACCGCGCGGCAGAGAAAAAAAAGCGCGAAATGCAACTTGGCGATTTGTCATCGCGACGCGGGGTTTCCACGAGTCGGTGGGTGTAACGCTTTAGCCACGAAGCCACGAGGAGGCCAGGCCAGGCTCACTCCGTATCCCCCCGGCATCGCCGAGGCATCGCCGAGGCATCGCCGAGGCATCGCCGAGGCATCGCCGAGGCCGACTTCCGGACTTCCGGTGGCCCATTACTTATTGTCAGTGGAGAGGCGGGCCTTCAGGCTTCGGCCTGCTTCGGGCTTTAGGCGGGCCAGGCAGGCGACGTCCTCCTCATCATGCAGCACCCTCGGCCTGTCCCTCCCCCTCCCCCTCGCGGCGTCGCGGCGCCGTCACTGGCTGACGCCGCGGGCCGCGGGGGAGCAGCAGCACCGCGCCGACGGCCGCCACGGCCGCGCACGCCAGCCAGCTGTAATTATTGTTTTGGACGGTTCCGATGGAAGGCGCACTCACAGAGCGTAACGCACCGAGAGGGTGTGTGGCACACTGTGTGGGCGTCTAGCGGGACGGAAGGCGGAGACAGCGAGCGAGGCAGACAGACAGAGGCAGCGCGGGGTCCTGGCCGAACGGGCCGAACCCTTGAAGGGGTCGATGCCGCAACCGTCCGTGTCTTGCTGGAAAACCAGGACGCCCTCACTGCGCCAGTCGCACGGACAAACACACACACACACACACACACACACACACACACACACACACACACACACACACACACACACACTGTGGCACGGGAAATGCAATTCGCGATCTGAGTGATGTGCATGCGGTGCATGTGCGCGCGCCTCCCGGCGACGCGGCGTCCTGCCTGTGCCGCGGAGGCCGCGCGCGCCCGCGGGGTGTCAACGGGGGGTGTTTGCCGGTGTTGCCGCCCCCGCCACTTGACCCCCTTCGCGAAGACACGTTCACGTTGTGAGCGTCTCGAGTGAGGCACAGCTGGGCCGTGCCGGGCCGTCGGTGGGAAGGGGCTGCACCCCTGCGCTGCCTGCCGCCTGCTGCCTGCACCCAGCGCCCTGATCATTTGGCATCGACTCGAGCGGAAACAAACTTGGAAACTCTGTCGCCGCCGCCCGCCGCCTCCGCCGTGGCGTGTCCCTAAAGCAGTCGGACAAGTAGAGCGCGTAGATGACAGCCGGGTTTTTTTTAGCAAACCCCGCGGGTCGCGGCCACCCTCCTCGCTCGTCCCACTTTCGGCCCGGAGGCTCCGAAGGCTCCGAAGCCGCAGCTCGGCCGAGTTGCAATGCAACGCCAAGTTTCCCCCGATGTGGGTCAGGCAGAAGTTGGCGCCGGGGGTGCGTACCGTGACGCCCTGCTGTCGATGGGGGCCTTCAGGCAAGCCTTCGACGGAGTGGCTGCCGGGGTGAACGGGGTTCCTGCGAAGGGGGCCGCACAGTGGGCCAGAAGACCGGTGGAGGCGGAAAAAATTTCTAAACGCGTTTTGAGCTCCAGAGTCGCTAACCGATCGAGTACTGTTTGGCGACTCTGGAACTCAAAACGCATCACGAATTTTGGCCGCCTCCACCGGTCTTCTGGCCCACTGTGGACTCCGCGTTCGACTCGTTAGACTCCACCCGTTGCCGAGATCGTTAAATTTGACGGCGATCGAATTCCAATGCATTCCGTTTTCGCGCGCCCCGTCAATTTTTGTGGCTTCGACGTTGTCAGCCCTGCCAGCCCCGCCAGCAATAATCGGCTCGAGGTTGAGGGGTGCAGGGGCGGTGGATGCGGTGGACATGGCGGGTGGGGCTTGGCTGGGCTGGGCCAGGCTCAACGACAAGCTGGGCGTGAGGGCGATGGGCGACACGGGGGCGTTGTAGGAGGATGCCGGCAGCGAGCGGGGGCATCGAGGTGAGAGGGGCCCTCGACTGTTTTCCGCGGCCTTGGTGGTGGTCCGGGCTGGCCGTCGGAATGGCAGGTTGTCCGCGAATACCCCTTCACGGCCCCCTTCACGTTCTGTTGCAGGCACTCAGCCCCCTGCTGCTGGGGGTGGACTCGGGGGTCGGCTCCAGCGCGAGCTCCACGGCGAGCTCCACGTCGCCGAGGTGCCTGCCGGCCGGGGACAGCCCGCCGGGGAGTCCACTGCCAAGCCCGCGGCACGGCCCGCCACCCGACCTGCCCGACGAGGACGACCTGGTCGTGGGGCTGGTGGACGGCGAGGCCCTCGACGACGTCCTCGACGAGGTCGACAGCGCCAAGGGCAGCCCTCCGGGCAGTCCGCCGGGCAGCCCCAGGGACAGCCCCGGGGGAAGTCCGACCCACGGCGACGACCAGGTACCCTCGGACGCAGAACCAAGGCAGAACGCACCTCTGTTCCGTTTTGGGTAGAGCAGGTTCAGACCACACTATTTCAATAAATTAAAAAAAAAAAAAAATACGTCAACCTTGAAAAAATATAAAGCCTGCTGTAAGAAACAAACTAGAATTCGAAACAAAATCAATGAAAATAAAAAAGAGAAATGATTAGTCCTGTAGACATAAGCAACCTTTTAAAGGGCTGAATTCAATTTGTCAATTTTTCAAAGCCGCTACCAAACGCGCGTTTTTCGAGTGTAGATTTTTCTTACCATGAAACTACTCTGTTTTTGACTTGTTTGTCTAGCTGGGCTTGGCCGCTTGCCAGTGCTTCTCTGTGTGCCGTTCCTTTTTTTTTGCAAAGCACGAACGCCTGCTAGATTCAATAGTTTTACATCCGCTTTCGGCAGCGGTGTCGACAGGCGGAGGAAGAAGAACACAAATCAGAAGAGAACGACATCGAGAGGAACTTCCGCTTCCTGCTAGAGAGTCTTGGCTTCACCTGTGACCCTCGCGAGGTACGAAGTCTCCAATAAAAGTTTTAAAAAGGGTCACACTAATCTTTACTTTAATCTATAAAAATCACGCTCGGAATACTTAATCTTAAAATTGGACTGCTCATCATTAACCAATCATACTGCTTAAAGTAATACAACTTTAAATAGTCTACTAAATCATCAAAAATGTGAATTGTAAACGATGAAATTATTCTGCTGAATGGTAATCACATGACAGTCCTCTGATTCCCCTTGCGCCGTCATTATGCCGCAAGGTTATTACTTGTCAAACTAAATAAATCCGAGCAACTCGCGAGCTAACTGTTGTCAAACGGCGGGGGCGCCACGCTTCGCTGCGCGGCGGGGGAACGACTTGACGACCATCTGCTGCTGGTGTCCGGAAATTGGAGCCTTCGAGTCCCGGCCGGGCTAAGTGGCGCGGGTTAGACGATCTAGATGATCTAGAACTAGAGAAGGCACCCTAGTGCGCTTTGAGAGTGTCAGTAGGCAAACGCTTGGGCCTCGGCCTGCCCCGGCTGAAAGTGGTGGGGGAGAAAGGGACACCTTCCGAGCGGTCGCGGGTTCGAATGCCAGACACCGCGAAGGCAGTTTGGTCGTGGTCGTCCCCACCCCACCCTCCACGTTGGCCTGTGGTCCCTGTGGTCCCTGTGGTACCCGAGTCATGCTGTGGGACTGGTTGTCCAGGTGACGCTGGTGTCCTCCCGCCCCCACCCCAGCCGGCCGCCTGTGACGCACATCCTCCACCGCAAGCCGGGCGGCAAGGGCGGCAAGGCGCCCCCCGCCGGCCCTCCCTGCGCCAGGGAGCCCCTTGGGGACCCCATCGGGGACCCCATCCAGTGCGACCAGCCCCACAAGGCAGCCCGGCTGGGGTTGACACAGTCCTGTGTTGGCGCGCAGGTCCTGCGCCGGGTGGGCCGCCGGCCCCCGCCGGCCCCCTCACTCGACTCGCCGCCCCCCGCCCCCGCCCCCGCGGCGAGCCAGCCCCTTGGCCAGGCCGGCGCCACTCCGGGCCCGGCTGGCCATGAGGCGCCGGGGGGCGGGGGCGGGGGGCAGAGCGGGGCCCAGCCCCTTAAACGGACAGCCAGCGGGCCGGCGACGTCCTTGTCCTTGTCGCGAAGGGGCATTCGCCCGCACCAGAGGAACCTGCTGAGCCTGCAGCAGCTGCGGCACATCAAGAACCTCGTGGACCAGGCCGTCGCGGTGAGCGCTCGCCGACTGGTGCCGCACTGCCTCTCGCTCTGTCTCTCTCGTACCTGTCCGGGACGCCCCGAGGCACTACAAACCTAACTGCCCACCAAGTATACAGTCACAAATGCATTTGTAAAAGCGAACTTACAGTGTACGGGTTAGCTTCGTAGTGTGCGTGAGAGACAGTGCGACGACGGCGACGTGCGAACGCAGTCGGCTCAACGTTTTCTGGTGGACTCGCCGCCCGGCCACTTTGCCTGAGCGCCTCCCTGCCCTGCCGCCTCCAGGAGCAGAAGATCTTCTCCATCTGCGGCGCCTTCCCGTCGGTGCGCGAGGCGCTCAAGAGCCGCGGCTGGCTGGAGAAGAAGTGGGTGCCCAACGAGTGCCCGCGCGAGCGGCCGGGCGACCGGGAGCGCGAGCGCGAGACGAGGGAGAAGGAGGCCAAGGAGCGGGACGCCGACAAGGAGAACAAGGAGCGCGACGGCGAGGAGGAGAAGAAGAAGGAGGAGAAGAAGGTCACGGAGCACAAGGACAGGATAAAAAGCGGTGAGTGCGCGCGTAAGTTCGAGAAGATTCTTCGTGAATTTAGGACGAATGGTCGTAGATTCACGATGAATCTTCGTAAAATACCAATAATCTACGCACAGTGGGCCAGAAGACCGGTGGAGGCCGCGTCTAGAAAGGTCCTTCGGCAACATTTTTTCCCTCTGTGAATCCCTGTTGCAGAGGAGTCGATGCAGACCCTGCTGGACTCGCTGGCGGGCGAGGAGCTGAACGAGAAGGCCGTGGTGGCGCGGCTGCTGCGCGGCGTCCCCGCCAACTTCATCTGGACCGTCAAGTTTGACGGCATCGACTGGAAGCGACTCAAGAAGCGGCAGATCATCAACCGCTTCCCGAAGGCTTCCTTCACCACCAAAGTGAGCGTTCCAAAGTCCCGAACGCGCTATCGTCAAACCGAACCGAACATCACAGCAATCACCGGTTTTCTGTCGAACCTCCAGATCGGCCTCAGCACCTTCCTGCGCCAAATGCACTGGTTCTCCGAGGAGGGCGTGTCGCTGACGTGCTTCCCGCGCTGCTACAACATCTGCCAGCCAGACGACATGGAGGCCTTCGTGGACGACTTCCGGCTCACCGCCTGCCTCAACACGCTCAAGTGGCTCGTCGAGGAGGTGGACAAGGGCGGCGCCAACGCCGTGCAAAGCCCCAGCGGCAAGGTGCGCACAGTGGGCCAGAAGACCGGTGGAGGCGGCGAAAATTCTCATGCATGTGATTTATTCTTTCTTTTCTTTGTATCAAAGAAAATACATTTGAACTTTTTTCTTTGTCCTGCAGGTTCCGAAGATGGCGGTGGAGTTCGCGCTGACGCGCTGCCGGGAGTTCCTCCTGGAGCACTCCAACGAGCACCTGGACCGCGCCACGCCGCCCACCGTGTTCACCCACCAGTGGGACCAGTTCCTGGCCTGGACGTACCTGCTGCACCGCGACGATGCGGCGCTCAACGCCGCCGCGCCCGAGCCCAGCATCTCGGTGCGATGAGAGAGTGAACACAAGAAAAAACAAAAACCAAACTGGGAGAATAGTTCGAAACCTGTTTTCCAGGCGCTGTACGCGGATTGCTGCTGGGTGCTGGAGCGCGCCGCGCCGCTGTGGCCGCAGCTGCAGCTGGACGGGCGCCTCAACGTGTGGATCATGAAGCCCGGCGCCAAGTCGCGGGGCCGCGGCATCCACCTCGTGAACCAGCTCGACCTCCTCACGGCGCAGGTGTCCTCCACGCACCTGCGGGACGCGCGTTACGTCGCGCAGAAGTACATTGGTGAGGTGCCGGGCCACTACACTCTAAATGTCTTCCAATAAAACCTAAACCTTTCCTCGTCCTGCCTCCAGAGCGGCCGCTGCTCATCTGCGGCACCAAGTTCGACATCCGGCAGTGGTTCCTCGTCACCAGCGTGTACCCGATGACGATCTGGATGTACCGGTGCGGCACTGGCATGGCCATCAAAGTAAAGTAACTTGAGTCTCTAAGCCTCTAACGAAAACTCTCGCCGTCGACAGGGAGAGCTACCTGCGCTTCTGCTCGCAGTCCTTCAGCCTGCACAACATGCACGAGTCGGTGCACCTGTGCAACAACGCGGTGCAGGCCAAGTACACCAACGGCAAGAGGGACCCCGCGCTGCCCGACGAGAACATGTGGGACTGCTACACCTTCCAGACGTACCTCAGGTAACGCACAGTGGGCCAGAAGACCAGTGAAGGCGGCTCAGCGCCTGCGAAGCACGGGGTAGGCCAGCCCGTCGAACAGCGGGGCGGCCGCGGAGCCTACCTCGCAGGCGCCATGCCGAGCGGCAGGCTCTGTCTCTCTCGCACTCATGTGGCGTCCCACGAGGGTGCGAGAGAGACAGAGCGACGAAGCGACTGCTGGCCTCCCTCGGCCGGCGGAAGGCCCTCACAGCAGCGGTGTGTCGCAGGGCCATGGGGCGCGCGGACCTCTGGGACACGGTCATCTACCCGGGCATGCGGCAGGGCATCGTGGGCAGCCTGCTGGCCTCGCAGGAGCACATGGACAGGCGCGGGGACTGCTTCGAGCTGTTCGGCGCCGACTTCATGCTCACCGAGGACTTCGTGCCGTGGCTCATCGAGATCAACTCGTGCCCCTGCATGGCGCCGTCCACCAGCGTCACGGCGCGCATGTGCGCGCAGTGCCTGGAGGACGTCATCAAAGGTACGAGGCTGAGCCGCGGTTCGGCCGCCAGCAGTAGGGTAGGTTGTGCCGCCGCCTGACGCTTTGCTCGCCTTGCAGTGGTGGTGGACCGGCGCGCCGACCGCAACGCGGACACGGGGATGTTCGAGCTGGTGTACCGCCAGCAGATCCCGCCGCCGCCGCCCTACCTCGGCATGTCGCTGTCCGTGCGCGGCCGCAAGATCTCGTCCGGCGCGGCGTCGCGGCGCCGGAAGCCCGCCGGGTCCTCGTCGGACGCGGACAACGAGGCCTCGACGTCGACGTCGTCCACGGCGGCCCAGCCGCGCTACCGCCGGTCCTCCGACCTGCTGGAGCCCTCGCCGCGCTACACCTGCCCCGCGATGACCACCCCCACCGCCCTCGCCGCCCCCGGGCCGCCCCACAGCCACGCCACGCCGCGCCGCCTGCCGCTGGAGCCGGCCAGGGCGCAGGCGGGGCTGGCCGCCGTGGGGACGCAGTTGAGCCGCGTGGCGAGGTGCGCGTCGACCATGGCGCGTCGCCGCCGCCACCGGCACCACCACCCCGCCACCGCGCTGCCCCTGCTGCAGCGCGCCGCCGGGCGCCGTCCCCCCGCGGCCAGCCCCCCGCCCGCCCCCGCCCCCCTCCTGGCCGTGGGCTTGAGCCTGCGGCCCCAGCACCCACCCTCGTCCCACGGCCCCGGCGCAAGCCCCCCCGCCAGCCAATAAAATCAACTGCCTCCCAATACTGCTCTTTTTGTTTTCTTCCCCAGCCGGGAATGTGCGTTTCGATATTTCTTTTGTAAGTATTTTCCTGTTGAGTCAGAAAGCTGCCATATTTAAACTAAAAGATTGATATTTTGTATGGTGTACATTTGTTTCTTTTTTTAAATCTTTTTACAATTTCTGGAGTGCAGCGTCTCCTGATTTTGTGTACATATCTGTAAAATTAACCAAAATTACATGAATAATACAACCAAACTGTACGTTTATCACCCCACAGCCCACGCTGGAGTCAGGATACTAGATTATGTTTTGGACATCCATAAAAAAAAAACCAGTGGTACAGAGGTGTAAATTTTATTAACACTTGTAGGAACAAAAATAAACACCACAATCACAGGAACATTAGAGACGAAGTGCCCCAACATTATTTCAGTAAAAATTATCAACCATCATTTTCTATTTTTATTCTTACATGCAACTGACCAAACAACAAAGTATCACAGAGTTAAGTAGACAGAAAAGCATCAATTACTTTTATAGAACAGGATTGAATTTCTTTCCCAGAGGTAAAAATGACAATTTCAAACGTCTTGAAAATATCACATACATGCCACACAGTGACTGTCACTCAAATTGTGGTCGTCTTTCACATTCTCATTTCACAGCCCTCATTAGATGCTAAGAATCTAACAGGATCACAATCATAAGTAGTTCTGACAGTGCTTTTGGATTTTAAAATAATGTGGTTGCATTGGCTAACACTGTACGTTTCTCAACAAAATCACAGGATGCAACATCAAGAACATCACCACACTTGAAAGCGTCAAGTGTGCCTCATTAACAAAAATGACCACTAACATTGAATACCTAAAATATCTTAAATATAACGTAAAAAATGATGTACAGTAATTATTAATACTGAGCCAGATTGTTCAATGGAAAAGCATGTATCAGCTTGTCCCTATATTGTTGGTTTCCGCACCAAAAAAGTGCAGTTTAAATAATTGTTATTTGAAATGCTTAAAGTAAATCAAGGTTCTGTCGTAAAAAAAATTATTATAATAATAAGTTACCTTGCCATCATTACCAGTACGCTGCTCAATAGGTACTTTCTTTTACTTGGTATGTTCCCCTGTATCTAGTAGTGGAATGATTCTTTTCGCCTTGAACTCATCACTCTATTTTCATCGATGAACTGGGTTTCACTTCCTTAGTGCGCAATGGATTGACACACTTCTTCAACCAGTCTAAACACCCTCCGGAGCCTGACGACGTGTTTTCTTCTGTCTTCTGCATTTGTGCAAATCTCATGAACACCTGTTTGAGAAGAAAAAATGAGAATGGGATCATCATTTTCAAAGGGGAGGGGGTAAATGGAGAGACTGAGGGACTTCGCTGTCAAGACTCACGTCCTCCAGGGTGGTCTGCGACACGGAGTAGTCGATGACGCTGCCGCCACGCCGCGCCTCGTCCATGGTGCGGAAGATGGTGACGAGGCTGAGCTTGGCGTCGTCGCGGTCGCCCGGCGGCACGTGCAGCTTCACCTGGTTGAGGTGGGACTCGACCACCGAGCTGCCGGGCAGGCGCTGCAGCACGAGCGCGCGCGCCTCGGCGATGCGGTGCTGCTGGCAGCGCACCACCACGCTGTAGCCCGACCCGTACCTGCGGCAGAGCGGCAGAGGCCCGCAGGGGGCGCGGGTTCAAGTCCACGTGCCGGACGTTACAACAACAACAAAAAACCTTGCAAATAACTGAGTAACGCCGAGGCGCATGCACTGACTTGTTCTTGAGGTGCTGCGGGCTGCCGAAGCAGGTGAGCTGCCCGTTGACCATGATGGTGAGCTTGCCGCACAGCGCCTGGCACTCCTCCATGCTGTGCGAGGTGAGCACCACGGACCTGCCCTGCGCCACCACGGACTGCACGCAGCTCCACAGGAACCGGCGCGCGCCGGGGTCCATGCTGGTCGTCGGCTCGTCCTGCACAACGGGGGTACGGTTATGCGAGTTTCGGGTCGCTTTCGTCGCTGTTTCTCTCGTATCAATGGGACGCCCCATGAGTATACGAGAGAGACAGAGCGACGAAAACTACTCTGGGAATCCGTCTGCAGGTCAGCCCTTGTTCGGGACGTTGGACTCACCATGTACAGGAGTGGCGGGCCCCCGACCAAGGCGATGGCCGTCGACAGCTTCCTCTTGTTGCCGCCGGAGAGGGACTTGGCCTGCTTGTCCTGGTAGAAGCCCAGGTTGAGTCGTTGCAGGGCTCGGTCCACGGCCTGGCAAGGACACAGAGTCGTGAAGTGTGCGTTGGGGGAGGAGGGGAAAGGAGTGGGGACGGGGCCGAAACTCACCGCGGGGCGCCGCGACGCGGACATGCCGCGCAGGCTGCAGTAGAGGTCCAGGTGCTCGCGCACGGTCAGCAACGGGATGAGCGCGTCGAACTGCGGGCAGTAGCCGACCAGCTTCCGCACCTCGTCCATCTGCGAGCGCACCGACGTGCCGCCGACCAAGGCGTCGCCGCCGCTGATGCTCGTGTCCCCCGTCAGCATCTTGAAGATGGACGTCTTGCCGGCGCCGTTGAGGCCGAGCAGGCCGAAGCACTGACCGGCCGACACGCCCAAGGACACGCCGTCTACCGCTGGCGCCGCCCCGCGGCGGTAACTCTGGAAAAGTAGGAAAATACAGGTGATTGACGTGCTGTCCGAACGAGGAATCCATTGGTGGGGCTACACGTTCGGTTCGAGTCCCATTTAGCGACTCTGGAGCTCAAAACGCGTCTAGAGTTTTTGGCCGCCTCCACCGGTCTTCGGCCCACTGTGCGACCGGCGCCCCGCTCACCTTGGACAGCTTCTTGAGCACCAGCACGTCGGAGTCGGCGCGGCCGCTGTCCACGCGCATGAACTCGAGCTGCACGTCGCTCTCCCGCGGCATGGAGACGGCGTCCACGGCGTGGTCGCGGTGCACCCAGTGCGTGCTCTGCTCGGCCAGGAACACGGCCACCACGAGCACGGCGCTGATGATGAGCAGCGTCACCAGGAACTTGCCCGTCACACTCCAGTCCAGCACCGACTTGCTCCAGATCATGTCTGCGGCACGGGAAGTCAAGTTGACGATGAAAACAGAGTGCCCTCAAGCGCGAATCCAGAGGGAGGCGGCAAAAAGACAGTCCCCCTCTGACCCCTCCTAAAGGTGGTCAGGAAGGGCGACTTTGCCTCGCCTCCTCACCCCTAGAGCGGACTCTGGATCCGCCACTTGGGGCGTTACTCCCAAATACAGATAAAACTCAAGACTTTTCCGCCCACCTTGTTTGAGCAAAATCTGGGCGTTCATGTAGTTGGTGGCCATGTTCATGATGCCCTGTCCGAGGCAGTACTGCGGGAACACGAGGAACACCACCTCGAGGATGTCCTTGATGTGCTTCAAGTCCTGTAAAACAAGTCAAAGTCGTAATTGGTGGATAATCGACAACATTTACACGAAGCAAGAAATTTCCTCGATTGCTTTTGGAAAATTAGAGTCCGTGGAAAATTGAACGCTAGTCCAGCTGGGGGAGTGTTAGTGGCGTGCAGGCGTTCCTCACCAGCTCCTCGAACATGCCGAGCACGAGGACGGTGAGGGTGGTGACCATGCCGATGAACAGGTTGCCGCAGGACAGCACCACGAAGGCGAGGCTCGGCACCCGGAACAGCCAGGACAGCAGGTACAGCAGCGGGATGCACGCCATGCTGGACGGGCGGGGCAGTCGGGGCGTCAGGACGTTAGACGGCCGAAACTCTGGACGTGTTTTGAGCTCCAAAGTCGCTAAATGGGACTCGAACCCCGTTTCGAACCCCGCTCGAGTCCCATTTAGCGAGCTCCGAACACGTCGAGAATTTTGGCCGCCTCCACCTGCCTTCTGGCCTACTGTGCCAGCACCCCTGGAGAACAGGTGGTCCAGTGGCCAGGCAAGGGGTGTTACCCGTAGAGGAAGATGATGAGGATGAGGGCGATGAGGTTGGAGCCCGAGGTGTACATGGCGCTCTGGAAGGCGAGGAAGATGAAGACCACCATCACCTCGGACACGGCGAAGCTTGCCTGTGTGCAACAGGCACGCGCGTTAGAGAACGAAAAACAAAACCAAACAAGAACGGGGAACGTTTAAGTGTTAATGGGACTGACCAGGTCCCAGGTGTAGGACTGCAGCCAGTAGACGAACGGTCGGAGTCCGGAGACGAGCTGCAGGTGCTTGGACTGCGCCACGCGGTCCTCGATCAGGAAGATGACGAAGGAGGCCGGCACGAAGCTCATGGCGAAGATGACGGCCACGGCGTGGAACAGAACGATGCCCGCCTCGTTTCTGGAACAAACAGCCAAGCGGGTTCCAGTGGCGGCAACTTTGGAATTACGAACACTCCAAGTATCGCCTTAGAGCTGACTTCTTTCGTCTTACATAGTCTTGTCCTTGTACTGCTCCGGCGTGAGCGGCAGCGGGTGGTTGGAGACGAGGATGCCGTACTGCCTGGAGGCGTTCTTCTTGTCCTCCGGCAGCAGGGACCTCAGCACCACGTTATCCATCGCGTTGAGGTAGGCCGGCGCCGTGGCGTGGCCCTTGTTCTCGTACCACACCTGGGGAAACAACGGCACACCTTACACCTGCTGCACTGGCCCACTGGCCCACTGTCCGGCACGTAGTACGTACCCTGAGGTTGTCGGGCTTGTTGTTGAAGCCCTTCATCGGCAGGTTGCTCGCCGCGGTCCACGGGTACGTCGTGCCGTAGGTGACGCCGCCGTATCTGCCGGGCGATGGAGGCATTTTAGCAAGAGAAGAGGTTGGGGGTCCATTCAAAATGTGTGTGTGTGTGTGTGTGTGTGTGTATGTGTTTGTGTGTGTGTGGCATGCACCCACCTGTTCCGCTTGCAGTCCCCGTACGTGTCCACGATCCACTGCTCCGCGTCCACGTCAGTGGCGTTGTAGTACAGCTCGCCGCCGGGCAGCGTGATGTGGTTCTGCGTCGCGGTGCTACCGTCTTCCTCCTGCAACGACAAAACGGAAAGCCTCGTATTCATCCAATCAAAATCTGTCGGAAAAAGGTCTAAAAAACACGAACAAAACTGAAAAGTTACCTGCAGCTGCGGCGGCGAGTTGGTGCAGGTGTTGTCCGAGGAGGCGACGCTCTTGGCCAGGCTCAGGCGCCGCAGCACGCGCGCGGGCAGCTCCGTGGTCACGTTGCGACGCCCCGGCACCAGCTCGGACCCCACGCCGTCGCGCTCCATCGACTCGAAGTGCACCTCCCTGCACAGGCCGAGTGGGTCAGAAATCAGTTCGGTGCAGTGCACGCTGGCGAGACTAAAGCGCAGTACGTATCACCCTCCGTTTATAATCTACAAACTCAACTGTCGACATAGTACACTCCACCTGGAGCCAACCTAGCATGTACACTGTTGCTGAAGTCCCCTACCTTTTGCATGTAAAGCAAAGCAACAGTGTGCTTGCAGGTAAATGCCACCTGGCGATATGTCTCGACTTACTTTTGAGACGGGTCCTTGGAGTCGTTGCCGAACTGCCAGAAGGCGACGACGGGCGGCCCGTACAGCTGCGGCTCCAGGGCCAGCTCGGGCATCACCGAGGTGATGTTGAAGAAGCTGGTGAAGGTGAGGGCCAGCGCCACGAACAGCGCCGGGAGAACCAGCTGCGGCAACCAAGGGTTCGAGTTCCATCGCATCACTGAGCTTTTCAAATTCGACCACTTCTCTCGACACTCCAGCTGGAGCGTCCCTGCATGCACACTGATCCTGCTGACTGGTCGTTGAAGTGTGCATCGAGGTGTGCATGCAGGCACGGTCCAGCTGGAGTGTGTCATGCTCGCTGTTTGCAGTGTACTTTACCTGCGTGAAGAGTCCTTTGGGGTCCCTGCGGACGTGGTTGAAGCGCTTGCGGGTGAGGGCGAGGTACTGCTGCTTCAGGAGGGCGAAACCCGTGACGCCCGCGTCGTCGTCCGCGCCCAGCGGCACGTTGACCACGCCGTTCTCTCCGGACGGGAGGGGCGTGTCTGGAAACGCACCGCGGTCATAGACTAGGACCCCCGCAGGGCACAGTGCGCCAGAAGACCGGTGGAGGCGGACAAAGCCAGCACCAGCACCACACTACGCTACAAAGATTCCCCCAACGTCAATATGCACCGCCACCAAAGCAACCAACACCCTGTTACCATATCAGCAGGTCGAACAGTGCTTTCGCACTAGCAATCGTGACAGCTTGAAAGACAAAACAAGTCTACGAGCAAAAGGGGCGGAAATCGAGCTGCAGGTTCGCATGCATTCGGCAGCCAACCACCTAGCCTAGACAGGGATAGAGATTAGCCAGCCGCTGGGCCCCACAGTGTACCCCACACCGACCGGATGCCACATGCAAGGAAGAGGGATGGTCAAAACGACACACGGACTCACACTGCAACATCACACCATTCACTTGCACTTCAATGAGGTCTCCGCCTGGAAAAGGGTTGAAACAGTCAGTGGCAGGCTCGCGCGATCAGACGGACGGGACGATCACGATCGGAAAACACAACGACACTGAGAACACGGACTTCTGGACTAGATGGCAAACAGAAGCACAGAATAAGTGCCTCGACAGTTGGACTTACCTCCATTGGTGGTGGGTTCCTTATCCTCGACAACTTTCAGGAAAATCTGCAAAGGAAGAGGAGCAATGTCATTCTGCCGAGTTTCCGCTCTTCGGAGAGAAGTGATTTAAGATAGGATTTATAGGCAAATTTTGAAAGCCCTACCAAAGACATTACACTTAAGCAAACCCTTTGTGCAGGACTGCTATGCCCGTCAGGGCGTCGTTTTCATGCCCCTGTTCCACCAGTGCACCCACCTCCTCAAGCGACGTGTCCGAGATGCCGTACGACTCGATGCCCAGCCCGTCCTTGCTCTTGTCCATCTTCTCCAGCACGGTGGTGATGGCCTCCACGTCGTGGCGGTCGCGCAGCACGAACACGGACTCGGACGGCACCTCCTGCACCACCTGCGCGCTCGCCACCGTCTCCGTCACCATCTGGCGCAGCCGGGCCGCCTCTGTGGGAAAGATCGCTGAATGAGTAACAACAATCATCATCGTCATCATCAACAACAACAAAATGGGGTGCGGGACTCACTGTTGGCGACGTCGTTGCCGTCCTGGCGCCACTCCACCGTGAGGTAGTAGCCGCTGCCGAAGCGGCCCTTGAGGAACACGCTGGAGCCGCAGCACTGCAGGCGGCCCGCGCTGATGATGGCGATGCGGTCGCCCAGCAGGTCCGCCTCGTCCATGAAGTGCGTCGTCAAGATGACGGTGCGCCCTGGAGGCAATCATTTCACGTTTTTAATACGCAGGTGCGGAATCGCCTTGCAGGGCACGATCTGGTCACCAGAGGACTGAACGAAACTGGAGCAGGTGGCCAAAGCTCTAGACGCGTTGTGAGCTCCAGAGTCCCATTCAGCGACTCTGGAGCTCAAAACGCGTCCGGGATTTGGACCGCCTCCACCGGTCCTCTGGCTCACTGTACTTTGCCTCACCGTGGCGGTACTTGATGAGCAGCTCCCAGATGGCCCTCCTGGAGAAGGGGTCGACGCCGGCCGTGGGCTCGTCCAGGAACACGGTCCTGGAGCCGCCCACGAAGGCCATGCCCACGGACAGCTTGCGCTTCATGCCGCCCGACAGGTCGCTGGACAGGGCGCGCCGCTTGTCCTCCAGCCCCATGTCGCGCAGCATGGTCGCCATCTCCTCGCGCAGCAGCAGCGGGTCCAGCCCCTTGATGCGCCCGAAGAAGTACAGGTGCTCCTCCACCGTCAGGCTGCGGGACATGAGGTTCCTCGCTGTCTCTCTCGCATCCGACAGACAGTGTGGCGAAACGGCTTTTCTGAAAAGCTCGGCTGCCAACGGCATCTCCTCATAGGAGTGAGAGCCGTCTGTCTCTTACACTTTGGGAGACAGAGCGACAAAACTCAGCATGTGAACCCCCTTGACGTACCTGTCGAACAACACGTTGTGCTGCGGGCACACGCCCATGCTGTCGCGGATGGACACCATGTCGGTGCGGATGTCCAGCCCGTAGATGCGCGCCGTGCCCGAGGTGGGCGGGTACATGCCGGTCAGCATGGAGCTGCGGGCAACACGCCACCAACATCAGACTCATGTGACGCAGTTTTTCCAACCTTGCACCCAGGAAAAGTGGGTCCTTGATAACACAACGAAAACTGGTCTTACATGGTGGTGGTCTTGCCCGCGCCGTTGTGGCCCAGGAAGCACGTTATCTGGTCCTGGTAGAAGTTGAGGGACAGCCCGTCCACCGCCGCCCGGTCGCCGAACGTCTTGCTCAGCTTGTCAATGGCCACGCCGATGATGCCGTTGGAGGGCTCCGGCTCCATGTTGTTGGCGGCCACTGTGAGAGGAAATTCAGAAGAAAGGACTTGAGCGGTTTGCTGACCATGAGGAATATACATGGCACTCTACAAGGTTTATAGAGAAGATTCTCTTTATTATCGTGAAAATTCTCTGTATTATGGTGAAGCAGCTGACTTTATAACATTCCAAAGAGAATTCACTGATCCTTATAGATATTTTGACGAATTTCATTTGTTTTATGGAGAAAATCTTTACCATGATATGGTGGTGCAGCCTTTCACCGTAAGACATTTACAGTGTGGGCCGTAGTACTCACAGTTGCCGTTGACGATGTGGCCGTTCATGTCCTTGGGTGCGGATGTCCCGCACCAGTAGGACCGCTGCAGGAAGAAGTAGTAGGGCTTTGGGATCCCGTACTGGCCTGCAGAACACACCAAACGCTATTTAGAAGGACTTCATGCCGCAGAGCAGTGGGCCAGACCGGTGGCGTCGGTCAAAATCGCAGACGGGTTTTGAGCTCTAGACCCTGGCCGTCGGTCCTTACCGGGGAAGACCGCCTCGATGTACCACGTGAACACGGCGTAGATGAGGGCGTCCAGCCACAGCATGCGGATGCACATGCCCATGGTGACCAGCTCGTCCGCGTTGGCCGGCAGGTCCAGGTTGTGCCAGTGCACCCCCTCGCCGGTCTGCTCGAACGAGGCGAACACGTTGGCGCCGAGGCCGAACGCCATGTTGGACACGAGGCTCTGCAACAGCATCACCGGAAAGTCACCCGAATGTCACAGCGGTGATCGCCACGGAGGCGGTGCACAGTGGGCCAGACGACCGGCACGGCACTCACCACGCCGATGAAGCCCCAGTAGGGGATCATGTCCGCGAAGCGCACCACCAGCGGGTACGGCATGTAGGTGGTGAAGTAGATGATCCCCGCCGCCGCGGCCGCCACGTTGGCCCGGGAGAAGAACACGGACATCAGGAAGCTGAACGAGAGCGTGGCCACGGAGAAGGACAGCAGGTACAGCCAGACCACGCCGAAGGACGACTTCTCGATCACCTTGCCATACTGTTGGGGCGGAGTGCAGCCATTAGTACGAGAGCGGAGCGGCCCACTGTGCGTCATCGCTCTGAACTTTAACAGACACTCACCACGAGGATGAGCGCCAGGCAGGTGAGGCTGATGAACATGATGAAGAACGTGTCGACGAACCAGCCCACCCAGTGCACGCCGTTGCTCAGCCCCATGACGCCCAGCGTCTCCTTGATGCGCTGCTCCTTCTCGTAGACGATGCTCTTGACCGCCATGGCCGCAGTGAACACCCAGGCCAGCACCATGAACATGGGGAACGTGTTGGAGATGGCCTTGATGAACCTGGCAGAGATGGCAGAGTCGCGGTTAGGTGCTTTCTGCGCGCACAGTGAAAAACATACCAAAATTTTCAGGATGCGTAAGGAATAAGCCTCTATGTCTTAGTTTATATTTATTCCGTTATACGAAGGAATACTATGGAAATTAATTTCTTTGCATTATGCCAATGCCGCAAAGTTGATCAAAACGGTCACAAATGTCTGTGAAAAATCGTGTTTTGGGCCGACTTTAAGCATCTACTGCGGCTGATCCGAGAAGGTATTTCATCCTCCCTCAACGGGCAATTGGTCTTTCGACCTTCCTTTTGCATGCCTTTGTTACGGAGTGCGATTATCTGCCTTAGTTTGGGAGCAGTATTGCCGCAAAGTTGATGAAAACGGTCACAAATGTCTGAAAAATCGTGTTTTGATCAACTTTGCGGCAATACTGCTCCCAAACTAAGGCAGATAATCGCACTCCGTAACAAAGGCATGCAAAAGGAAGGTCCAAAGACCAATTGCCCGTTGAGGGAGGACGACATACCGCCTCGGATCAGACGCAGTAGATGCTTAAAGTCGGCCCAAAACACGATTTTTCACAGAGGGTCGTACTCACTGGTCGTAGATGTAGGACGGGTAGGGGTACTGCTTGAGGATGCGGCCGGGGTTGCTGTCCCCGGCCTTGCCAGTGTGCAGCTCCAGGATGGCACTGTCGATCATGTCCTGGAGGTACGAGAAGCCGTACGTCAGGTACTTCATGTCGGTGAGGGGCTGCGACCGCGCGCGGTAGTTGGTGCGCCGGTCCATGATGTCCACCGTGCTGTCCACTCGCTCAGAGCTCAGCCTGCGAGGAGGAACAGAATGCCACGCTCAGATTTAGATGATGTACAGTGAGCCAGAGGACCGGTGGAGGCGGTCAAAACTCCAGACGCGTTTTGAGCTCCAGAGTCACTAAATGGGACTCGAACCGGACGTATGACCCAACTAATGGGTAGCTCTCCGAATGACGAATCCATTGGTGGAGTCACACGTTCGATTCGAGCCACATTTAGCGGTCTTCTGTCAAACTGTGAGACAAGACTGGAATTCAGAAGGCATCGGAGGAACGAGCCCGTACCTGAGCCTGTACTTGACGAAGGGCTCCAGGGTGTCCTGCCCCGCCGCGTCGAACACCACCAGGGCCCAGAGGTTGTTGGTGCGCGCCAGCTCCATGGCCTCGTCCTCCGCTTCGTCCGGGGCCACGGGCTGCACCTTCTGCCTGTTCAGGCACTGCGAAAAATAGGAGAGGGGCAATCAGCGACGTGTTTTAGGCCTCCGGCCTCCGGGAATAACACTGTTTTCAATGAATGTGACGTCATTTCAGTTGGAGTGTGAATTTTCTCAAGTTCGATTGAATACGTTGCCAACTTCGTTTGAAAGTGACACGGCCGTTCAGTCCAGTTAGGGTGTCTCACTTGTTTGATCGTGTGACATCATATTCAAACGACACAATTCACATTCAAACGATTGTGACGTCACATCCGTCGAATGCCAGTGTAACGCGTCGAAAGGCAGGCAGTGCGGGGCTCACCTTCACGAAGCGGCTCAGCAGCTGGAAGGCGTCGTCAAGCGCGCCCCCCATGGCGTCCTCCGTGTCCGTCGTGTCGGCCGACGGCTGCGCGCCGGAGGGGTTCTCGGTGGCGGGCGTGGCGGGCCGCCGCCTCGTCAAGGTGTCGCGCAGCCTGTGGGGAGAAATCAAATCTGGGTCAAGGAATCCCAGCTAAAACCTCGGGTAAATTTAGTTTTACCAGTGTACCACCGCTGAACAAGAAGCGGACGCCGCGGGGTGAGAACTTACCTCCGCAGATCGCCCCCTCGTCGCAGCAGGATGGGCGTCAGGAACAGGGCGTTGTGCTTGAAGGAGGCGGCGTACAGCGCCTTGCCGGCCTCGGTCTTGGGCGGCTCCTGTCCAACCAAACGTGGAGCGTGACCGCAACGCACAGTGGGCCAGAGGACCGGAGGAGGCGGCCCAAATTCCAGACGCGTTTTGAGCTCCAGCGTCGCTAAATGGGACTCGAACCGAACGTGTGACCCCACCAATGGATTGTTCTCCGAACGAGGAGTCCATTGGTGGGGTCACACGTTCGGTCCGAGTGATGTTTAGCAACTCTGGTGTTCGAAACGCGCCGCACACTGAGCAACGACTGCGGACGTCGCCGGCAGGGCGGCGGTGCGCCCGCCGAGTCGAGGGTAGGCAGCACGCTCGACAGGGCCGTGCTCAAGACCCCCCTAGACTCACCCGCACGAGGAAGCCGCCCTCCAGTCGGTTGAAGAAGGTGTCCGTGTCCACCTCCTCGAAGCCGGGCAGGAACAGCAGCCTGTTGAAGGTGGCGTTGACGCGCTCCATGATGGAGCGCACGGCCGGAGTGTCCGGCGTGTACAGGATCTTCCCTCTGCGGGCAACAGTTAGCGGTCACTGCCACTTCGGACAAGAATTCTTTTCGCAACTGTACGAAGTGATTTGAGCATAAGAAAGGTGCAGTAACAATGAAACGATTTATTTTGATACGCGAAGAAATGGTTCGTAAATTACCATAAGTATTTCCTCGATAAGCCCATGTAAACACTTTTTTGGCCCGTCCCGTTTATTTTTTCTAAAAAAATGACGGAGGGACGGGCATATAGTATGATGCATGCTGTGCGTCCGTCCGTTCGTCCGTTCGTTCGTTCGTCCGTTCGTTCGTCCGAGGACTTCCCGTGGTCCGATCTTGACCAAATTTGGTATGCAGCCTCCTTGGGTGACCCTAAGAACCGCCCGGTGGCAGCAAATCCGATCCGAGCCCCGGGGGCGCTGCTGCAGGTGCATCATGGTCTACATGGGGTCGAGGAGGATCTCGGCAACGGATGCAGCTAGGAGGGCATGTAGGGGTATTTTTGGAATCGGGGCGACGAGAGAAAACCAATGGTGCCAGTTTCGAGCAAATCGGAGAAGTTCGGACCCGGGTTCAAATCCCAGCGGGGTATTTTTGGAACATTCTTTTTATTCGAGTTTTTGCATTGTTTCTGATGTTTTGGAGGGTGCTGATGACGAAAACGACATTTATTTTAACCCCAGACTCAGATTTAATTCCCGTCAGGGTCAAACATAGGAGAAATTCGTACGTTTCTTAATGTACGGGACGGGCCAAAGTTGCCGATGTATATCGCTACTTTTCCTGTTATTTTGACAAAAACTACTTTTCGTTGTAAGGCTTGCAAGGTTTTGAGAGTTCGAGATCCCGCACTGACGGACTTGCCTGATGAAGGGCTTGATGACCTTCCAGACGGCCGAGATGCCCGGGATCCGGTTGGTGACGGTGCTGTTGAAGATCATCTGGCACTCCGGCGGCTCGTCCGGGTCGGAGCTGTAGCGCGCCTTGAGCTGCATCTGCTCGCCACGCAGCGCCCGCGTGCTGCAGGCAGTGCGAAGGAAAAGCGGTTCACAATCCTGGGTCGGTTCAAAGAGAGAGTCAAGGCACAGTGGGCCCGTTTGGAGCTCCAGAGTCGTCACAAAGGACTCCAATCGAGCGTGTGACCCCACCAATGGATTCCTCGTTCGGAGAGCAATCCATTGGTGGGGTCACACGTTCGGTTCGACTCCCATTTAGCGACTCTGGACCACAAAACGCGTCCGGGATTTTGGCCGTCTCCACCGGTCTTCTGGCCCACTGTAGGCTGCCGATACTCACAAGTCGTTCTCCGGGATCTGCATTTCCGAGGCGTACTCTATCAGGTCGCACCAGCCCTCCACGGGGGCCTTGTACGTGTCGCGCTTGCCGCGCAGCCGGTCGAAGATGGCCAGAGCGCCGTGGTCGATTTTGCTGCAACGCGAACAACATGAAGTATGTACACTGCAGACTTCGTCTGGAAATTGGTGGCGCTGGCAGGACGCGCCTGTGAATAACGTGCTGGCGCAAACTTGAACACTCACTCCACGTTGATGGCGTCCAGGTCCAAGGCCATGCTGCGGACGGCCACCTGCAGTCGGTGCCACGCCGACGGCCGAAGGATGCTCCCCATGTTCTCCCGCTTGTACGAGTACGCCTGCGGGCGGGCAAAATAGAGATAACTCTTGTTTCAGTCATTGTGAAGGAGAGAAAAAAAACAACTTGCGGGTGGAAGAAACACTAAAAAAATGAATGGATACCAGAAAAGCTGCATGTAATTCTTTGACATCGTTTTGGATGGAAAATACGATTTAATCTGCAGTCATTCACGGGGTGACTGTAACTGTTTCGTTCCGAATGGAAATCTGTGTCCGGGACCGAGATTTATGAAAAAGCCACTCTCGGGGCAACTAGTTTTCGATTTTAAAAATCAGGCCATAAGTATGACAACTCGTCGAATGTTGAGGCACGCGTTGCGAGCCGTAAGTCCAAAAAAGTGTGGCGACAATCTAATCGAGAATGTTCGATAAGTCGATAAGAGCGGGACTCGGAGCGGGACGGCCTACCGATGCGGTGACGTCTTCCCAGATGAAGGCTGCGGTTTCGGTGCACAGCTCGGGCGAACTTCCGGCAGGGACCGCGGAGCAGTACGTCACCATGGGGGAGTCGTCCGAGAGCATGGCCTGGTCGAGCTGCGGAAGACAGTGGCACCTTGAGCGAGGCTCGTCTTACACACTCTAAATGTCTTCTTTTCTGAACGTATAGATTGTGAGTATCTATGATCGAATAGCTAAGCACCAGGATTATGGAACCCGTGAAAACGTCTAAATAGGCCGATTTGGCAACAGTTTCTGATCTCTCTTATTCCTCCTCGTCTTCAATCCAGATTCTAGTCTAAAGGTTTTGATTTGCAGAGTGCCGGCAGTACCTTGTCGACGTCGACCTCCTTGCCGAGCCACTCTGGGGAGAGGTCCGCGTACTGCGTGGGCAGCACCATGTCACGGAGCCGGAGGGAAAAGTCGTCGTCTGCAAAATTAATTAGGTTTATCTTTTAACCACTGAGAGCACTCCTTTGGTCAGTGCGAATGTGATGCGCGTCTAGTCACCCCGCGGTGATTCGGGCCGCGTTTCCAGTTCACGAGGAAAGAAGCGTTCCGGGGAACTCACCGAGCGTGCTGTTGTTCTCCACGGCCGAGACGATGGCGCCCATGTCGCCGTAGTTGCGGATGAGTCTGGGCAGCTTGCCGTCGTCCAGCAGCAGCCGGCCGAACTCGTTGGTGAAGTCGGTCAGCCTGGGGACGCAAAAGTGAAACTGGCGTCAAGGGATGTCTACCTACCCCAATTTAATGCGTTTATGGCTAATTATGCAGTGTCCCCACTGATCCCGTCATGAGTCGCAGGGGAAGGACATCACCACTAATGGCCGCTCCGCTCATGGCTTAAAATTAATGCCCTGTTCTGTGTTTCCTGTAGAGCGAAGCACGTTTAAGCACGTTTCTCACGTAAAATAATTTCTTCTGGCCCACTGCGCCATGCCGGCCTTGTTGGCCTTGCCCGTGGCGGCACCGCGAAGAACGCCCCGACGCCCCCGGCACGGGCCACTCAATAAAACACGGAGGGAAGCGCTCGCTCGCCGGCCAGGCCAGAGGGCAGGGCAGAAGCCAGGCCCGCCGTGAAGGCACGCCGGCGGCGGCTACCGGTGCATGGCTACCGGGACACCACGGCGACGACCTTGATGAACGTGGCGCCGCGTGGGCGGGCTGAGAACGGGCGGAGGGCGGAACGCACCCAAGGCCGGAGGGCGTGGTGAGGGGCCTTCGTCACGATCATCATCATCAAGAAGTGGTTATAGCAGGCCCATGCGAGCGGCCGATCGGTCAATACAAAATTCAACAGGGCGGCAACTTTGGCGGCCAGGGCGACGCACAGTGGGCCAGAAGACCGGTGGAGGCGGCCAAAGCTCTAGACGCGTTTTGAGCTCCAGAGTCGCTAAAGAGCACTCGAACCGAGCGTGTGACCCCACCAATGGATTCCTCGTTCGGAGAGCAATCCATTGGTGCGGTTCGAGTCCCATTTAGCTACTCTGGAGCTCAAAACGCGTCTAGAGTTTTGGCCGCCTCCACCGGCCTTCTGGCCCACTGTGCGGCGGGCGCTCCGCTAGACAGCCGGACAACCGGGCGTCCGCGGCCATGGCCACGGCCGCGGGGCGCGACGCATAGCACGGCACGCCAGCGCGGCCAGTGTCAGGGTCGGCTGGTCGATGGCGAGCGAGTCACTCCACCTGTACGACTTTCTTCTCAGTACAGTCTGGCACAGTGCGCCGGGGAGGCGGCTCTGGCGCGCCATCTCGTCCGCAGCAGGGGAGGGAAATCGAACATTGTGGCGCGGACTGTACGGAGAGGGTCCACGCACAGTGGGCCAGAAGACCGGTGGAGGCGGCCAAAACTCTAGACGCGTTTTGAGCTCCAGAATTCTGCCGGCGAGACTGGATGCGCCACCGAAAAGAACAACAACGACACGGGATGGGGGAAGATTGGCAATAGAGGGGTCCCGGGTTCGAATCCGCCCGGCCGTTCGTCGGGCGGCAACTGCTTAATTTCCTGGCCGACGCCGGTGAGTCGCTTACTTGGGCCTGGTGCCGTCGTCGAAGGGAGGCGCGATGGAGCCGTTGTTGAGGTGGCAGACGTTGGGGGCGTTGCAGACCAGGGAATGCAGGAAGGCGAACTGGCCGGCCGATGGCATGGCCTTCTCCATGTAGTGGCCTGCAATAATGTAAACAGTGCCAACAGTGCACCTCCATCAAGTCCTGCGCCATGGAAGCTGCCAAGTTGCACTCACATTCTGGGCGAATTTCCTTGAGGCCGCGCGTCCGCACCCACATCAGGATGAGGAAGAGGAACAGTGGCCACAGCACCTCGAGGCAGAGCCTCAGCTGCAGACAACAGGGGCGCCATCAGACAACGCAAACCCACAGAGCACTCAATGCCGTGCCTCTTCAAACGGAACCTAAACCGAAGCACTTACCTTGTTCCGCCTCCGGATCAAAAAGTTCTTCCACAGCAGCAGCCGGAGCTGCAGGAAGAAGCCCATGTCTTCGACTTTGTTGATCGGCTTTAGAGCGTTTTGTTCTGGCGACACACAAACACACAAATACTCACTCACACACTATTAGAATCAAGTCAGAATGCTAGTTGCTCCTTAAGGCTGTGGGACTGATTAACCCGAGATGAAACCACCCCCGCATGGGGTGGCTTCTCGTAAACACGCGTGGCACTGCGGCACGGACCAGAAGACCGGTGCAGGCGGCCAAAACTCCAGACGCGTTTTGAGCTCCAGAGTCGCTAAATGGGGCTCGAACCGAACGTATGACCCCACCGAAGGATTGCTCTCCGAACGAGCAATCCATTGGTGGGGTCACACGTTTGGTTCGAGTCCTGTTTGGCGACTCTGGAGCTCAAAACGCGTCTAGACTTTTGGCCGCTGCGCCGGTCTTCTGGCCCACTGCGGCACGCACTCGTAAACCTGGACACGACGCTTGGCGCGCTACGCGGCCGGCGCGGCCATGGGCTGCCAGGGCGGAGTCGCGGCGCGGAGTGGCGATGCAGGCGAAGCTAGCCGTCACCACAGTGCACCACCTCGCCGCCCCCGGCCCCGCCCGCCCCGCGTCGAGATAACGGCCCGCGACTGATTCCACAGCGTCTCTCTCCGTCTCTCTCGCACCCTGACGGGCGGCCCCGCGAGTGCGAGAGAGACAGAGAGAGGCCCTTCGCAGCCAGTCGGCGGTGGCCCTACACGGAAGGTGAAGTGCGCGAAATCCCGCGTGACGCAACGGCGTAAGTGGCGGCGTGATTCGGCGACGGCCCCCGAGTCGTATCAGGACTTGTCGCAGTCCTCGCTCTGTCTCTCTCGCACTCGTGGAGTGTGTGTAGGGGCAGGCTGGAATAGTGACCGGATTGCGCCGCCCCTGCAGACTGATTCCGAGAGTCGTTTTCGTCGCTCTGTCTCTCTCGCACTCTTGGGGCGTCCCCTATAGGTGCGATAGAAACAGCGACGAGAACGACTCTCGGTGCGACGGAGCGCCAAACTGGCGGCGAGCATGCCTGTCAGGCCGCAACACGCGATCAAGTGACCAGCCATGCAGCCGGCGCCTTGCCGGGCGGACGGACAGACAGACAGACGGGCGCACTGACGCACCGCCCCCGTCCGTCCGTCCACTGCCGTCGCACGGCGCCAAGGTCAAGGTTGGCGGCAAGAGGAAGACAGGCAGTCCTGCGCGTCCCGGAGCACGACAAGTAGAGCGGCGGCGCGCACACGAGCACGGCGTCGCGGCGGCGCTCGGAGGAAACTGAACCAGCGGATGACACCGGCAACATAACCTCTCCGCGCGCTGCTGCACGGCGCGCTACGGCCCGTGCGGCACGCGCACGACAGCGCGCGAACCCGCGGCCTCGACGGCGTCCTTCGACGCGCACGTGCTCGGCCGCGCCGCGAGGTGGCAGTCTCGGTTACCATTCTGGTGACGGGCTTCGCCAGGCTTGGCTAGGTTGTTGTGGGCGCGCAGGGTTACGCCAGGCGGCGCGCACGCGCAAGGAGCCCCTCCGGCCTGGGTGGCTGGCCCCTCCCGTCACTCCCGTCCGGTCCCGGGCGGCTCGGCCTCGGCACTGAGTCACAGTCAGGCCTGGCCCAGGCCCTCCTCCTCCTAGCCCAGTGGGCCCCGGGCCCGGCCGGGGGAAGGGGGCGCTAGGGGCCCGGACCGCCCCCCCAAACCCTTGGGGGCCGGGCGGAAAGGGCCTTTCCTTCCAAGCCCCCGGTTTTTCCCAGGGGGGAAGGGGGGTTTGCGAGGGGGGGCCCCCCAACCTTGTGGGGGCTCCCCATCCGGGCGCCGGGTTTGCCCCCAACCCCGGGTTTTTTTGGGAAGGGGGCGCAAAGGGGAAACCCTTAAGGGCCCCGGGGCCCCCCAAATTGGCCCCCGGGGCCCCCCTCCGGCCCGGGGGGGTTCCCAAGAGAGAAGGGGGGGGGGCGGCAAAACCCGGACCGCGCGCCCCCCGGGCGGGGTGCCCCCCCGGCCCGCGGTTCCCGCCCCGGTTACCGCGGGGGGGGGCCGCCGGGGAGAACCCTTAGGACCGGCCCCCCCAACACGGGCGGGGGTACCCCCGGCCCAAGCGTCCCGCCCCGGCCACGGGGGGGGGCGCTGCAGCCCAAGGGCCGGCCGCCCCAAACAGTGGCGGGGGGCCCCCAAAATCCCCCAACCCCGGTTTTTGGGGGGGGCGCGGGAGCCCTTAAGGGCTCCCCAAACGTGTGGGGGGGCCCCCCCAAGGGATTTCCCTCTCCAAGAAAATTATTTAGGGGGAAGGGGGCGTTTAGCGAGAACCCAAAACCCCGCCCCCAAATTTTGGGCCGGGGCCTCCCCCTTTCCGGCCCACCTGGGGCCCCCGGGGGCCCCAGACCAGCAAGGGGGCGGCGAGCCCATTGGGAGCCGCGCGCCCCAACCTGTGCGGCCGGGCTGCCCCCTCACCCCTGTTCCCCGCACCGGCCGGGGGAAGGGGGGTTGGGTTAAAGGGGGCCCCCTAAAGGGCCCCCTATCCCCCCTGCCCTCTCCAAGCACCGAGTTATTTCCAGCGGGGAAGGGGGCGTCTAGCGAGAACCCATTAGGAGCCGCGCGTCCCCAACACGTGTGCGCGCCGGGCCAATCTCGGATACAAGATGTGACAGCGGACGGAAGGGCGCGGGAGAGGGGAGGGGGAAGGGGAGGGGGAGGTGCGCCTGGTCGGGCGAGGGAAGGCCCAGGCCCGGCCCAGGCCCGTGTCGCATCAAGTTCGTGACTGGACGGCCGCCGCGCCGCCGCTGTGCTGTGGGTGATGTGATGCTGATCGTCGGCGGGCTCGCGGCTCGCCACGGCCCGGCGGCGCGCGATCTTCGCTCCGTTTGTTGCTTTGCCGAGTCGCTGGGGCCCGGGGCCGCTCGCTGGGTTCAGGCAGGCCGGGGCCCAAAGCCGGCGCGCACCGCGGCCGAGGAGAAAGTGCCGGAGTCGGCGGAGCGGCCCAGTCCGCCCAGTCCCCAGCGAGCGCTGCCGCGCTGCCGCCACCAGCCGCCACCATCCGCCCAGCCGCAGTAGGCGGCCATGCTGCGGGGTGGAGGGTCGGGCTACTCTCCCGTCTCACTGGTGGACCCCGAGGACGACTATGGCACGATGGTGAGTACGACGCCGTCCTGGAGACGTCCCCCAAGCCGCCACCCGGAAGCACGTCGCCGACGTGCCGGGCGAGTGTTACGCGGCCCGAACGGCGGTCTGGTTCCGGTCGCGCCGGTCCACCAGGGTTCACCCGGCCCGCGCCCAGCTGGGTCCCGACCTTCCTCACTGCAGACTGATTCCGAGAGTCGTTTCCGTCTGTGCAACAAGTCGCGACAGCGCGAGGACTTTCTTGCCACCCCGTGGCGTGGCGGAACTGGCAGGTGGACGCACAGTGGACTATAAAAGCGGACGCTGAGTGGACTTGTGAAAGACGCATGCGAAACTACAGCACTCTATCAGCAGCCCAGGCTGGAGCCGTAACGCTCTGACCTTTTAGAACGGCCATAGGCAGGCGTTCAGCTTATTCTGCCGTCGTCGTGTGGACAAAAAAAAAAAAAAAAAAAAAAAAACCCGAAACGCGTCGAACCCTGGAAAGCAAAACGTGGCCACAGCGAACGTGTGACCCCACCAATGGATTCCTCGTTCGGAGAGCAATCCATTGGTGGGCTCACACGCTCGGTTCGAGTCCCATTTAGCGACTCTGGAGCTCAAAACGCGTCCGGGATTTTGACCGCCTCCACCGGTCTTCTGGCCCACTGTGCGTCATCATCGAGTGAGTGCCGGCTGAGTGTTGCTGAATCGGCCGGCCGGGGACTTCGCGGGTAGTCGCTGATGGCAAGGCTGGCCTAGGCTGGCGCGACGCGCACCTGCTCGCGTCACGTTTTCCTCTTCAGGCACGTGTTACAACGTGTTACAGCGTACCCCGCCGGAAACAAATGTTTTTTTTTTTCGGCGTTTTCAGTTTCAAACGCCGCCTCTTTTTTCTGCGTCTGGAATTCTGGGTTTCCAAATTAATTGTTGGGATACCCGGCGCGGTCCGCTTTAACATAACAACACGCCCACGCCACGTCACGTCACGGCGGACGTGCCTTAAATGAAGGCGTCACGCCTGGCGGCCCGGCGCTTTGCGCTGTGACGCCAAGCGGTCCCGTTTCGGCACGCGGGCCCCTCGCCACAGTGGGCCAGAAGACCGGAGCAGGCGGCCAAAACTCTAGACGTGTTTTGAGCTCCAGAGTCGCTATATGGGACTCGAACCGAACGTGTGACCCCACCAATGGATTCCTCGTTCGGAGAGCAATCCATAGGTGGGGTCGCACGTTCGCTACGAGTCTCATTTAGCGACTCTGAAGCTCAAAACGCTTCTAGAATTATGGCCGCCTTCGCCGGTCTTCTGGCCCACTGAGCGCGCCCCCGCGCCCGCCGACAACAAGAGCCAAGCAAAGCAGCCATTCGGGGCCCCATTCGCGACACTCGCGGCAGACTGATTCTGCCGCTTTGTCTCTCTCGCACTCGTGGGGCGTTCCGTGAGGGGTGCGAGAGAGACAGCGGCGAAGCGCTGCGTTCTCCAGCACGGCCTTAATGGGCGCCAGTGTCGCCCCCTGCCGGCCGCGCCGTTCGGGGGGCGAGGACCAATTCAGGCGGACACGACTGTGGACACGATCCCCCAGCCCTGCGTTCCTCAAACAAGACCACAATCGAACACATGATGGCACCAGTGGATTGCTCTGCGTTCGATTCAAGTCATGTTTGAGGACTGGCGAACTCAAAACCGCCGCTGTCCGTCTGTCTGTCTCGCTGGCCCACTGCACTGCGCGCGCCGCCAGCGAGGCGATGATCGTCTGCCCCTCGACCCGGCAGGCCCGACAGGCCCGACAGGAACAACACCGTGCCATGCAGGAATACAATTACTCGATCCGTCCCTCCCTCTCCCTCTCGCGCACACACATCGCGTGCAGCGTCCTCTCTCCTCATCTCGTTTTATCAAAGTTTGAGTCCGGCGTTATTGGCGTGGGAAGGTCAGTGGGCCGCGGGGGTCCGCGGCAACAACAACCGCCTGCGTCTTTTATAATTCACGGCGCCGGCCGGAAGGCGAGGCGGCGGGCCGTCGCCGTCGCTCTGTCTCTCTCGCACTCGCGGGTCTCCCCGGTCACACCGCGCGGCTGCGACGGAGACAGAGCGACGGCAGTTCGGAATCAGCCGACAACAGGTCTGCGGCCAGGTCTGCGGCCGGTAGCCGACTGATTCCGAGAGTCGTTTTCTTCACTGTGTCTTGGTCCCCAGTGTCGGTGCGAGAGAGACAGAGCGGCGAAAACGACTCTGCAGTGTACTGGCTGCGGTTCGGTTGCTGTCCGGCTGTTTCCACGGCGGTGGCGGTGACGGCCTGCCCGTCTGCCGCGGCCCGCGGCTTGCACAGCTGTTTGTCGCGCTGCCGCGCTGCTCGAGGTGGGCCGGCCCCGCGCCGGGCCGCCCTGGCCCTGCACTGCAGGTCGCGGCCAACGCCGAGGTGCCCGTTGGGTTGCCTACGCCGCCGGCGCCGCGCGTCGCCACACTGCACGGCCGAAACTCCAGACGCGTTTTGAGCTCCAGAGTCGCTAAATTGGACTCGAACCGAACGTGTGACCCCACAAATGGAATCCTCGTTCGGAGAGCAATCCATTGGTGGGGTCACACGTTCGGTTCGAGTCCCAGTTAGTGACTCTAGAGCTCAAAACGCGTCTAGAATTTTGGCCGCCTCCATCGGTCTCTGGTCCACTGTGCACTGCTAGCTTCCGCGGCGTGCACTTGTTACGTCACGCTGCGGCGCGCTGCCCTAAGCCCTAAGCGGTGCCGGCCGCCGGCCACGGCCCCATTGACTCGCGGGCGACGCTAACTGCTAACCCGTCGCCGCCTACACTGGGCTTCGCCCGGCTACGCCCGGCCACGCTGGGCGCTGGGCTACGCCGCCGTCGTCGGGGCGTCGGGACGCCGTCAGGACGCTGTCAGGACGCCGTCAGCTCGAACCGGACGAGGCTAATTTATTGCACCGCCGCGACGCCCAGCGGCGCGGACGTCTCCCCGGACGTCTTGCCGGACCGGCACCGGGCGGATAATCTGGAAAGCCTGGGGGCCGCTGCGGTAAACTGCTCTGCAAACTGAAGTATGCAACTCCGTATGCAACTACAGATGCATGCTCAACCAATGCATCTCTAGGTGTGCGTACTTGCAAGCATGCATCTGTAGATGCGTGCTGAGTGCACCCTCCGGTTTGCAGAGTGGAGCCGGGAAATGATTGAATGCGGAGGTTGGTGAGAGGGAAGGGGAAGGGGGAGGCGGCGGTGCGTGAGTACCGACGGCCCGCTAGCGGCTGGAATGCAAACACGCCGCCGCTGTGGCTGCAGTGGCGGAGTGGCGCTCTGTCCAGCGGTGTCCAGGTGATTGCCCGCCCCGCGGTGGGGGCTCTGAAGCAGGACAAGGTGAAGGGGCGTCGAGGCTCCCCGCGCCGCCCCGCGCCGCCCCGCCCCGCCCCGCCCCCCGCGCCACGCCGGCCGGCCGGTCCTGCCGCTGTGCCCCTGCCTGTGCGTCCTGCAGGCCCGGCCCAGGCCCGGCCAGGCCCGGCGGCGGGGCGCGGAGCACGGCGGAGCTCGGCGGAGCCCCGCGCTCGGCGCAACGCAACGCAACGCGGCGACGCCGACGCGTCCCGCCTGTCGACCAGTCTACCTCGCGCCGCCCGTTCGATCGCAGCGCGGCCAGGCAGCGACAGCGACCGCGCCGCGTAGCTCCGCGTAGTCAGAGAGTCTGCAGCAGCCCCGCGGCGAGTACGTGCACCCCATGGACTAGCTCCCCGGCCTGCAGACTGATCCCGAGAGTCTGTCTCTCTCGCACCGGTACGGACCGCCCCATGCGTGCGAGAGAGACCGACGACTCTCGGAATCGGCCTGCGCCCTGCTCTCCCTCAAGGAGGCCCGTCGCGTCTACGCCTCGGAACAGCTGTTCCGCGCGCTCTGCGCCGGCGGCGTCGCGGGGCCCGCGCCTCGCGACAGTCCCGACAATCGCGGAAGTGGTGAGAGTATCTCACGCGGCAGTGGGGTGGCGTTAGCAACAATGTTCGACAATGGAAAGTGGCGGCGGGTGGGTCCCGCGGCAGGCCGGCCGGTTCGCCGGCGTGCTGACGCAGGCGGCGGCGGTCACCGAGGCCGCCTGCCAGTGGTGTGTCTTTGAGGAATCCACGTGCGGATTAGGGATTCGTCGCGCGATCCCCAGATAATCCCAGTGTAGTGATAGCGGAGTGCCTGCACGGCTCTCGCCGCGCCGACGCCGCCGCCGTGCCAGGCGCGAATCCAGACTCGAAAAGAAGGAGGGGGTCGGACATTTTGCCTGCTTACGGATTGTATGACAAATTGCCAATCTTCTGGCGTTTGATTAGGGGTGAAGGGGGGTCATGCTCCCCGTGACCCACCCCCTGGACGCGCGCCTGCGCCGTGCCTGGCCGTGCCGTGCCATGCCGCACCGCGCGCGGGCAGCACGGGCGTGCCGGGGATCAGCGCGCAATTTGTGAATCCCAGCCGCTGCTCCGCGCCGACGCCAAGGTGCGCCCTTGCCGGCGTGTTTGTCAACAAGCAGACGACGCGGCGGGCTGCCGGCGCTCCGGGCCGCCGGGGCTGCGGATATCACGAATGATAATCCTCCGCTTTTCCGGTGGTTCGCGATAGAATTCGCAGAGTGCTCGTCGGAAATTGGTCGTTTACTTGACGCGGTGCCGTTGCGATGGCTGCTACTTGCGGTCGAGCCTCATCGACGTGCCGTCCGCCAATCTTCTCCGCGTCGTCGGCGTGGTTCCCAGGCGGCCCGCCGCGGCCCGCTGCGGCTCAGAGATTCCGGACTTCCCTCGAAATCTGCCCTCTGCATCGGCGGCCGGCTGCCTCTCCCTGTACGGTCAAGGTTGCGGTCTAGGCCAGCTCGTCAACAACAGCAGCAGCGCCGAGCGCAGCGCCTCTGGAGCGAAAGCGCGCGCCGCCGCGGCCGAGCAAGCCAAGCAAGCCGCCAGTGTTGCCGGTTGGGAGGTTCCCCCCGCGGTCCCCGCGGCCCCCGCACGCACCGCGCCATCAGTGTTCAATGTGTTTGCGCGCGTATACTTAACACGGCGCGGTGGCGCACAGTTGGCCAGAAGACCAGCGGAGGCGGCCAAAGCTCTAGAAGCGTTTTGAGCTTAGAGTCTCTAAAAAGGACTCGAACCGAGCGTGTGACCCCACCAATGGATTCCTCGTTCGGAGAGCAATCCATTGGTGGGGTCACACGTTCGGCGCGAGTCCCATTTAGCGACTGTGGAGCTCAAAACGCGTCCGGGGCTTTGAGCGCCTCCACCGGTCTTCTGGCCCACTGTGGGACGCTGCACTGCACCTCGAACACGAGGGCGGCGGCGGCGGCGGCGGCGCCCCCATAAAGACCCGGCCGGAACCACGCCGCGCTTACACCGCGTTCTGTAAACGGATCGGGGAGGGCGTTGGCAGTGTCACGTGGTGCCGGCGGGGCAGGGCAGGGCTGGCTTGGTGCACAACAAACTGCTTTCTCTCTCTGCTCGGCGCTAAGGCCGCCTGCTGGGCCACGCCACGCCACTGCTTTCACTGTTCACACTCACTCTCACACACGCACACGCCATAGCGCACGCGCAATGTAACGGCACGCGTCTCGCACGCGCCTCCCCGTCATCGCGATGCATTGGCCACCCTGCGCGGCCCCACCGTAAAAGCCGAAAGCCCAGTCGGAATCCCCGCCGCCGAGCCAAAGCCGTTAACGACGCGCTTGTCCGACTGTCGCGGCTTGTCCGCCGAAAGGCCCGAGAGGCGAAGCCGGCAGAGCCACTCGACGCTATCTAACGGTGTCGTGATCAAGGTCCTCGAGGCGTGCACAGCGCAAAGCTCCCTGCAACATGTTGCTGCACATGACCGGCATGACGCAGTGGCGACTCACTCTGCCGAAAACGAGCGCTAAGTGCCGACGAAGTGCCAACGCGCCGCCAGCCGCCACGCCGACGCGGAGGGCCGAGGAAAAGTGCCGCTTTGGCAGCGCGGCTAACGACGGCCGGGCCGGGCCGGGGCACAGCACTGTAATGGACCGAAAGGACAATCAATCGCCAATCAGCGTAAAGCCGCGGCCCGTGCGTGCCGACGGCCGTGCCGTTCACGGTGTGCTGGGCGGTGCTGGGGCACTGGGGCGCCTTAATGTCGCCAGCCGCCACGCCCCGCCCCGCCGCGCCTACACATTTCTCTCCAGCGCCGCCTCCGCCGCTGAGGCTGGCGCCCGTCGCGCCGGAAGGTAGGCCGCCCGCCGCGCGGGGAAGCGTTGAACCCGCCGAACCATCCCGGTTGCCTACCTCGCAGGCTGTAACGCCTGTCGTGGCGAGAGAGGCAGCCCGCCGCACACGCCTGCGTCGTACCGTTCTGGTTGCCCACCTCGCAGGCGGCCGGCCTGGAGGCAGCTCGTTCCACAGGGCCGTGGCGAACCGGTACGCATGTTCTTGGGTGTGGTTGCCTACGCGCGGCGGCCACCCCACCCTGCCCCCACCGCCACTCCGCCCCCAACCCCCACCCCGCCCCCGACTCTGGCCGCGGGGCTGCTTGCTGCGATGCTGCGCGTGCTCTCCGAGGCGCTCTCCGCCAATGACCGCTGTCCGTCGCGGTTGCAGGTGTGCGGCGCGCGTCGGGACATGTTGAGGCGGTGCTTGGCCTCCCCAGCCTCCCCTCGCCGGACCTGCCGGACTTGGTGACCACCAACAGCGAGACAGAATGTCGGGCGGCGCGCGCAACGGCGCCTCCAGCCACAGCCTCGAGATGGCCAACAGCAACCAGGTGAGCGACAGAACGGCCTCCGCCCTTGCCTTGCTGGCCGCGCCGCGCTCGGGGAAAATTGCCTCCTTTACGGTGTCGTAAAGCACCTTGTCGCTCCTCGCCGCGAACCGCGCCGTCGCCATCCTGGTGCAGGGCGTGCTCGGCGTGCTCGGCGTGCTGGGCGCTGGGACTGGAGGCCTGCTGCATCCGGCGGCGCCGCCTCCGGGCCGCCGGCCTCGTGGACGCCTCGCCGCCCGGCATGTTCCTCCTGAAAGCAAACAAGACCGTGCTGTTCATGTCCATCCGAGTCTCCACCACAAGTCTCCGACTGTCCGCGTCCGGTTGTCGTTACGAGAGACCGTCTCGATTTTGGACCGACCGCGTGACAGGGGCCGAGACCAAGTTTTTATTGGTCTGTCGGTTTATCTTGCTGATTGACAAGGCGCTCATCCAGTGTCGCCATTTCCTCGGTGGCCAACCCGTGACTGCTGCTCCGATAGGCCGGCCAGGCCCATGGCTATGGTCCGCTAGCACACCGCCGCCCCGGCCGCGCGGGCGACTGAACCAAACCAAACCGCGGGCCTCGCTGTGATGCTCTCATGCACCTTGCGGGCGGTTTGCCGGTTGCCCGCCCCGCCCCGTAGGCCGCAATCTGGTTCCTCGAACCTGGCGACCGCGGGACGGGCCGGGCCGGCCGCAGATCCACGCAGACAGACGCAGGGTGCCGCGCTTATGCAAACACAGGTGTAGCCGGCCTTGCGGGCAGCAGACTCATTCCCAGCACTGTTTCGACTCTCTGTCTCTCTCGCACCCCTGCGGTGTGCCCCGCGAGTGCGAGAGAGACAGAGCGACGGAGCCCCTGTTCGGCATCAGCCTGGCCGGCACGCCACTGGAGTGCTGCCGATTGCCGGTTCGTTATTCGCAGCACCTCGGAGGTGGCGACCTGGAGGGGCCGTTACACTCGCCTTATCAGCGGACTCATTCCGAACAGTCTCTTGGTCGCTCTGTCTCTGTCGCACCCGCAGGGCGGCCTGTGCGGGTGCGAGAGAGACAGAGCGACAGGTGCAACAGGTCGGCAGCGCCGTGCCCGCTATCAGCGCGGTGAAAGGCGCTTAGATAAGCACACTGCAGGACGCCTCCACCGCGCCGCCGAGGAACGCGATTCTCCGATATCCAATCTGCCCATTCCTTGGACTGCAGGAAAACACTGGCATTGTTTTTCTTCGGCTCACCTCGACGCTTGCTCTCCACCCGTTGCAGGAGCTGGTGACGCGAGCGAACAAGGCGCGGCGATGGAAGATCCTGGGGCTGCTGATCGCCGCCGGGATCACGGCGGCCGTGCTGACCACGGTCCTGGTGCTCGTGCTGCGCAAGGCCCCCGACGACGCGCGCGGCGAGGCGCTCACCATGGACGACTTCTTGTCGAGGAGGTTCACGCCGCGCCAGTTCAACGCCAGCTGGATCTCAGGTAACTGCCACCGCCAGACGCCCGCAGGCCGCTGCAGGCAAATAGCGCCAAATTTATCTCGTGTGGGCTCGGCTAAACACGACGACGTCTGATTGGAACCTTGGATCGCACCTTTTGGGGGACAGCTCCGGCGCACAGTTTTCAGAAACCAAGTTTTCACTCTCATGTCCCCCTTCCAGATAGCGAACTTTTCTACGACGACGGCACGTCGTCACTAAACCCAGTCATCTACGATGTGAACTCCAAGCAGCGAAGGCAGGCCCTGGGCCCGAGTGTCCATGTGAGTTCCAGCAGAGCGAGGCGGCGAAGGATTTTCTGAAACCGCCAGCCAGACTAACGTCCATTCTTTTCCAGTTAGATTTGCAGGCATTCCAGACTGAACTATCGGCTGATAGCAAGTACTCTTTAGAATCCTACTCCTATCGATCTGTAAGTACTGTCTGCGAAGCGTGCGCGTACTCGTTCCCGCCCCTTGGTCGTACTTTTTCTAATGGCAGCGCAATTTCTTTCGGCAGCTCTACAGGCATTCCTACATCGCTCTGTACAACCTCATTGACGTAGAAACTGGGTAGGTTTCGATGACACTCACTCCCAAATAGAATCGAAAATAGAATGTGTTTTACGAGAATGTGCGCGTTTCAGGGTGAAGACCCCCCTCACCATCCCGGACCGCCCCGGCCCGGTGTACGCGCAGGTGGTGGTGTGGGCCCCGGTGGGCAGCGCGCTCACCTTCGTCGTGGGGAACGACATCTACTACCGGTCCGAGGCCACGGCCGCCTCCGTCAGGATCACCGCCACGGGCGTGCAGGACACCATCTACAACGGCGTGCCGGACTGGGTGTACGAAGGTCAGTACCGCCTTCCTCACAGTGGAGGCCCTGCCTGCGCTGCCTCCTTGAAAGCATTGCGTTGGGGTCCCTGCATGCCTGCTTGGCGTTAAACGTTCCCGTGCTTCTTGCTGCAGAGGAGGTGCTGTCCGGCAACAAGGCCCTCTGGTTCGCGCCCGACGGCTCGCGCCTGGCCTACGTCACGTACAACGACACGGCGGTGCCTTTCATGACGCTGCCGTACTACGGCCGCCCCGGCGAGCTGCTGTTCCAGTACACCAGGGCGTACAACATCCGCTACCCCAAGGTGAGGTCGCCGCACTGTGAGGCTGCGCAGCGCAGCGCACAGTGGGCCACGGGGAGGTCAAAACACGTCTAGGGTGTTGGCCTCACGGAAAAAAAGAAATTCGCTGATTCAGCGAGAAAATCGCTGACTCAGCGAATTTCGGCCTTCTAGATTTGAGACAAGGGGCAAATTCGCTGAAACAGCGAACTTTTGTTCGCCAATTAAATATTCGCTGGAATAGCAAACAAATATTGCTGGGATTGCGATTCATGAACGCTGGGGCAGACATGGGATATTGGCTAGGAAATGTGTTAGCGACTTTGGTTTCGCTGAAATAGCGAACAATCTTTGCCCCTAATCTAGCAAAACGCGTATCGCTGGCTGATCCAGCGTCAACATACTTGCTGTTTGACGTTGGTCCAGCCCAACGGATATGCACCGTATGATACCTGGTGACGCTCAGCTTCGCATATATCCAACCTCGGTTGGATTTGAACCCGTGATCTTTTCAATACCAGACGCACGCTTTACCTCCAGGCTACCATGGCATTCTCCTCGCATCAGCCAGAGGTTCGCACTTGTGTCCTGCGCCCACTTTCGGCATGCTGTTTGTTCGTTTAGCAAATAAATTCGCTCATTGGTAGGCAAAATGTGATTGCCACATCAGCCAACTGGGGTTCGCTAAACTAGCGTTATTTATCCTCGTGTCAGCGTTTATTTTCACCACTTCAGCAAACTTGAGTCTAGCAAACGCAGTTTCGCTGAAGTAGCGAAATATTTTTTTTCCGTGCTCTACCGGTCTTCTGGCCCACTGTGCAGCGGCCAGAAAATGTTGCCAACATGTTGATTGAGTGAACGGTGGCTTCCTTGTCGCAGCCCGGCAAGCCCAACCCGGAGGTGACCCTCACCGTGGTGGACCCCGCCAACCCCAGCGCCAAGGTGGGGGTGCCTCCGCCGATGCTGCTCAACCATGGGTAAGGCACTAGCAGAACTGACGCGTATGCTGCCGGGTGGCGTCCATGCAGTACCGTAACTCGGAGGTTTGCCCAGGTCCGACTCGCTTATCCTGGCCGTGACGCAGTGGGTGCCGGACACGCCGAACCCCCGCCTGCTGACCGTGTGGATGAACCGCGTGCAGAACCACGCCGTGGTGGAGCTGGTGGACGTGCACGCCTCCCCCGTGGTGCGCGTCGTGGTGGCCGAGCTGTCCGAGCCGGACGGCTGGGTGGACCTGTTCGAGAACGGCGTCACGGCGGAGGGCGCCGGCGGCCAGGGCAGCGTGCTGCTGCCGCTGTCGCACGCCGTCGACGACGACAGCTTCCGGTAAGGAAAGGGAGAACCGCACAGTGGGCCAGAAGACCGGTGGAGGTGGCCAAAACTCAGGTCGCGTTTCGTGCTCCACAGCCACATCGCGCGGTTCGACCCCAACGAGGACCGCACCAAGTACACGCGGACGGACCTGACGACCGGGGCCTTCGTCGTGACCAGCATCCTGGCCTGGGACAGCGACAACGGCTACGTGTGCGTATTGCAGTGAATGGAACGCCAGGGTCACGGCCTGCAGGGCCTCGGTCTTGGCAAGGAGGCGCGCGTGCCGGTGCGTCGACGCGTGCCCTCGCAAGCGGCTCGGGGGCGTTCCCCATTGGCGTGGTCCTTGACCTTGGCCGTGCATCCGCAGGTACTTCGTGTCCACGAAGGAGGGCGACCCCGGCCAGTCCCTGGTGCAGCGCGTGCGCGACGACCCCAAGGGCGCGCCGCACGTCCCCGAGTGCCTGTCGTGCAACCTGACCAACTGCATGTATGCCACGGCGAGCCTCAGCAAGAAGAACGGCTACGTCGCGCTGACCTGCGCCGGGCCCGACGTCCCCTACACCGCCATCCTCAGCACCAAGGGCTCGCCGTCGAGGGTCATGGACTGGGAGCAGAACGATGCGGTGCGCCACGGCCTGGTCGGCAAGAGACTGCCCACCAAGAAGCGCTTGACGGCCGACCTGCCGCAGGGCTTCAAGGCGGAGGTCATGCTGTGGCTGCCGCCCGACGCCGACCTCAGCGGCAGCACCAAGTACCCCATGCTGGTGGACGTGTAAGTCGCGCTATTTCTTCTGCCCGGCTCTACTGGTACTCTGGCCCGCTGTGCGTCTTACAGCCCGCGTACAGTGCAGTGCCGTGAGTGACGGTGCTTGTGGTCCACAGGTACGGCGGCCCCAACTCGTTCCGGGTGTCGGAGCGCTTCGCCATGGACTGGGGCACCTTCCTCAGCGCCAACAAGAGCGTCATCTACGCGGCCATCGACGGCCGGGGCTCGGCCAACAAGGGCGACAAGACCGTCTTCTCCATCAACCGGAGGTTCGGCACCTACGAGGTGGAGGACCAGATCAACGTGACGAGGTACTGGGAAGGACCAGACACCTCTCAACTCCAGTGACGAATGGCTCTGGAATCGACATTAGAATGACGTCACTGTCGTTGATCCGCGATTGATGCGGTGTCGATTTGCAAAGTCGTTTGCCACCTGTTTTGACAACCATGCTGCGTGTTACAGGCACCTGCAGAACACACTGCCATATGTGGATGCCTCGCGCACAGCCATTTGGGGGTGGAGCTACGGCGGCTACGCTTCCGCCATGGCTCTGGCCGAAGACACCAGCAACGTGTTCAAGTGCGGCATGTCGGTGGCTCCCGTCACTGACTGGATTTACTACGGTATGCAGGCCAGCAGACTGATTCCGAGAGTAGTTTCCGTCGCTCTGTCTCCCTCGCACCCATGGAGCGCTCCTTACAGACAGGGCGACGAAAACGACTCTCAGAATCAGTCAGCATTTTCTTGAGTGTTTAATGTCAGAGTTTCAAGTGTTTACAACCCCTATTTGTTCTCCAGACTCGATATACACCGAAAGATACATGGGTTTACCGACAGAAGGGGATAACCGTGCCGGATACAGAAGGGCCCAACTGACCAATAAAGTTGAAAACTTAAGGCATAAACTGTTTTTGCTCATCCATGGCACGCTGGATGATAATGTACATTACCAGCAGTCGATGATCTTGTCCAGGGCTCTGGAGGAAAATGATATTCTCTTCAGACAGCAGGTAAGACTTCTTTCATAGAAGTGATAATTATAATGTACTTGCAGAGCTCTTTTTTAAAACTGTTTCTTCTTTCTTTCAGACCTACCCAGATGAGGAACATGGTATTGTGCAACTGCAAAAACACCTCTATCATACACTGGAGAACTTTTTAGGGGAGTGCTTTGCGGAATTCTAGTCAGTGTGAATGAATGATTCTGTGTAAAAGTGTACCTGAGTGTACATATGTGATAAAAGTATAGATGTACAAACAATGAATAAATGTGAAGAGATGTTTTAAGTAATTTCATTTCCCCTCCAGGATGAACAAATAATCTTTCAAGACTAGTGGTTGTAAAATATAATTCACAATGATTTAAAAAAAGGAAAAAAGACATTATTAAATACAAAATAGGATAAACATTTTCATGAATTTTCAGTCTCTTTGTACCTGAAAAAGAGAAAAGAAATTATAAAAACAAACACTAATAACATGCATTGTAGCAGAAACAATAATGCTTCAGATACATACTTGCACTTTGTGCATGTATAGAAGACAGTTTGTCCTTCATCTGCTGAACGCAATTGCAATGTGGCATAGGACATAGTTTCATTTTTGCAAGCTGGGCATCGTCTCTCCACAACCGGGCCTTCAGGTTCCTCACTTGAAAATGACTTTTTCTTCTTCTTCTTCGAGTAAGAATCTGCTGTTGGTCTCGTGTTAAATTGGATAGTATAAGTAGATTCCATTTTTCCAAATACTGCAAAGGAAAAGAACGTAAGCGCTATAAATCAAAACAATCACATAAAATTCTACAAGGACAAGACGCTCCTTTGTTCTTAAGAAGAAACAACGAAAATTATAATTAAAGTTCTACAGTAATTTGAAGAATAGACCACAAACCACCCTCCAAACTAGAAACTCATGACTACGGAAAGCAAGCATGAATTTAAAGGTTATCTTACCTTCAGGGCTGAATACATGTTTACAAGTGTAACACGTCACACCACCAATTCCTTGAAGTAAGGGTAACACTGAACCACAATCGGGGCAGAATCCCTCATGACTTTTAAAGATAGACGACATTATTGCCTTTAGAAATTACACGAAAAAATAACAGTCAACACTCAACACTCCTTGAACAACATGATGGCGGTCCGGTCGGGCACCCGGGCGACATAGGAGTAGCTTCGGGAAAAGCCGAAGGGCCGAGAGCCAGCGGACGGGCGGCACCTTGGCGACAGCCGGGGGGATGTTAGACATGAGGAAGGCGACACGGCAAGCTCATGGTAGAGGGCAGCACCGGGATACGCGCCACGATTTAGCCAGGGGAGCCCCTAGGAGTCTGCCAATTTCGCCCATAACTTCTTTGTCATGCAAGATAGACCCGTAGTGTAAGCGAGCCGATTGTAGGCAACGCTGCTAGCTTCCCAATAAGCTAGTTTTCATACATGTGCGATAATTGCAGTGAGAGCTATAAGTCAAAAACAGCATCCGTGCCGGCTGCCGCCTGGCTGCTAGTGGCGTATATCCCAGTGGCGCCCCTAGCGGCGAACGTCTGCAGTCGCCTTCCCTATTGGTTAAATGTTAAAAAGGTTTTTGCAAGAAATTATGTATGGAGGGTCTCAAGTCGGAATTTACATGAATATCGACCCGCGTAATGGAACGGGGGCGTGAGCGGGAACCGGAACGACGACTACGTACACCGATGTGCAGGTTAGTAATCGTTGATGTTGACAGTTTCTTCCTTGAGAATACGGTTTATTTCGGGAATCGCATATTGTTTCGGTATTCGGGTTGCTTCAATACGTCAGAGATAAATACTAGCTAGTATTTATCTCTGAATACGTTGACCGCGAATAAGTCTATATGCGGAATTCTAGGACTTTTGCCTTTGAAGGTCCGATTTCCTAGGTGGTGATTGTCATTGCTAGTGATTTAATTCAACTTCGCATCCTCGCTCGTTTTCCCCCTGGGACTCGATCATCAAACAGTTCAAAGCTACAGTTTTACAAATTCAAATTTTAAACCTATATAATTTGCTGGTTTAGATAGTGCTATTGATTGTCGCTCCTCTTCATTCTCAGTTCTGTTAGAAGTGTATATTTCCAAATTTGTTCAATACATGTGGATTTTCTAATAAAATGTTTGTTGTTTTCTTGTTTTCCCCAGTCTGCTGCTCCTGCACAGTTTAAATTGTACTGAGGCCTGGTTGATGCAGTGACGCAGTTATTCAAATCCAATGCTGATTTTTGTTGGGTGCTTGTGCCAGCATTGGCGTTTGAGTAAGTTTTGTGAATGATATGAATTTCTGCTTTACTTATCTTTTAAGTTGCTTTTGTCTGTTCTGTTCATTACCTTTTTTTTTCAGGTCCTGAGTTTTGTTGTAAAAATAAAAATGCAGCTTTTGCTGGAGTAATCGCTTTGAGTTTTGAAACATAATGTGTCTGGTGTCTGTGATATTAGAATTGCCAGTTGTCTTTCTTGCACTTTTTTTAAACTATTCAGTACTTATGGAGTATTGGAAGTATTGTTCATTTTTAAAGCTTGTTTAACTGTTGATTAGTTGCAATGATGCCTACCTAAAGTACTGCTGTTCACTTCAAAACTAAAAGGGTGTTTTTGTCAGAAATAACTTATGCAGTAGAAATACCTTGTCCTTTCAATTTGGTTGACAATTAATACTTCTTTGCCTGTAAAATTGCTTCTGTTTGTAATTTAAAAACAAATCGTTTCAGTCAGTTATATTTACATGTGGGATCCTGTAGTATTACTGATGTTCTTTTGATTCTGTTGTACTTTTGCTTTGGTAATCATTTTATGAATATTGTGCTCGTAAGTGTACAACTATTTTTTGGTGTTTTCTTTTTCTCTCAATGTAAGAAGTTTTAAGGAGAAAGCTAGCTGTTTTCAACACCATTGTTTTGCGATGTTTTGGAACTTATACTCAATAAATATTTTCTTAATTGATCTCATCCTTTATAGTCAATCATTATAGGAACAACAGTTTGTTAATCATTTGGAAAGAAATAAAATTAAGATCAGTTGTCATTGGCTTATACGCTCAACTTCACAGCTTTGCCCAGTCGACAAAAAATTTTGTCGTAGAAAGACTTCCTGCGTTCCTGGTTGACACATACATGAGTCGTTTCGCATGGACTTTATTCTTTGATGAATTGTCCACAAATTTTAGTGACGGAATCTTGAAATCAGCATTCAAGACTTTCCGTCCAAATGAAAGACGCAGGAAGATTTTTCCCCTACACTCGAAGAAAGACTAAAGTGGCACTTTTCTCAGAGACCGTTCACATTTTGGATTGAATTTTGTTTTGGGAACACAACAATGAACCTCATAATTAAGCAAAGTTTCAACTTTCTGGGATTATTTGAAAGCCTACTTGAAAGTTTCACCTCGGTCCCCTCCCCCCTTAACGAACCGAGACATTCCGCCTATAATCAATTAAACGGCAAAAACAGTGCACGACCCCTTATTTTGACAGCGACCGACCGACATCCTTGCGGACTTCTCTCGACCGCTCTCGACCCCGCATCCGCACGTCCCGCCCGCACCGCAACACGGCGGAGGGCTCGCTTCGGCTTTTCCCGAAGCTGCTCCTATGTCGCCCGGGTGCCCGACCGGTATCCGGAGCCGCGTCTGACGTCACAGAAATTTAAGGAACAGAGGCAAAGCATTGAGTCGCCGGGTCTGTATCCGGGCCGAAAACTCGGGAGCCAGAATGACGTCACCTGCGTGGCGGTGGGGGCACGAGAGACGGAGGGGACAGTGCTCGTATACACATGACAAGACAAGCAGACGACTGCCACTTCTGCTACATGCTGCCGTATTATCCCGTTTCATGTTTTCGGACAAGCATTTACGTTATCTTTGTGCTGTCAAGGTGGGCGGGTGGTAACAACTTCGACCAGGGCCTGTAAATTTAGTTGGCCTCATCTGTTTCCATGAAGATTTGACTTTTATGGAAGTTTGAGGGGTTTTCCTCTAGTTAGTATTCATAGTGATTCAGAGTTACTATGTGCATTTTCAACCAAAATAAGATATTCTTTCTGATTCTTCCTTCCTACTACTTTTAGTGTTCGACGGAATAGTAAGGAAATATGAAAATAATTAAAGGAGCAGCATATGGGGCATCAATTTGCAGTCTTTAATTTGAGCAACAAACGAAGGTAACAAACACTGGGCAACAAGGTAAAATTTTCAGTTTAGCTTCACAAACATAAGACACAGTATTATAACTAAGAAACTTTCATAAATAAGGAAAGAATTTAAACACGATTAAGAAAGAAATTTCATGAAATTTCCATCCAAATTATACATTGACATGATTAGAATTAAGAAGCTTTCATAAACAAGGAGAGAATTGAAATAAGATTCAGAAGAGACAGAGCTCATAATCATGAAATTTCCGTACAAATTATACATTAACATAACAATAAAAATTAAATACAAAAAGAAAACGAGTAGAATATAAGTGACTTACATTGAATTAACAAAACTACAGGATTACATTGCAAATAAAATGACATCAATGATAAACAAATAAAATACCATTCATGAGGTCCACATGTAAATTTCATTATTTTCCAAAATTAAAGTTAAGGTCGACAAAATGTATCGTGCTGCATTACCCCCCAAGAAAATTAATACTAGCTGTCGGATGGCCTATGAAAACAATAACCGTCAAAATGTATCGTGCTGTGTTTTTCCCCCAAGAAAATGAGTGGCTGTAAAGATTTGGCCAGATTGCATATGAAAACAATAACAAATAGGCTAATGAGACATAATTATCAAAGCAAGAAAATTACCTCATAACAAATAGCTAATAACTAAATGAGTTCAGCGCTAGAGCAGTGAACTTTATGAAATAGTACTGTGATAATTAGAGGAAATACAAACCCCGAAAGTGGCTGGAATCAATAAGCAATCTGGGGGCTTACGGCAAAGTTGGTGGAACATCTTCACGTCACTTGGGTGAATGGAATCAAACATATTTCTGTTCGAAACGTCAGTCGGAGGCAGACGTCAGAACTTCCCATCCGCTCTCCGCTCTGCTCCCCGCTCCTCCGCTCCGCAACGCAAGCACAAGCTGCCGTCCCGTCGGCTGCCTCCCCTCTTGCGAAGCTCCTCGCGTGCCCCCACCGCCGCGCATATGACGTCGCCGTGGCTCCCGAATTTTCGGCCCGGATACAGACCCTTGAGTCGCCTGGGGTTGGTGGTTCGTTTTTGAATCGTTTGTAAACAAATACGGGTTTTGTTCTGAAAAATGGCAGATCCTCCTAAAAAGTTTACTTTTGGTTTTAGCAAAATTGTTAAAAAGTCAAATTTGGTTGCACCCCCTCCATCTGCAAAGGAAGAGCCGAAGAACGTTCAATTTATCGAATGTCTGGAGGAGAACTCTATCAAGCTGAAAGAGTGAGTATTTTCTTGTTTTATCTGTTATTTGTCATTGACATCTCTTCCGTTGGATAAATATGAGTTTAGTAACTTCATCTCGTCATAATTTAGGTTTATTTTTGTAATATGACCCCCATTTCTGTTCGAGGAGAGATACTTAACCTGTATGACAGCAGAGGATGACATGTATTTACCATCTCAACATATTTAATTTTATTTGACATTTAATCAAAAATTGTCTGTATGATTTTCAGTGGCGAAGAAGAAAATCAAGTTAAAGCTCCGCTTGTCATCCCCATTATTGGTCCACGGAAAAGCAGCACACTTTCGAATGGAAGAAGTATTGCTGAAATCGCCGAAGATTTCAGTGATGTCGGCAATGAAAAATCAGAAGCAAACTCAGAAGCTGTGAAAGAAGATGGCCCTGCAGAGTCAATTGAAGCTATGGCTGCTCGGGAACTCCTTCAAGGTTTGCCTTTATCTTTTGTTTACTTAATTCCCTTAGATTCTGTGTTTCCCTTCATAAATCTTGTTTTCTTTTTGCTTTGGCCAGAGGGTTTGAACATAATGAAAGAAAAATCTGGACCTACAGTCGATACCCTACCTCTTGCTGATGATAAAGAGGAGCTCCAAAGAGAGGTAAGAACGTGAATCTGCAAATCTTTTCATATGCATTTTTAAATTATTTGTCATTTATATGAATGGTTTCTTTACTTTTAACAGTCTACACAAGAGGATTATGAAAATATTCCAGTCACTCAGTTTGGCTTGGCTATGCTGAGGGGTATGGGGTGGAAGGAGGATGAAGGCATTGGAAAGAACAAGAAGTAATTATACCTCACTCTTTAATCATTTTTTAAATTGAAAGGGAACATTTCATGGAGTAATTACTCAATTCTCTGATTCCAGGCTAGTTCCGGTAACTGCCCCAGTGGTTCGTCCGAAAGGTATGGGTTTGGGTGCAGACAAAATGATGCTTGCTGCGGCGGCCAAGAAAGCTGCTTCTGCTAATTCAAAACAAGATCAGGAAGAGTTGAAACTGGTTAAAGGAGCCTATGTGAAAATAGCAGCAGGAATGAATAAGGATCAATATGGACAGGTTTGGATTAAATATTTTTAAAGATTGTGCCATAGGTTCACTCTGTATTTCCATAACAACAGAAATTTCTATTTGTAGGTTGAAGGCTTTACTGATGGTTCTGGAAGAGTGATGCTGAAAATGGCCATTGGTGGACGTGTTTTATCTGTCAATGAAGCAACAGTTTTCCCAGTCACTAAAGATGAATACAGCAAATATTCTAAAGTGTTAAGTAAGTTGCCTTTATCACCACTGAGTTGATAGTTATCTAAATATCTTTGGAAGATGTCTCTAAACATGTCCTGTTTTTTTTTAGATGCGTCAAAGTTTGATGAATTTAAGAAGAAAGAGGAGACTGGTGAACCTGTGTCACAAGAAAAATCCAGACGGCAATCACCTAGCCCTACTAGAGTTTATAAGAAGAAAGAAGACCGCAGAAATTACTCTCCAAAAAGAGAACAGTCTCCCATCCCCAAGAAGGACAAGCATCGATCAAGAAGTAACTCCGTGTCTCCTGACAGATATGATAGAAAGAAATCCAGCAATAGAAACTTCAGAGACCGATCAGAGTCTCCTGATAGATACGATAAAAAGACAACGAGTAATAAAGGCTACAGGGATCAGTCTGAGTCTCCCGAAAGGTCTCAACCTAGAAGGAGAAGTCCAGAAGATAGGCGGAAACACACATCTTCGAGAAGAAGAGACACTTCTCCTTCACCTGATAGGACTAAAAAGCAGCGATCAAGAAAGAGCAGAAGCCGTAGTCGTTCTAGATCAAAAGACCTAAAATCTCAGCGAAGGAAGAAATATTCCGATTCTGATAGTGATTCTAAATCTCACTCTAAAAAGAAGAAGAAACATAAAGAAAAGAGATATTCATCACCTGAAGACAGCTCTCGGTCAAGATCAAGGTCTCCAAAGAGTAAGAAGAAAAGTAAAAAGAGTAGGAGAAGTCGTTCAAGAACACCCAGCAAGAAGTACAGATAACTTCTTCATGCCTGGTAAGCACCAGGCCCTTCATTGGCAGCAGATTAATCAATTGACTCTTATCAGGTTTTCTCACAATGAAAAAATTCTCCATTTCTGCTATTATGACTTTATTTATAAGTAGTAAAAATATACTTTTCAATATTTCTTGGTAGGCAGGCAGTTCGTATTCACATTGACAGAACAGAACACATTCAATATTGTATAATACATAACACATACTATTATTACCACACTATCTACCATCAAACAATGTTTCCATTTCATCTTAATCATAATTCCAAAGGAAAAATTGAAAATATCGTACATATTAAATATTGAGAACACATAACATTCATGTCAGAGATCGTCAGTTGAGCCCCTAAATGTTGAATTTCCAAACTTGAGTTGCATTGGTTTTGATCTGTCAAGTGGTATTGAATGAGTGAGCTGTTGTCTACATAAAAGATAGTTGTGATGTAGTATTGTAAATACATAAAAGCGTTTTAAAATATTTGAATAATTAAAATCAAACTGTTCACTGGGATGATAAAACTTGTACTTACTATAACAGTGTTTGTTTTTTGGAGTAATGACTTAAATCTAACTTTTTTTACTTTCAGATTATTTTTGTCGCTTAATGATCTTGGTTCAAACCATTGATTCCTTTTCTCAATTTAGGAAGTGGGGCACAAGCAGACAGCTTAAGTATTTCAGTAACATTCAAAAATAAGAGAAACGATTTAAAGAAAAAAAGAAAACATATCACAAGGATTATCAGCAGCACAGCCATATAACAAAAGCTCAGGAACAGTTGTTTTGGTGGGTTCAACAGGAACAATCAATCCTAGCACCTTAGTAATTACGTAATTAATTATTTGTTTCAGGAGTATTTATAGCTACAACACACCCTGCTTTGCCTGTCTCATGTTACCAAATCAAATTTCCTGTGCCTCACTCACTTGACAAAATGGACAAAAGAGGTAGCAATGCTTTTAAATTGTGCACTGACACTTGCATTAGTGCCTGGATTTTTTTTTTTTTGCGATGGCACTTTTGAGGCAAACATAGTGTTGACCCCTTCTAGAGTAAAAACACTATGAAAAACATATAAAATCCAGGTCATTATTCACAACAGTAATTGCATTTATCTACATGAGCTCTGATTATTGAAGGCATTGGCGCGAACATAGATTCTTCCATCTCCTCACATACCAGTTATATTTGAGGAGCTTATTACATCCATTGAATAAATTTCTCTTTATAGTGCCTTCAGAAGTCTTTCAAATAGGAAATTGAATCTTACTTACAAAGGTAAAGTGAGCCCTACATGAGTGAGAAGTCTTCTCTTGAATCCAGCACTATCAATAATCCCACTTATTCATGTACAATAAAAATATAGGACGGAGTGACATAATTCTCAAAGATTAAGGAATACAATCAATAAAATTGTACTCAAAAATTATTTAAAGCCAATCAGTTTACCAAGTTCCTTAGGTATTCTAGGACTTTGCTATGACTCTGACCTATTATCACATAGATGCTATTGGTGCCTAGGTCCATTTTCTTTGGAGTTTGACCTCGATCTCACCTTTACCATTTACCTTGTTCTTTCTTCTGGCCTTGAAGCATTCCTTCACTTTCAGGATTAATTTCTCCATGAGTCCCACCACCATGGCTTCCGCCATTTTGAGGCAGAGGATGGTGATCAGCAGATGGTTTACTGTTCTCAGTAACTAGGGAGACCTCAACACCTGAAAATCAGGTTGGTAAAACATTTTAGCTGTAATGTGATAGACGCACTAACTCTGTTCAATACCAGTAGACCTACCATCAACATTAGATACACAGTGTCCATTCGGAATTGTGATGTCTTTTAGCACAACTGCTTGGTCATCCACATTGTTCTGATGAACTGAAGCTTCATAATTTGGTGGCCCCAGCCAGCTCAGCATAACAGGAAGGAAGAATAGACCATGGAAACATCCAAACACAACCACAGATGTGAACAGCTGTAATTTGACACGAAGTATTATTAGTTCTCATGCTCGTTTTGAAAATGCTGTAAAAACGATAGTATAATGAATGTCTTACTTTGAAGAAGGTAGTGAATATGTAGGAACTGCTGAAGCCTAGTAAGACAAACGCAAGGAAAGTACTGAATCCCCCATTGAAGACTGCAGGACCCATATGACGTAATGCTCCCATTGCTCTTTCTGGACATAAAGATGAGTTGCATTAGTATCCTTTCCTTTTTTCCAATTTTTGATGTCATTGTCATACTGGGGAAAAAATATAACTTACCATTGCCGTCTCCAGGCATGCGACTGAATTCATATCCAATGTGTGCTGCATAATCAACAGTCAGGCCTGTGCAAAGTAGCACCATGATTGATGTAGATATTTCTATTGTTAAACCAAAGAAATACATGGATCCTACTAGATCCGCCAGAGTGAAAATGACACAGATGATGACCCAAAAAGTGATCTGTATCTCTTGAATCAGCAGTAGTGTTACCACTGCTACTGCCAATATTGATAGACCCAAGTTGCGAAGAAGTTCTTCTCCTACAATCTGGATGGGAACCAAACATTGTGCCATTAAAAATACAATATTTTTTTTTGGCAATTGGGTTGTAAGAAAATTTTTGTGGTTCTTACTTTATTAGTATACCATGGAATGTAATCGGGTGAATATGCTACTGCATGTTGCCCTTTAGTCAAGTTCAATGAATTCAGAGTATCAAATACAGTCGACATAGCTAATAATTGCTGCTCAGTAGTATTCAGCATTACATACTGAATCGGAAGGTGAGTAGTCTAAATGAAAAGAAAAAAAAATTAATTATTCTTTAAAAACAGCAAATATTGAGATATTTCTCAACCTCAAAGTCTTGAAAATTACCGTGATATTGTACTCTCCAAACGGAAATGAACTGAATTTTAAATCTTTGAGGTATTCTTGCCCGTCTTTTGAAAATATTAGATATTCTGATAGGTAACCCTTGTAATCATCTTCATTTTCTACCTCTGAAATTGATTGAATAGATGTTAGTATGACAAATGTCTTCACACAGATAGTAGCAGCTGAGTCTCCTCCTTCTCTCCGACATTACTTACCATGTTTACGGATTTTCAGCCATTTGTCAAAATCGTCATACCAAATTTTTATGTTATCTTGATTCAGGTACTGATTTCTCCTTAATTGCTGTGATAGTAGATGCATTTTAGGTGCATCATCATAATAGCTAATATTAGCTGAAAATTTTAATGTTAGTTAAAAATTTGTGTTTTATTTTACTAGGAAATGAGCGGTTGTTGAAGGTTGTTGATCTACTCACTCAAATACACTCCAGCACGTTTTCCATACTTAGGAAAATACTCATTTAATTTTTTGTAGAACTGAATGGGGTATGATGCTTCATCAAGGTACCAAGTGGGGTCAAATTTCTGGTCTATTTGAAGTACACACCATGTATTAATGGCAACAAGAAACAAGGTTGTTGTGATAACTAGTACCTGAAAGAAAAATTTTAACCCTTTTAGCAATCCTTATGTTTTCTCTTAGTTTTGATGAGACTTAACTCCTATTTGCTCTTTGCTCACCTTTACAGGTGTCTTCATTAGAGTTGGTGCAATGTATTTAGAAAACGCATCATAAACATAATTTTTCTGACTCATTGCATTGGGCTTCCATTCCTTGAGCTTAATAAAGCAGCAGCCTTCCCTCTTGCCAGCACTTCTATATTCATCTAATGTGAGACATCCCACAAAGAATGTTACCTCAAATATAAATAGAAACAGCACTCCAGTTGCAGCAAACATACAAAATGATTGTAAAAATGGCATTTTCTGAAACAATAATGTTTTCAATAAAACTTGTATGTAATTTTTAAAGTAGCTTTACCTAAAAACCAATAATGCTAACATACCGTTGTAATTCCAATTGCAAAAGCTACAATATCTGTAAATGAAGTCACTGTTATGGATATCCCTGCCGTCTGCACAGCCCTTCCTATTCTCTCAGGTATATCTAAATTGCTGTGCTGTCTGGTTACATGGTCAAGACACTGAAAGAGAAATTTCAAAATTTAATCGGGAAAAAGAGAGAGGGAGAGAGGAAAACAAAATGTTAACAAAACAGTCACTTACATCACAAATGACAAACATGTCATCCACGCCAATTCCAAGAAGTAAAAATGGAAGGATAGGATGGACAGGGCCAAAGAAGAAGCCCATATAAAAGCAAAACCCATAAGATGTGAGGATGGTCAGGCCCACAATGGAGACTCCCAACAAAGATAGATAAATCTGGAAGGTAAACAATTTAATTTACCAGTAAAAATTCATACTGTGACATTTATTTTTTAGGTAATGCTTACAGGGGCGTGTGCAGAAAGTTTTACTGGAGGGGGCTATTGCCTACCTTGCAGGGGCATGTATCTAAAGTTGCCTACCCTAAAGGCGCACAACACAATTAGCCGTTCAAGCAGTCATTTATATTGACCGTAGGGGTGTGCGTGGCCTGAATCACATCTCCTGCTGTGCTGAATTTCAAATTAAATATCGATAGTGACAGTCTGTAGGTACTTATTAACCGTTATTAACAGTCTTTATAGCCATCAGGACAAGCTTCAAGGCGTACAAAAGCAGTAAAATCCATGCAATCGAACTATTCCTGGACCCCCCCCCCTCTCCTTTCACCGATCTCCTCGGATCTGGACGTTTCACAAGGGGGGCCGAAATCGAACTGGGGGGGGCTGAGCCCCCCTTGAGCCCCCCCGTAGACACGCCCCTGAATGCTTACCCTTTGTTGAATGAGATTACAACGCCCAAGCATGAAAATTACATAGAGAATGATAAGGGAAAATCCAGCAAACAGTACTGTCATATTGTTATCCATAACTTGAGCCAACATATCATTATAGCTGGAATAAAAACAAAATATGAATTAAAATATTTCAAAGTAACATTTTTCTTTGATGTTTTCCTTCTCTTAACATACCTTCTTGTTGCAACAGCATACACATTAACTCCCTTGGGTTTGGTTCTGTTTGAGTGCAGCACTCTTGAAAGAAATTCTTGTTCCCATGTTGGAGCAGTCAGATTTGACTGAAAAATGAGAGACACTTTTTTACTCACCCAAACCTCAGAGTAAAATCAATCGTATGATTTGGAAAAATATTGTTACCTCTTTGAGCAGCCAGTTGAAAATGATGGCCTTTGCAGAAACCACTTCTCCCTTGGCATTAGTCTTCATGCCTGCTAGGATGGACGAGATGTCCGTCAAGACACTTTGACTGCAAAACAAAAACAGCAAGTAAGAAGGCATCCCTCACTGTACACTGAGGAAAAAAAAATAGTGAGGAATAAAATTAGACCCTATTATGTCTTGAGCACCTGTCCCCGGGCATTCCCTATTCTCCTGAGTGACGGTCCGATGGTTCAGAACAATTGTTTTATCAATTTTTGCAAAGAAAAGTAAGTTTGCCGTAGTCACGTTAGCCCGGATGACATCAGAACGAGCTCACACGACAACGAAATGGGTCTTTTTAATAACCAGCGTATTCTCGGATGGGGCCATTCTGACGTCATCGCATTGAGCTCTCACTGTGTGGGAGCTGATGGCACGACTTTTTGATCCGTTTCTAGTGGCGACCGTCTTCGCGGGACTGCACCGTGGGCCAGAAGACCGGTGGAGGCGGTCAAAACTCTAAACGCGTTTTGAGCTCGAGAGCAGCTAAACAGGCCTCGAACCGAACGTGTGACCCCACCAATGGATTCCTCGTTCGGAGAGCAATACTTTGGTGGGGTCACACGCTCGGTCTGGCCCACGGTGCAGTCCCGTGAAGAGGGTCGACCCTAGAAACGGATCAAAAAGTCGTGCCATCAGCTCCCACAGAGAGAGAGAGCTCATTGTGATGACGTCAGAATGGCCCAATCCGAGAATACACTGGTTATTAAAAAGACCCATTTCGCTGTCGTGAGGAGCTCAAAACGCGTCTAGAATTTTGGCCGCCTCCACCGGTCTTCTGGCCCACTGTGGGCTTCCGAGACACTTGCACTCTCAAACCAGGTCGGTGTGCAGGCTCCGTGCACCCATAGGAGAGCGCAGCAGCGGAGGGGAGGGGAGGGGGGGGAATTGATCGTTGCAAGGGAAGGCTGAAAGGCTCTGCCGGCGCGGCGCCAGCCCGCCATGCCCCCTCCCACACTCGCCAAGTTTCGGTGCACGTGTACCGGCGGTGCCAGCGGGACTCCCATGCCCATGCCGGCGAACAGTGCACGGAGGCCCGTAGCTGGTGTAGCGCGTCACGCAGGCAGCTGCCGCCGGCCGGCCAAACCGCGCCGCCCCACAGTGGGCCAGAAGACCGGCGGAGGCGGCCAAAACTCTAGACGCGTTTTGAGCTCCTGAGTCGCTAAATAGGACTCGAATCGAACGTGTGACCCCACCAATGGATTGCTCTCCGAACGAGGAATCCATTGGTGGTGTCACGCGTACGGTTCGAGGCCTGCTTAGCGACTCTGGAGCTCACAACGCGTCTGGAGTTTTGGCCGCCTCCACCGGTCTTCTGGCCCACTGTGCGCCCTGCCGCCCTGCCCCGCGCTCGGCTGCTCACGGCAGACGGCCGGCCTGCCTGACGCCGGTTCTTGTAATTCTCTTTGGTCCGCCGGCCGCTTCGGCCCTCGGCCCGGTGAATCCTTCAAGGCCAGCAGAAGCCACGCTACGCCCACCGCCACCGTCACCGGCCGAGGAACCGCAGACTGTCTCTCTCGCACTCACGGGGCGTCCCGTACAGGTGCGAGAGAGACAGCGACGACAGCGACTCTCGGAATCAAAATTGGCGAGCCTTCCCACATGGCGCCTGAAGAACAAGGAGTAGGCAACCCGCTCCACACCGCGTCCACGCCATTGCCTACCTAGCATTGCCATTACCATTACGGGCTCTTAGTCAGTCCTCCACTCGTTTCTGATTTCAACCCGGCTGATCCGGAATGGTGCTATCCGTCGCTCTGTCTCTCTCGCACCTGTAGGAGACGCCGCTTGAGCGTGAGAGAGACAGAGCGACGGGATCGGAAGTCTGCAGGCCCCAAGACCCAAGACAGCAGGCAGCACGAAGGGGCGACGGAGGACACTCGGGCCTCAGCCTTCAGGGCGATCCCTGAATAGCCCGCAGTACACCGGCGTGGAGCGGTCTGTCCATGTCAGTTTGCGAACCGACTTCACGCACGCGGAGTCAGGCTCTGAGTTTGCCTGCCCAGAAGGCAGCGAGTGAGTGAGACAGAGACAGACAGACAGACAGACAGACAGACGGTGGGGGAGAGGGGGGTCTCTACGTTTTTCCAGTGCCGCTGACAAGTTGCATGATATCGTTCTCGTCGCTCTGTCTCTCTCGCACTCATGGGGCGTCTCGTAGGGGTGCGAGAGAGACAGAGCGACAACACGATCCTTCGTCATCAAGCGGCAGGCCGCTCGCTGGAGCCCAGCAATCAGAGGACGCCGTCCAAGACGCTGTTGGCGGACGGCCCCTGCAGACTGATTCCGAGAGTCGTTTCCATCGCTCTGTCTCTCTCGCACCCATACGGGACGCCCCATGAGTGCGAGACAGACAGAGCGACGAAAACGACTCTCGGAATCAGTCCGCTGTGCCGAGAAGGCTGCGTGCGAAGTGCGCCAACCCAGTGGACTTCCTCGCTAGCCCGGCAGGGCAACGACCGCCTCGGACGCACCGCCTCTCTCGCCTCACGTGACGACGACGGCGTGCATCGCCTCGGCCAGCGACTCGCTCGCACTCTCTCGCACTCGTGGGGCGTGCCGCGGGGAGAGAGAGAGAGAGAGACAGGACGCGCGTTGTTCGGAGTCGGCCGGCGGGACGGACCCTGGACTCGGCGGACTCGGTCCGCAGGGCGTCCTCCGGAGCGCTGCTCCAGGCAGCCCGCCCACAGTGGGCCAGAAGACCGGTGGCGGCGGCCAAAACTCTAGACGCGTTTTGAGCTCCAGAGTCTGTAAATGGGACTCGAAGCGAACGTGTGACCCCACCAATGGATTGCTCTCCGAACGAGGAATCCATTGGTGGGGTCACACGCAAGGTCACACGTTCGGTTCGAGTCCCATTCAGCGACTCTGGAGCTCAAAACGCGTGTAGAGCTTTGTCCGCCTCCACTGGTCTTCTGGCCCACTGTGCGACCCGGCCTGGTTGGATCGTACAGTGGAGGGGACGCGGCTACTCGCGAACCAGAACCAGACTGCCGTGCAGGGATTCCTCGCTAAGTGCGTGCGGCCCGGTCGCTGCTCGGGCCGCGGACGCACAACACACCGCCTCGAGGCAACTGGATGGACTAGCCACAGCACCACAGTGGGCCAGAAGACCGGTGAAGGCGGCCAAAAGTCTTCACGCGTTTTGAGCTCCAGGGCCGCTAAAGGAGACTCGAACCGAGCGTGTGACCCCACCAATGGATTCCTCGTTCGGAGAGCACTCCATTGGTGGGGTCACACGTTCAGTTCAAGTCCCATTTAGTGACTCTGGAGCTCAAACCGCGTCCGGGATTTTGACCGCCGGTCTTCTGGCTTGCTATCTGGGGCCTGCTTCGGCCTCCTCCTCCAGCAGGACGTCCAAGACGTCCTCGAGGACTACCTGGAGCGCAGGCCCTTGGTGACGACGCGCTGCACGTCGGCCCTGGTCAGGTTGTCGGGCAGCCCCGCCGGCCACAGCTTGAGCAGGCTCTGGTACACGCAGTCGTTCTTGAGCAGCCCGGCGTCCTGCAGCGTCTGCTTGAACTCTTCGGGCAGCTCCGGGACGCCGTCGGGGCCGCCGCCCTTCGCCGCCGGCGGGGCGCCCCCCGTGGCCGAGGCCTCCTGGAACCACGACGTGTACCTGGAAGAAAACGAAATTTTAGCAGACCTTTACTTTAAAACATACTTCTACCCAAAACTATACAAGACATAAAGGTGTCAGCTAGCTTTTACTCTCAAGTCCAGAAACCAAAGTTAGTTCGGTTCAAAGTTTTCGTCCGGAATCGGTGAAAAGTTTCTAGGGGCGTAGACGTCGATGCGTTTGATTTATAGAGGGAGGCGCTGTGCCTACCTTTAGGCGTTATGATTTAGCATCCTCCACTAAACGTGAACGTACATGGGGAAACTCAGGCGTCTAGGAGGCCTCTGAACAATGGCGCCGTGCGGGTACGCCACCCAGGTCTCGAACCCGCACCGGATTTACCGGACCGGTGTGAACTCTAGACGCGTTTTGAGCTCATGAGTCGCTAAAGGGCTCGAAAGAAGCGTGTGACCCCACCAATGGATCCCTCGTTTGGACAGCAATCCATTGGTGGGGTCACACGTTCGGTTCGAGTCCCATTTAACGACTCTAGAGCTCACAACGCGTCGAAATTTTGACCGCCGCCACCGGCCGGTCTTCTGGCCCACTGTGAAGTGCCTACCTAATGCAGATGTCCTCCCAGCCGACGTCGTTGACACGCGTCGCCTTGATGTCATCTTCCAGTTGAGCTATCTGCAACAGTGACAACACAAGCAATGTTATATATGTGCCTTCGTCGCTGTGTCTCTGTCGCACTCGTGGCGCTCTCCATCAGGGTGCGAGAGAGGCAGAGCGACGAACCGCTGTGGCTGGTGGGCCACGGCGATGTGAGGGCGTCCTCAGGAAGCACATTATCATGTCTGTGCGTGGGTTAGGTTCCTAATCGCGTCAAGCGCTGCCCCCGCCTTTGAAAACGGCACTCAGTCTGGGGCCCGGGGCAGTCACCCCTCCCCCCTCCTCACAGTGGGCCGGTGGAGGCGGCCAAAACTCTAGACGCGTTTTGAGCTCCAGAGTCGCTAAACAGGCCTCGAACCGAGCGTGTCACCCCACCAATGGATTCCTCGTTCGGAGAGCAATCCATTGGTGGGGTCACACGTTCGGTTCGAGACCTGATTAGCGACTCTGGAGCTCAAAACGCGCCTAGAGTTTTGGCCGCCTCCACCGGTCTTGTGGCCCACTGTGCCCCGGCTCGCCTTTCCTTTTCACTTCCCCCTCCCCCTCCCCTCGAGACGGCGGCGCTGACACGCTCCAATAGGCCAGCGGGCACTTCTTTGTTGGGCCGAGGGCGTCCAGTGGCGTCCACTTGGTCTGTGCCGGCCGTCGCTGCTGTCGCGCAGAACGCTGTCGTGACTCGTCTGGGATTTGAGTGGATGGCCATTGAAGCGGGATAATCTGGCAGTGGCAGACGGACAGACAGACAGACAGACAGACAGACAGACAGACAGACAGACGGACTGACAGACGGACTGACAGACAGACAGACAGACAGACAGACAGACAGACAGACAGACAGACAGACAGACGGACAGACAGACAGACAGACAGACAGACAGACAGACAGACAGACAGACAGACAGCTACGGACAGACAGACAGACAGACACACAGTAAATGTCTTACGGTGAAAGGCTGCACCAACATAATATGGTGGAGATTTTCTCCATAATACCAACGAAATTCGTCAAAATCTCTATAAGGCACAGTGAATTCTCAATGGTATGTTACGAAGTCAGCTGCACCACCATAATATGGAACAAGTCATTTTCACCAAAATATGGAGAATCTTCACTGTAGAACATTTAGAGTGCAGACAGACAGATGGATAGACAGACAGATGGATAGACAGACAGATGGATAGACAGACAGATGGATAGACAGACGGTCACACTGTGAAAAATTGTCGTCGCTTTATGACAAAAACGTGTATGACATTTTCGTCACTTTGAAATGATGACAATCTCATCACAAATTGATGACATTTTTATCAAAGCTCCTACACTTATTGCATGGGCGTGACAACATTGTCATTAATTGACTTCATGACATCCTTGTAAGGGAAATTGGCCTTGGAATTGTCATCAAATTTTCACAGTGCAGGCAGACCTCCAGGCTCATCCCCATAAGCGGATGTCTTAAGTGTGGTGCGATCAACGAAAACAAATGTCGCCTCGTGCCCTGCGGACTGTTTCCGAGGGTCCTTTCCGTCGCTCTGTCTCTCTCACACCTGTAGGAAACGCCGCGTGAGTGCGAGAGAGACGGAGCGGCGAAAACGACTCTCGGCCTGCCTGTGGGCTCCTCGCGTGGCGACGCTAAGACAAAGACCCCCCCGAGCGAATGCGGCGCATCTGTTATACGAGACAGGTCAGCAGTCTGCAGACTGATTCCGAGAGTCGTTTTCGTCGCTCTGTCTCTCTCGCACCTGCACGGGACGTCGACTTCCCCGTGAGCGAGAGAGACAGCGACGAAGATGGCTCTCGGAATCGGTCTACTGCACTACAGCTGGGGGCGCTCTCGACCTTGACTGCCAGCTGCTTGGGAATCGAAGTAAGTATCGAAAGGTTTCATCCGGAAGAGCTCCTCGCTTAGAATCTGAAAGTCGAGCCCGAGCCAGGCAGGTGTAGCCCGCGGAGCGTTCAAATAGATTCACTCGAAGATGCCCAGCCCGGCAGGGCTGCCCGTCTGCTTGCCTGCTCCTTCATGAATGATTCCCAGTGTTTCGTACACTCCCCCGTCTTTCCGCCCGGCGTGGCGTGCGCGTATTTTGAACAACACGAGGTTATTTTGGCCGGCCGGCCGGCTCCGCGCCGCGTGGCCCCCCCTCCCCCTGCCCCCACCGCCGCGCCGCTGAGGATTCATGAATGAATATGCCAATCGATTGCGGGAAAGGGCAGAGGACAGGGGGGGGGGGGCGCAAGGGGGTGCGCCGCCACTGCGCACAGTGGGCCAGAAGACCGGTGGAGGCCGACAAAACTCTAGACGCGTTTCGCGTTTTCAGCTCCAGAGTCGCTAAACAGGCCTCAAACTGAACGTGTGACCCCACCAATGGATTCCCCGTTCGGAGATCAATCCATTGATGGGGTCACACGTTCGGTTCGAGTGCCATTCACTGACTGTAGAACTGAAAACGTGTCTGAAATTTTGGCCGCCGGCGCCGGTCTTCTGGCCCACTGTGCTGCGCCGGCTCGATCGCGTCCGGAGGCTAGTACTCCACAAATACCGCGAGTCCACTCTACACACAGAGGCCCTAGCAGTGTGGCACCGACCCGCACTTGCTCATTGATCACGGCTCATTGTGGGGGCATGTCACGGCGTCGGTCGCTCGAGGCACTCGAGCCGCCGAGGTCGAAAAACACGAAGAAAAAAGTCTATGCCACCCGAACGGCTCGGTCGATCGCACTCAAATTTGGTGAGGGTCGTTAAACATTCAATGGCTCGCCTCACGGGCAATTACAACTTCCCGGCACGTTGCCGGCGGAGGAAAAGAGACACTCGGAAAACTTGGCGTAGAGATGGGACGGGAAACGGAACACCTGGAGAATTTGGCGATAAAATAGGACGGAAAAAGAGACTCGGAAAATTTGACGTTATGGGACTCCTGAACGGCAAAGTTTGGCTTCTTGGGTTCTAGGGAGAGGAACACAGCCAGGACGGCGCTGCACAGTGGGCCAGAAGACGGGGGCGGTCAAAATTTCGGACACCTTTTGAGCTCCAGGTCGCTCAAACCGAACGTGTGACCCCAGCAATGGATTCCTCGTTCGGAGAGCGATCCATTGGTGGGGTCACACGTTCGGTTCGAGTCCTGATTAGCGACTCTGGAGCTCAAAACGCGTCTAGAGCTTACGGCCGCCTGTGCCGGTCTTCTGGCCCACTGGGCGCTGGCGGTAGTACTCACCGCGCGCAGCACGCTGGGCTCCAGGACGTCGTCGGCCTCCACGATGACGCTCTCGTAGCGCACGTCCTCCCGGAAGTTGGTCTCCACGAAGCGCGCCGCCTCGTGCACCACGGAGCCACGCGGCATGTACAGGTCCACCTCGGACATGCCGGCGCGCCACTGCAGCAGCCCCGAGCCGCACACCGCCGCCATCAACAAGGACAGCACGCACGTGAGGAGCGGCCACCGACCCACGGTCAGCCCCAGCCTGTAAAAGGGAAAGGCACCGGGTTCAACTCCCCTGCTCGCGGCGTCACACAGTGGGTCAGAAGACCGGCGCTGGCGGCCAAAACTCTAGACGCGTTTTGAGCTCCAGAGTAGCTAACCAAGACTCGAACCGAACGTCCACCAATGGATTGCACTCGGAACGAGGAATCCATTGGTGGGGTCACACGTCCGGCTCGAGTACTGCGTAACGACTCTGGAGCTCAAAACGTGTCTAGAGTTTTGGCCGCCTCCGCCAGTCTCCTGGCTTACTGTGCGTCGCCGCAGGGGCGTGTGCAGAAAGTTTTACTGGAGGGGGCTATTGCCTACCTTGCAGGGGCATGTATCTAAAGTTGCCTACCCTAAAGGCGCACAACACAATTAGCCGTTCAAGCAGTCATTTATATTGACCGTAGGGGTGTGCGTGGCCTGAATCACATCTCCTGCTGTGCTGAATTTCAAATTAAATATCGATAGTGACAGTCTGTAGGTACTTATTAACCGTTATTAACAGTCTTTATAGCCATCAGGACAAGCTTCAAGGCGTACAAAAGCAGTAAAATCCATGCAATCGAACTATTCCTGGACCCCCCCCCCCTCTCCTTTCACCGATCTCCTCGGATCTGGACGTTTCACAAGGGGGGCCGAAATCGAACTGGGGGGGGCTGAGCCCCCCTTGAGCCCCCCCGTAGACACGCCCCTGCGTCGCCGAATTTTTTCCGCTGTGTTCTTCGTGTTAATGGTATCCGGGGCGTGTAAGGGCAGAGGGCAGGGCTAGTGCCGTGCCGTGAGGGCTTCCCGCCCAAAAAAAGGGACGCGGCGTGTATGACTGTTTGCATGTGCTCAAGGCCAGCGGTTCTAATTGGCAGCCTAAAAGTAGGCCTACTGCGCTTCACACAAACAGTGCAAACAAAAGTGCGGCGCGGCGTTGGTCGCTGGGCTCGGCACAAGTTTATCAAAGCCGCCTAGTGCAGGGAGACTGTGATAAAGGAGGCACGCCGTCGAGGACGAGGACGCCGCGTTGCACAGTGGGCAAGAAGACCGGTGGAGAAGGTCAAAACTCTGGACGCGTTTTGAGCTCCAGAGTCGCTGAATAGGACTCGAAGCGAACGTGTGACCCCACCAATGGATTGCTCTCCGAACGAGGAATCCATCGGTGGGGTCACACGTTCGATTCGAGTCCTATTTGGCGACTCTGGAGGTTTGGAGTCTAGAGTTTTGGCCGGCTCCACTGCGGTACCTCCTATCTATAGGTCCTCTGGCCCACTGTGCGACGGCCGCCGACGCCGTCCTCGAGCAGCACGTCGAGACCACGACCGCCGTTGCCACGCGTCCTGCGTGTGCGAGAGAGAGAGAGAGAGAGAGAGAGAGAGAGAAACGGAAAGCACCGAGCAACGCGAGGAACGAGAACGAGGCAACTCGCCGAGGCAGGGAACGAGTGCGGGGCGGTTTCGATTTTCTGCTGCCGAGTTGCGGCGCCACCCGGCGCGCCAGTGTAGGCACGCCAAGGCACGCGCACTGCGGCACCCGGCACGCCCGGCACCGCGCGCCCGTCCTGGGACTCGTGGAACGCGCCACGTACCCGGTGTGCCTGGGTGTCGAAGGGTGACCCACTGTACTATGTTGTGTGGTACAGTGATTGGGATGAATGTCCTGGAATGTGCTGCATTTCTGCTGTATTTACCCTACATTTTGCCTACTTAAAAGCTGTGTTACCGTTTTGTTTGAGTCCCTATTTCGTTATGAACGTGGGAAGTTGGTCCCCCTGGCCGGCACTTCCCTGCCGGACTGTGAGGCAGAGGACCGGTGGCCAAAACTCTAGACGCGTTTTGAGCTCCAGAGTCGCTAAATGGGACTCGAACCGAGCGTGTGACCCCACCAATGGATTGCTCTCCGAACGAGGAATCCATTGGTGAGGTCTCACGTCCGGTTAGACTACCATTTAGCGACTCTGGAGCTCAAAACGCGTCTAGAGTTTTGGCCGCCGCCACCGGCCTTCTGGCCCACTGCGCACCGTTGCTGCGCTACCCCTTCTCGCTCCCTGCCGCCGCACGGCATGCACGGCCTGAGGGCGGATCCCTGCCACAAGGCCTAGGCCGGCCTAGGCGCATCCAAGGCCGCGGTCCCTTCTTTTTTGTCCGCGCAATGCTGGCTGCCCTGGCGGGGCCTGGCGGGGCCTGGCGGGGCCTGGCGGGGCCTGGCGGGGCCTGGCGGGGCCTGGCGGGGCCTGGCGGGGCCTGGCGGGGCCTGGCGGGGCCTGGCGGGGCCTGGCGGGGCCTGGCGGGGCCTGGCGGGGCCTGGCGGGGCCTGGCGGGGCCTGGCGGGGCCTGGCGGGGCCTGGCGGGCCTGGCGGGGCCTGGCGGGGCCTGGCGGGGCCTGGCGGGGCCTGGCGGGGCCTGGCGGGGCCTGGCGGGGCCTGGCGGGGCCTGGCGGGGCCTGGCGGGGCCTGGCGGGGCCTGGCGGGGCCTGGCGGGGCCTGGCGGGGCCTGGCGGGGCCTGGCGGGGCCTGGCGGGGCCTGGCGGGGCCTGGCGGCGGGGGCCTGGCGGGGCCTGGCGGGGCCTGGCGGGGCCTGGCGGGGCCTGGCGGGGCCTGGCGGGGCCGGGCGGGGCCTGGCGGGGCCTGGCGGGGCCAGGCGGGGCCTGGCGGGGCCTGGCGGGGCCTGGCGGGGCCGCGCGGCCAGGGCCCTGGCAAGGCTGGCAGCCTCGCCGGCAGCCGAGCTGGCAGCCCAGCCCCGGATCGGTACGCTGTTGGCTGCCATTGTGATGGTATCGGCCACCGGCCGGAAGCGTACAGTGGGCCAGAAGACCGGCGGAGGCGGTCAAAATCCCGATCGCGTTTTTGAGCTCCAGAGTCGCATTTAGTGTTTCTGGAGCTCAAAGCGCGTCCACGTGGTCCACTGTAAAGGGGAAAGAGGCTCGGACCAGAGGCGGACTGCTCGGGCCTCACTCTAGGTCTCGAGACAACCAGAGCTGCACCACTTTCGATCGGCACACCCTCTACTCGGCCTGTCCCCGTCCCAGAGCGAGTCCACAGTTTTCGTCGCTCTGTCACGCTCGCTTCCACACCGGACGCCCCGTGAGTGCGAGAGAGACAGAGCGACGGAGACGACTCAATCTCGGAATCAGTCTGCTTTGGTAGTCTAGCGCACAGTGGGCCAGAAGGCCGGTGGAGGCGGCAAAAATTCCAGACGCGTTTTGAGCTCCAGAGTCACTAAACAGGACTCGAATCGAACGTGTGACCCCACCAATAGATTCCTCGTTCGGAGAGCAATCCATTGATGGGGTCACACGCTCAGTTCGAGTCCCATCTAGCGACTCTGCTCAAAACGCGTCTAGAATTTCTGCCGCCTCCACTGGTCTTCTGGCCCACTGTCTAGCGGTCGGTGACTCACTTATCTCGGAGCCTCCCTTCCAATGCGAAGGTGAAGGCGGGGGCATCAGTGCATCAGTGTCGAAGGGCTGCTTTGAATTTCAGTGAACAAAGTTTGGCGGTGCCAACGTATTCTGATGGGCCGCCGTCGAATGTTAGTGGATTTGAGGAACCCGCATGGTTAAGCTCGGTTAAGCTGCGGCAAACTAGGCAGAATTTTCGACAATGCTCAACGGAAGTTCAGGTGCTGAAAGTACGGTGGTTACGAGTTCTCAATGCGTGTGAGGACACGGTGAAAACGGAACCTTGTTTTCCCAGAAAGCCTAGGGTAGAGACATTGGAGATTTCCAGGCAGTTCCTGGTAAAACCAGGAACCGTTTTTACCGTGGAAGTTTGCTTTCAGCGTCAGTGTACCTACCAAGTGCTATGGGAATAAAAGGGATCACCAGCCGGGTATCGAACCCGGCGCAGCCTTGAAGCCACCGGCAGAGCGATGATGGGATCATCTCGTTCTGTCCCGTCTGGTGGAGATACCATTCAAATGCGTGCCTTTCGGCCTACCTCGCTCACCCCGCCCGGGCCCGCCGTAAAGCAGCTGTTTTTGTGTCACTGGGTTGGGGAATACGCGACCTGTTTTATGCAGTGGGTGTCTACCCCGGATGCCCCTCTCGCGTTTTCGTTAATACTGATCCGCCCCGAAAGATCAGAACTGTTGTTTTCAATCCATTCGCCATTCGCTGCTCGCAGCCGGGCCATCTCGGATGCAGGTCGACTGCATAAAGCGAACGGGGGTACGGCGCACAGTGGGCCAGAAGACCGGTGGAGGCGGCCAAAACTCTAGACGCGTTTTGAGCTCCAGAGTAGCTAAATGGGATGTGAACCGAATGCATGATACCACCAATGAAAAGCTCTGCGAACGAGGAATCTATTGGTGGGGTCATACGTTCGGTTTGAGTCCCGTTAAAAGACTCTGGAGCTCAAAACGGGTCTAGTCTCTAGACTCTAGAGTTTTTGCCGCCTGCGCCGGTCTTCTGACCCACTGTAAGCGTGAGCCACTGACCAAAAACATTGTACAATAGTGTAGTGAGTGTCCTATTGAGCTAAGCCATGCTATTTGCCTACTTACAGACGTTTATCGAACAAATTGCTCACATGCGTTTCTCAGGTAAAATCTTAGTGAATGTGAGTGAGTGCAGGCCGGGTGCGTGGGTAATGAGAGCTAGAAGTGCCATCGGGGTACGGGGTCTGGCCAAAGGCCTCTCTTTACCCGAGTGCAAGTCGGCGTCCAGTCAAGGGTTCGAATACCAGCAGCACCCACCCATGATTCAGTTTTTTTTTGTCACGGTCGCCTAGACTGCATGCGGTGCCCACTGAGTGCCAACCCAATGGCCACTTGACCCTCTTATTAATGTTAATAGCACTAGGTACTTGATCCTTGGGCCCTGGAGTGTGACAGGGAACCGGAGAGTACTCCTTTGCACTGCTCGCAACCAACTGCTGGAATTGGTCACTTCGAGACGAGTATACTATCCCGTCATGTGACACTACTCCCAAGTACCACGTGGTGACCCACATCCAAGATCCTACACCCTAAACGTCTTTACGATGAAAGGTTGCGCGCATCAACATAATATAGGGACAGTTTTTCAAAAGTAAGCGAGCCAGCTAAACCTCCACGAAATAGAAAATTTTCACCATGTTATGGAGAATCTTTACTATAGGACTTTTAGAGTGTAGTCCAAGCGGCCTCCAAAGAAGGGACAAAACGCCCTGCTGCAAACGCACGTTTGGTGTCACTGCGTGCACGGTGCAAAAATCTCCAGCATTTTCCAGGCACTGAAGGCGTACCTGCGCTGGAATGCCAGTGGACAGAGCAACGACTGTTGGAACGGACAAAGCCACGTCTGTTGCTGGTGGTCTCGGGTGGTGGAGGACGCGCAGAATACAATTACTGTCCCGCTTCGAATTAGCAGACTGATTCCGAGAGTCGTTTGCGTCGCCTCGTCTCTCTCGCACTCATGGGGCGCGCTCAGTACAGGTGGGAGAGAGACAGAGCGACGAAAGCGACTCTCGGAATCAGTCTGCGGCTCGAGGCCGGGGGCTGGAGTCTTGCAGCTCCCTGCCTCGCACGCCTTGGAAGGCGACGTCGCACTGCAGGTCAGAAGACTGGTGGAGGTGGCCAAAGCTCTGGACACCACTGTTATTCCGCTTGCGATACAGACCGCACTTTCTGCGCAATACAAATTTCATCGCACTTTTCTGTGATGATCATTGCTAAAAGGTGTGATGAGCTACAGTACCGCAGAATTTTGCAATGATCATTGCAAAAAACTGCAATGATTCCAGATTTTGTGTTGTCATCATTGCAGTTTTTTGCAATAATTCCGATTTTCATTGCAGAATTTTATGCGATACAGAAGTCATTGCATCTCAGGAGCAATGATTCGTGGGAATCACATTTCGGATATCATCGCACGTTTTTGTGTTGAAAGTATCGCAAGTTGGATAACAGTGACGTTTTGAGCTCGAACCGAGCCTGTGGCCCCTCCAATAGACTCATCGTTTGGAGAGCAATCCATTGGTGGAAACACGATCGGTTCGAGTCCCATTTAGCGACTCTGGAGCTCAAAACGCTTCCAGAGCCCTCATGGCCGCCGCCGCCACCACCGGTCTTCTGACCTACTGCGCGTCATCAGTCATCACCCTCTGCGGCAAATTCAACTTCGCCTTCACGAACGGAGCCGATTTCGCCGAGATAAGATTCGCGTGGGCCCGGAATGGTGTTCGTTGAACCATCGACGCGAAATCGACGTCTAATCGACTTCCGGCAATCTGGGTCGCGCGCCGTTCGCCATTTCCCTGGCGGCCCACAGTGGGCCAGAAGACCGGTGGAGGCGGACGAAATTCTGGACGCGTTTTGAGCTCAAAGTCCCTAAATGGGACTCAAACCGAACGTGTGACCCCACAAATGGATTGCTCTCCGAACGAGGAATCCATCGGTGGGGTCGCACGTTCGGTTCGAGTCCCATTTAGCGACTCTGGAGCTCGAAACGCCTTTAGAGGTTTGCCGCATGCGCCGGTCTTCTGGCCCACTGTACGGCCGCTGCCCCTCCCCAGATTCGGCTCCAGCTGAGCGCCGCGCGTGCGGGTGGCCCCCTGGTGGCTCCGCGTGCGCGCGTACGGCCGCCGGGAAGGGGGTGGGGGAGTGGGAGGGGCGGCGGTGCACTCACCTATAGTACATGCGTTCTATCCTGTTGCCGGACTGCGTCCGCACCAGGCTCATGCACTTCATGTAGCCGTGGCGGATCCGCTGCGGCCCGAAGGACGCCGACGACGACGAGGAGCTCCTGGCCGCCTTGCCGGCCTCCATGTCGCCGGCGCCGCGCCCCGCCGGCACCACCACGGGGCACATCGCGATCCTGGGGGTGGCGGTCACTGAGTCGTCGGCCAGGTGTGATGGCCGTGGGGGGCGCAGGGATACTGCACCATCGCGAGGGTCGCGGCGCCGTCCTCCGCGACGTCCTCGCCGTGTTCGGCCCGCGACGGAGCAGGACTTGTTCGTGCCGAGCCGACTGCGCGCGCTCCTTCACGCCGCCCTGCCGCCGAGTCTTTGCTCGAGTTGAAGCCGAAGCAGACTGAGGACTGAGTACGGCGGAGACGGAGCGCGAGCGAGCGGACTGAGTCAGCGCGGGGCCGCCCGCAGCCCGCGAGGTGGGGCGGGGCGGGGTGGGGCAGGGCGGGGCTGGAGTTCTGCGGTGACCCACCCCCACTCCGCCCGGCGCCCGCCACCACCCCGCCCGCCCCACCTCGCCCCACCCCACCCCACCGCCGCCGCGTCAAAACAAAGCGAGCCGCCAACCTAACTCTACTATCCGGTTCAAGTCCCCGCTGCGGGAAGCATTGCACAGTGGGCCAATAGGCCGGCGCAGGCGGTCAAAATCCCGGACGGGTTTTGAGCTCCAGGGTCGCTAAATGGTACTCTAACCGAACGTGTGACTCCACCAATAGATTGCTCTCCGAGCAGAGAATCCATTGGTGGTATCGCAAGTTTGGTTTGAGTCTTGTTTGGCGATTCTGCAGCTCAAAACTCGTGTTTAGTTTCGGCCGCCTGCGCCGCGCCAGTCTTATGTCCTGTCCCGCTGTGCGGTGGTAGGCCGGCACGCCTACAGCGTCCACACTGACGTTGACGTTGAGGGCCGACCAAGACGGATTCCGACGTTCGTCTCCGAACAAACCGGCCGGCTGAACTTGTCCATTTGAACTTCAAGTCAAAAGCGCAAACGAAACGTCACGTCACTACTGCGGACTGCGCAGCAAGGTGTTTCCGTTTCCGTCGCTCTGTCTCTCTCGCACTCATGGCGGCATGCCGTATGGGTGCTAGAGAGACAGAGCGATGAGAACGACTCTCGGAATCAGTCTGCAGGTTTCGAACTTGCCGCGCCGGCCTCTGCGCGCGGCTAGGCCGGGGGAATGACCGTGCCGTTGGCAGCACTGCGCGCGGCGCGTGGAAGTTCGCGCGGCGGCCGCGGGGGGCGCCACCGCGCGGGCCGACGTCACCGCCTCAACCGCGCCGGCCGCGGGGCGGGGAGGGAGGGGCGGGGAGAGGAGGGGGGTTGCTCGTGGCGGTGCGGTGGTTGGGGCGGGGAAGGCCGCGAAAGAGGCGCACAGCGGGCCAAAAGACCGGCGCCGGCGGCCAAAACCCTAGACGTTGTTCAGCACCGCAGTGGCTAAACAGGACTCGAACCGATCGTGTGACCCCACCAATGGATTCCTCGTTTGGAGAGCAAATAGGGTCACACGTTCGGTTCGAGTCCCACTTAGTGAATGTGGAGCTCAAAATGCTTCAAAGAACTTTGGCCGACTCTACCTGTCTTCTGGCCCGCTGTGGGAGAGTGTGGCGGTGGAGGGGGAGGGGAAGGTCGCCAAGGGACGGGACGGTGGCAGTGTGGCAGTGCGGGACCACGATCATAATGATGCCTTCCATCGCCAGTCGCCAGTCGTGCAGTTGGAGATCCAAGAAACTTGGCTGCGTCTGTTATAGGTTATTTCCTGTCGGCCCAAAACTGGCATCTCGGTAATTTTGTAATTTTATTGGGCATTTGCCAGTTGGGGCTGTCCAATGCTAGCGCGCAGGCGCATCGCCCAGCATCGCCGACGTAAACGGTCCCTTCGCGAGCGGCACGAGGTGGACGCGCCGCGTTGGTGAGGCTTCAAAATCTTCGATCAGCGTGCCAGCTCAACTTGGCGGGCGGTTAGGGCCGCGCCGTTCCACAGTGGGCCAGAAGACCGGCGCAGGCGGCCGAAACACTAGACGCGCTAGCTTCGGAGTCGCTAAAGAGGACGCGAAGCGAACGTTTGACCGCGCCAATGGATTGCACTCCGAATGAGGAATCCATTAGGGTCACACGTCCGGTCTTAGTGCCATTTAGCGACTCTGGAGCCCAAAACGCGTCTAGAGTTTTGGCCACCTGCGCCGGTCTTCTGGCCCACTGTGCGTTCGCGCCGGCCGGCACTGGTTCGGCCTGTTGGCATCGCTGGCGCGCCGCGGCGGGTCAGGTTCGCCGGCGGCACGCACTCGGATCATTATCCCGTCCCGCCGCACGGCTCTCCATCTCTCTCGCACTCGTGGCTTGTCCCGCGAGGGTGCGAGGGAGACAGAGCGACTCTTCGGAGCCAGCCCGCCGGGGTCAGGATGCACATTATTTGGGCGTGCGGATCCTTCCCTGCCTCTGCGATCCTCTTCCAGCCTCGGCCCAGCTCGTCGGCGCGGTCGGATAAATGCCAACGGACGCGGCCCGGCGGCCAGGGTTCCCGTTGCGCCGCGAGGCGGCCCGGCGCACAGTGGGCCAGAAGACCGGCGCAGGCGGCCAAAACCCTAGACGCGTTTTGAGCTCCAGAGTCGCTGAACAGGACTCGAACCGAGCGTGTGACCCCACTGGTGGATTCCTCCTTCGGAGAGCAATTCATTGGTGGGGTCACACGTTCGGTAAGGGCCCTATTTAGCGACTCTGGAGCTCAAAACGCGTCTAGAATGTTGGCCGCGCTCTTCTGGGCCACTGTGCGGCAGCCGCTCCTGGCGATGTGAGCGCCTGACGGCGCCAGGGTAGGCAACCCGCGGGCAGCGGTGCATGATGTTGCCCACTCGCCATTACCATTACCATTAAGTGCTAGACTTGACTTGACTTGAAAGGCTAGACCTGATCTTATGCCGGTTGGGGCCCGGTAACTGCCATGTTTGCACTGCACAACATGACATACCATCCGGACAAAGAGCAGGACCACACATGATCGTATGCCATTTCGGGCCCGACACAAGCTCGCCTGCACTGCAAAACGAGACATGGCCGTCCTTACTGAGGTGACACTTCATCGCACGGAAAAAAAAATAATTAGTTGGTGCAACCAATGTTTCGGTGTTTTGGCCCAACTAAGATTTTTTGTTCCAATAACGAAAATTGCGTTCGAAGAGCGAAAAATTTGTTAGAAGAGCGGAAAGTTCGTTGCAGCAGTGAATTCGTTGGTTGGCACGACCGAATTAAGAGCCGGCTACTGCAACGATATCCTATTTGCTGCTGCAACTATGGATTCGTTGAGGCAGCAAACTTTTCTGCTCTTCTGGCGAAATTTTCGTTACTGGTACGGAACATCTTAGTTGGGCCAAAACCAACCGAAGCATCGGTTGCGCTAACCAAAATTTGGTTGGACTGACTAAGTATTTTTTTCCGTGCGCGGCGGGGAAGAGCCTCGCCAGCACGGCGGCTCTTCCCGCACCACCGCTACCTATTATTGATAGTTGATAAGTTGTTGTTGTTATTGTTGTTGTTGTTGCTCCTGTTGTGGTCGTCCTCGGTGTTGTCAGGCGCCTCGTTGACGCTGCCATGCGGGCAATGGCGCCACTGTTAAAAAAAATCTGAAAATTCAGACCACTTTTGTCAGACTTGGTGGTCTGAATCTATTTTTCAGACTTGTTTCAGACTGCTTGTCTGAAAATTTTGCCTTCCGGTATGAAAATTGCGACTTGATCGTCTCAGAACCTGAATTCAGACCAGCGCAGTCTGAAAATTTAGATGGTTAAGTCTGAAAATTCAGACCAACCCAAGATTTCGTTTGTCCGCTAGATGGCGCGCATGTTGTGGAACATACCTACTTCTGTTTAAAAGGCTTCTAATGTGAAAATATATCAGTTGAAAAGTTCCAAATGGACAGGACTTAATCGGTCATATGAGAACCATTCTCTGCTGCAAGATTTATGTCCGTAATATGGGTGGAAGTTGAACAATCCACATTCTAATTTACCTCTCGCGGGTGGCTCCGTGTCGCCATTTCCTTGGGTGCCACAGGCCGGCCTCTCGAGAGTCAGGGAAAAGAACAGAGGACCTTCTCCCTCATCACAATTTTTACTCAATGTTGTCCTCTCTGGAGGTTCACACACACCTGAGATTCTTTCTATGTCATATTGAACATGTCACGAACCTTAAAGTTCACAATCTTCGTACAGGACTGAATTTTCAGACCACCAAACTCTTAAATGCAAGACTCTCGAGTTCTGAATTTTCAGACCATCTAAATGGTCTGAATTTTCAGACCTAAAGTCTGTTAATAACTTCTTACCAATTTGGTCCGAAATTTCAGACTTTTTTTTTAACAGTGGCCGGTAGCGCCCTGCAAACTGATTCCGAGAGTCGTTTTCGTCGCTCTGTCTCTCCCACACGCCCAGGTCATCCCCTATAAGTTCGAGAGAGACAGAGCGACGAAAACGACTCTCGGAATCCGCCCTCTGCTGTCGGTAGTCGCCGCCAGACGGACAAGGACTCGGGCGAGAGTGAGTGAGATGGACGAGCGTGTCACCGGCTCGGCTCGGGGCTCCAGGCGACGCGACACCAACGAAGGGGAAAGCTGGTTTCGGCCGATTTGGGGCCGGCCGGCCGTGGACTGGGAGTACCCAATCAGGGGACCGCTTGTAAACCACGTCGACGACGGCCATTCGACGCGTTTGGCCTGCTCATCTGTCGGGGGCCAAGCACGGTGGGCCAGAGACCGGTGGAGGCGGCCAAAACTCTAGACGCGTTTTGAGCTCCAGAGTCGCTGAACAGGAGTCGAAGCGAGCGTGTGACCCCATCGATGGATTCCTCGTTCGAAGAGCAATCCATTGATGGGGTCACACGTTCGGTTCGAGTCCCATTTAGCGACTCTGGGGCTCAAAGCGCGTCTAGAGTTTTGGCCGCCTCCACCGGTCTTCTGGCCCACTGTGCCTAGCTAGACTAGTCGAGGCTGGTCGCAGCACTGATTCCGAGAGTCGTCTTCGTCGCTCTGTCTCTCTCGCTCCCATACGAACGCTCTATGAGAGCGAGAGAAGCAGAGCGACTATAGTTGAGGCAGGTCGCGGGGTCACGCAGCGGCCTGATTCGGAGAGTCGCTCTGTCTCTCTCGCACCCGTGAGAACGCCCCATGAGTGCGAGAGAGACAGAGCGACGGAAACGACTCTCGGAATCGGTCAGCAGGGCGTGAGTCATCCATCGTGTGACCTAAAAATACGTCTCCTGAATTTTTCGGACGTCCTCTATCTAACCAATTTTACCAAAGCGGAATTTAACGTCGATTTGAAGGGCAAACAACTTCGTCAA